AGTAAAAGAGTGGAAAAAGATATTTCATGCAACTAGAAACAACAAAAAAAGGGAGTAGCTATACTTATATCAGACAAAATAGACTACAAATCAAAGACTGTAAAAGGAGACAAGGTCACTAACGATTAAGGGGTCAATTCAGCAAGAGGATATAACAATTATAAATATCTATGCATCAAACACCAAAGCTCCCAAGCATATAAAGCAAAAATTAATAGATTTGAAGGGAGAAATAGACTCCAATACAATAATAATATGGGGACTTTAATACTCCACTCTCAGTGATGGACAGATTACCTAGACAGAAAATCAATAAAGAAACACCAGAGTTAAACTATATACTAGACCTAATGGGTCTAACTGACATTTACAGAACATTTCACCCAACTGTTGCAGGATGTACCTTCTTTTCATGGACCATTATTTAGAATAGACTATATCTTATGGCACAAAACAACTTTGAACAAATTTTAAAAAGTAGAAATCATATCAAGTATCTTTTCTGACCACAATGGAATAAAACTAGACATCAATAACAAGAGGAACTTCAGAAACTTCACAAACTCATGGAAACTAAACAACATGCCCCTGATTGACCCATGGGTGAATAAAGACTTTAAGAAGGAAATTTAAAATGTCTTGAAACAAATGGAAATGGAAATACAACATACCAAAATCTATGGGATACAGCAGAAGTAGTACTAAGAGGGAAGTTTATAGCAATAAACACCTGTATCAAAAAGGTGGAAAGACTTCAAATAAACAACCCAATTATGAACCTCAAGGAACTAGAAAAGCAAGAACAAGCCAAACCCAAAATTGGTAGAAGAAATACTAAAGGTTAGAGCAGAAATAAATGAAATTGAGACTAGAAAACAATACAGACCAACAAAATGAAAAGTTGGTTTTTTGGGGAAAGATAGATAAAATTGACAAAACTTTGGCTAGACTAGAGAAAAGACACTCTCCTATTGTCATTGTTTTCAAAAAATAAATGTATATGCATCACAAAACATATCAAATGTATCCTTCAGGGCCCCAAAATGCCTACTGATATATAGCATGTCCTGCTTCATGCCAGGGCCTGCTAATTAAGGAACTCCTCATAGCTGATACCTTTAATCTGTTATCAGAGCACTGAGTCTGATGTCAGAGATCTTTGCATTCATTTGACTTGCATTCTATTTTTCAGACTAGCCAGGGCAAGAGAGGTTGATTCCAGTCATTGTTAACTCTACACAAGAACCAACAATTTCACTTCTCATGCCCACTATTAATAGTACATTGGCAAGTTAAGAGATCCGCCTGATCAATTTAATTCCTGAGCTATCGCAGTTGACATTCATGACTTTTTCCCCAAGTAGGACTGCATTTCTGCAGACATATTCTCCATTTGCTCAAATGAACCCATTCCTTTAATAAGAGTTCAACTAGATCAAGATTTACAATGATAGCCCTGAAAAAACTTATCACAATTTATTTCTGTAATTACATAACATGATCTTGATTTGTTTTACACATAGACTTTTACTCCTGGGAACTTTAACTCACATGGATGTTATTTTCAGCTCCCAAATACATTAATGCTGGGTTTGTGATAGGAAGTGTAATCAGAAGGCTGACCCAGCTGATGTATAATGATTAAAAATGTAAGTCTTGGTAAATCTTATTTTTCCCTTTATTTGAAATCTCTCTCTCTCTCTCTCTCTTTTAATCTTAAAGCCTTTACTTTGAGACATGATGGAAAAGTCTTACAGATACATATGGAACATTGATCTCCACTGAGTGAAAACAATCTAACCAGAAAGCTTTGATGCCTGTCAATTAATGTTGAAGCTTAAATTATGGGAATAAGACGTATTGCGGGGCTTGAAGGAATAGATAATTAATATTTCTCTCCTTCTTTCTTGCTGTCTCCTTTAACAGAATCTATACCAACCTCCTCATAAACCTTCTCAAGGGCAGCCATGTCCTCATGGGCCTCAGAAAACCCTTTTGCTACCCCGTCATGAATGTACCAGTGAACAAAGGCATGGTTGGCATACACCATGTCAAAACTTGTGATCCAGGTGAGCCCAGGCCTCAGCAACGGCTGTGGTATTGCCCAGCATGCACACAGCTCTCTGTACCTTGGCCAGGTCTTCATCAGGTACCACCATGGGAAGCTGGTAATTAATGCCAACCTTGAAACCAGTGGGACACCAATGCACAAACTGGATATTGTGCTTGGTCTTGATGGTGGTAACAGCAGCATTGACATCTTTATGGTGTCACCACAGTGCAACAGGCAGGAAGCCATCATTTGTTATGGCGAGGGTCATATTTCATCATCTGGTTGGCTGGCTCAAATCAAGCATTGATGATCTCTGCTACAGAAAGCTGTTCATGATAGGCTTTCTCAGCAGAAATAACAGGGGCATATGTGGCCAGAAAAAAGTGGACGTGGGGATAGGCACCAAGTTGGCCTGGAATTCTGTCAGATCAGCATTCAGGGAGCCATCAACTCTGAGGGAAGCAGTGATAGAGGGCATAATCTGAAGAATAAGGCAGTTAGTGTAGGTTGAGCACTCAATATTGAGGTTTCTATGACAGATGTCTACCACAAAGGCACACTCAGAGCGCTGCAGGGTAGTGTGGGTGGTGAGGATGGAGTTACAGGGCTCAACTACAGCTGTGGAAACCTGGGACACTGAGTAAATGAACTCCAACTTGGACTTCTTGCCATAATTAACAGAGAGACATTCTATCAGCAGGGAGGTGAACCCAGAACCAGTTCCCCAACCAAAACTATGGAAAACCAAGAAGCCCTGAAGACTTGTGCACTGGTTGGCCAGCTTGAGAATTTGATCCAAAATGAAGCCAATGATCCTTGCCAATAGTATAGTGCCCTTGGGCATAGTTATTGGCAGCATCTTCCTTGCCTGTGATGAGCTGCTCAGGGTGGAAGAGCTGGTGGTAGATGGCAATGTGAACTTTGTCAATGAATGTGGGCTTCAGGTCTATAAACACTGCCCTGGGCATATGCTTGCCAGCACCTGTCTCACTGATGTCAAAGGAGTCATCTCCCCCAGTGGTCTTGTCACTTGGCATGTGGCCATCGGGCTGGATGCCATGTTCCAGGCAGCAGAGCTCTAAGCAGGGATTATCAATCTGGCCATGAGCCTGGCCAACGTGGATGGAGATGTGCTCACGCATAGTGACTAGGGAACAAGAGGCAAAGGCAACAGGAGCAGACACCAGGTCCCGGTTACTTTTCTTGAGAAGCTAAGAGTCAAGGTAACACACTCAGAAATCACACTTTCAAAACTATTATTACTTAACATGCTCTGCTTCTGCTTAAATACAAAATGACTTGAGGATAATTAGCATTTTGAGGCATACAGTATTACTAGAGTCCCTTCCTATGATGTGTTTCACATTCCTTTTTCAAACCAAAACAAATACTAATTTGTCTGTCTCCTGTAAGAATAAATATCGCAAACATTGGGACATTCTTTTTAGAGACCTTTTATTTCCTATCCTGATTTTGGCAACCTAGTCTCTTTGGTATATTGATCATAAGAGAAATTATTTAGTAGACTTGTCTTACTCATGCACAGTTGGTGTTGTTCTGTTCTTTAATGAGTCTCAAGCAAAGAAGTATAAAGAGCAGCATGGTAAGGAATTTGCCTTAAAGTTGTATGATGGTTCTAGTCTCAGTTCAATTAACTGTGGTGTCCCAGGCAAATCACCCAATGCCTTGGTGTTCTCATCTATAAAGTACCAGAGTTGCTTCTGGCATTGCTGCCTGGCACAGAGTTGGCATTCAATAGTCTATTAATATACTAGTTTCATAAACATCTTCAAAGTTTTATATTGAACTCAATTCACTTCTGTGAAAAGTAGTCAACCAACGAAATGGCATGCAAATTAACGAGGCCTACTCCTATTCCACACTGTTCTCATGGCAGTCTGAGATTAGAAGAAACCAGCACTGGAAGCAAGAAGACAATGAAAATACCGTAACACAGTAAGCACTTTTAGTTCACTTTGTGGACAACTGAACTAGAAACCAGTTGGAAAAAACCAACCAACCAACCAATCAAAAATGGCCCAAATGAATCAGTGAACTAAAGTAGAAAAGGATCACTTCCCATCCAGAATTGTTTTTTGAAAAATGTCAATAAATTCAGCTTCTTAAAAGAGTTTTTTATATTAAACCAGGCATCTTTCAAAGAGAAGCGGCTACCTTTGAGGTTCTTGAACGTAGACTGCAACACGGAGATAAGTATAATAGAGTGAACAACATTAAATCAAAGGTGAAGGGGAAGAGGATTGTGGGGCAGTCATTTCTGGAGATCAAGAAAGAATTCAATCTACCTAATGCAAGGCAACTTCTGGGGTCCTTGTGTGTGAAACATTCTTTTTTTTTTTTGAGACAGAGTCTCGCTCTGTTACCCAGGCTGGAGTGCGGTGGCATGATCTCCGCTGACTGCAAGCTCCGCCTCCCAGCTTCACGCCATTCTCCTGCCTCAGCCTCCCGAGTAGCTGGGACTACAGGGCCCGCCACCACGTCCGGCTAATATTTTGTATTTTGAGTAGAGACAGGGTTTCACCGTATTAGCCAGGATGGTCTCGATCTCCTGACCTCGTGATCCGCCCGTCTCGGCCTCCCAAAGTGCTGGGATTACAGGCGTGAGCCACCACACCTGGCTGAAACATTCTTATAAGAGGAAACTGTCTTCATGTTTTATATTTGCCTTAATTTTCTTTTATTATTTCCAGACCACCTCTGTTGGTTATGCTAAGTACTCCTTTTCTCTTTTTGGAATTTAAACTTTTTAAGGAAACAAAAATTAAAGAACAGAAAGCAAGACACATTGGAAATATGAACTCTTCTTTTACTGCATAAGAAATGAGAAGAAAAACTTTGTGTGAAATTCTGGAGTCTAAAATTAAAATGTAAACAGAGAATGCTCAGTGACCTTTTCTTAGGAGGCTCACATGAAGGAATGTCATGGTACATTGACCAAACTTTTATTCATTTGCATTTTCAGGATGTTGCTATTAATACCACATGACCCTCAATAAATTACACTATGACATTTTGTACAAATCACTTCACTTCTGGTTTCCTCTTCGGCTGTGTTACTTCACCCTTTGGTTACCGGTAGGAAAAAAAAAATGTATTTTGGGGCTTTATTTTTAAAGGGAGATTCACAGTTTTAGTCAATGTAAAGATATTGGTTCCCAAACTGTGTTCTAAGGAAATAGCTATCTAAGGTATCTTTTTTTTTTTTTTTTTTTTTTTTGACGGAGTTTTTGCTCGTCGCCCAGGTTGGAGTGCAGTGATGCCCATCTCAGCTCACTGCAACCTCCGCCTCCTGGGTTCAAGTGATTCTCCTGCCTCAGCCTCCAGAATAACTGGGACTCCAGGCACCTGCCAGCACGACCAGCTAATTTCTGTAGTTTTAGTAGACACGGGGTTTTACCGTGTTGGCCAGGATGGTCTCGATCTCCTGACCTCAGGTGATCTGCCCGGCTCGGTCACCCAAATTGCTGGGATTACAGGCGGCAGCCACCGTGCCCAGCAATATTGGTTCCTAAATTGTGTTCTAAGGAAACAGCTAACCAAGGTATCTTATTAAAAAAAAAAAAAAAAGTTTTATGCTCTATTAAGTTTGGGAAATACTAGGTTAAAGAAAGTTAAACATGATTATTTCCAGTGGGACATCTGAGAGCCTTTAATTAGCTAACAGTGCATTGTGATTCTGCAAAGGAGGAACATTGTTTCCCAAACCTATCTGGCCATAGAACATATTTCTCAGAGTATTTTTCAAGAGTAGTATTTTCTGTAATATGTGTTGAAAAATAATGGTATCAGCCATCTTTGTACGTAAGCTCAAAAGGTCAGCCAGCCCTGAAATAAATATAAGCCAAAAGGTAGAAAGATAAGTGGATAAAGCTGGCACACTGTCAGTCAGGAGTACCATGCTGCATTCTGAGTCAAGCTCCAGGTTTGTCTCTAAGAAGAAAAACAGGAGCGTCCAAAGCTTCTGGATTCCATTTAATTAAAACCCTTTTAAATTAAATCCTTGTAAATGAAGAGTATCGGTGGATGAAGAAAAAATAGTCTCACATGTCTTCATTTCCACCCTTGGCTCAGTACTGCTCCAGTTCCATTATTCTTAAACATCTATTAACATGATTGCTAAATAATTACACAGGCTAACTGCCAAGCAGTTTTCACAGGAAGCAAGGCACTGCTCTTCTGGCTTATGCAAAAGGGTCACTTTTTTTTTTTTTTTTTTAAACCTTTATCTTGTTTTGATTGAAGAAACATCTCTAAAAATACCATCTGAGTGCAAGATAAAAAGGAAATAGCAATTCAAGGCACAAAGCTAAGTACATGCAACAATAAAGATGATTTGGGGGTGGGACAGTACAGAATTCAGAACTGATAGAAGTTATCAGCTCCATATTTCAGAAAGACCTAGTGTCTTCCTCTGCTTATGCTGTTCTGCCAGAATTTCAATTTTGGCAGAGATCACCTCGATGTTATAATGTACCGATTCAGAGGTCCCAAATCAGTAGACCCGATCCTAGACAGATCCTCAAAGGTCAGCTGCCACTAGTTGTCCCCTTCTTGATCATCCTTCATGCTCCCTGGATTGGGGCATGGCTAAGCACTCAAGTCAAAGGATTAGTTGGCAATATCCTACATTGTCAACAAAGTTTTGAAGAAAAAGAGAGAGAGAAACTGGTATTTACTGAGCACTTAAGTGGAGATTATTTTCATAAACATTAGCCTATAAAACAAACAACTCTCCTGCCCCAAATCCAAACAGATCTTTTCCCTGTTATTTACAGATAAAGAAAACCGGCTTAGAGAGGTTATAAAATTTGCCTAAGGTCAAACCAAACGCTGATAAGCAAATTAGGTAAAATTCTGAGCCAGGTCTGGATGAGTCCAAAGTGTGTTTTACAGTATCATGCTGTCTCCTGATCATTACAAAATTTCATTTGTTTACAGAAGCACAAATGGCCCATTTATGCCTTTTCTCTCAGCATCTAGCAAAACATCTCAACTTTTATTACACCAACTTCAGGAGTCTTGATAATGTTTAGATCTTCTCATTCATTTGCCTAAATCAATAGAGCTATTTATTCTCAACTGTTGGCAATGAACTTTCTTAACTCAGCATTTTGAGAAAAAAAAAAAAAAGAAATTCTAAATACTTGAATTGCTTCATTTCATGCTCATTGTTTCTGGCATGCCTCCTTTTGGTTTTCTTTAAAAAGAGATTCTAAAATCATGACATATTTAGATATGAAAAACAGGATGGAGAGCAATGGGAACACTAATCTGAAATAAGTCACATGGCTAGAGTACCTGTGTCTGTAGTAATCTCAAATTATAAACTCTTGAATTTATTAAGCAATCCTTCATGTATGCTTGATTGAAAAAATAAAGCACTGCTGTAGAACTGTAGACTTGAATTCTACTCCACTCTTCCACAGTTGCCACCCTGGTTAAGTCTGATTGTCTCCTCATTACTTAAAATAAGTAGAGCTCTTAAATTCCTTCAAAAATTCCCAAGATTCTATAGTCAACTGCCACTCAAACTTGCCTTTCCAATGAATAAACAGTTTAAAAGAATTCAAATCCCACCACCTTTACCCCATTTTAAATTCTTTTGACAAGGACAAAGGACTTACCCATCCATCTTCCACCTAAATTTGCTTTTTAGTGACAGAAAAACCAAGCAGCAAAGAAAAAAGTATGGTCACTCATCTAGGCAAGAGTGATGTACATTGCTTGGAAAATAGCTGAGAGCGCAGCTGAACAGTCCACTTAGTTTGGTTGCAGGTATCATACCTCATATCCCCTAAGGGAGAGAGAAAAATCAATCTTTTCCAGGAAAGATGGTAATACAGTAAAGCTTCTTTCCCTTGCTTGGCCTGATACCATATAGTTACAAATGAAAATAATTCTATGAGTGCATACAGATGCCCACAGCACCTGCTTTCAAAATCTTTTAAAAGTGCAATTACATAACAGGCTATCTGGCTTGATCCTTACTCTGATAACAAATAGACCTGGGTTTCCTAGTATTGCGTCCTTGGTATTTCACTCCTCTCATCGCCTCATCACTCTCATCTCCCCTCCTCACCTGACACTGACACAAGTGTCCTGATGCAGTAGGACGCATCATAAAATGAGAGTCTGGACCATATTCAACACAGCCTGGTAAAGCTGAGCAAACACTAGTTACTCAAAAATATAACTGACTTGACTTTCTGGGTTTAACTTCCTTATGAAGCAATCATTCCTTCAAAATGTCAGGACCAGAAGGATTTCAATGATAGTGTGCAGTTCTTGCTTGTTTCTTCAAAGATTCCTTGGACATGGCCAGGCCCATAGGTAGATGCACTAGAGGAGACACTTTGGGGGAAATGCTCCCCTTCAGATACTCTAGCAGATGATCAAACTGGGAAACAGAGAACTAGTGGGCAATTTTCCCCTCTACACATACACATAAACATTTCTTTTTTTCCCCCCGTTCTGGGCACCATGCCCAGGGACCTTATAAGCAGAGGTCCCTTGTCAGAAGACATGAGTCACGTTCACTGGTAATTCTGCCATTATAGCCTCATTCATGTGAAGACAACACAGTCATCTTAGTACTCGCTTCTCAAACTACAAAGTGCCTGTGAATCACCTGGGGACTTTGTTGCGATGTAGATTTAGATTTAATAGGTTTGGAGCAGAGCCCAAACTTCTGCATTTCTATAAATACCAAACTTCTATACGATGTTGATGCTGTTGGTTCACACATCATACTTGAGTAGCAAGGTCCTAAGTACCTCTGCCTTCCCATATTTGAACCACATTTTACCTGAAGGTCTCCTTGTGGCTGATTATCCCAAGAAAAATAAGGCAGAAAACTCAGAATTTCTGCCATGGGAAAATTCTACCCTGCACACAGGAGTTAAGTTCTGACTCTCATTGCCCAGACTCAGGATCCTGCTTCTTGCCCAGATTGATTTGGCAGAGTATTCCTATTTAGCTGATGACAAATCCTGGCTCAGCCTTACCAGCCTTGGCTGATGCCACTCTGCCAGCAACCCAAACATTAGTGGTGTGGAGAACCTCCTAAAATATAGATTCCTGGGCTCTAATCCTGAGATTCTGACTCATTCAGTCTGAGGTGTGCCTCAAGAACAAACAGACATCTTAGGTGATTCTAAGATTTGAGAGAAGGAAATGCATGTGACCACTCTGATAGATCGGAGAAACCTGTATCTTACTGCCAGTAGTATCTTTACATAAAGATATTACTTTATGTAAAGAACAGTAAGAAAAAAGGAAACAGAATTTAAGCATTTGATAGTATAACAGAAGAAACAAGTTCCTTCCCAATTTGGACACTTAAGCATATTCATGGTTAAGTCTGGTGTATTCTGTCCTCTTCTTTAGAGAAGTTCACTAAAAATGTGCAGTATATATTATACATTCTACAGAAAATGATTTTAATGTAGGTATGATTACAGATACACTCAGTGATCAAAACATGAGAGGAATGGTTATTTACTCTTCTGATTGAACAAATGAAACTAGAATTGTTCATACACATAATTTAAAAAAATATATTCAAGACACCAAAACCAGTTAATATAAGAACTGAACATTAATTAGTGACAGTAAAATGGCAGAAGCAAATATAAAATACAGAAAATAACTTTACTCAGACATTTTGAATGACATGTCCTCCTTTAGGACTACAGTTTGGCTACTTGGTCCCTTCTGGGGCAGATGTGGCATCCTGAGGTGTGTAAGCCTCTGCAGGTGCAGATACAGCTCCTGCCACAGTAGTGGTGGTCTCAGATAAAGCAGGGATGGCTTCTGGATTGGAACTGGCTCCTGTCTCACTGGCGGTGGTCTCAGTCTGACTAGGAGTGGTGTCAGTTTGAAAGGCTGGAGTTTCTCGACTGCAGCTGGTGTCTGTTGGACTCGGTATGATGTCAACTTGAACAGTCATAGCCTCTTCTTCTGTTTCCAATTCTGTTTCTTGATTTTGAACTTCCTCACCTTCTTCTACCATAGCAGGTGGTAGCTGTAATAAAGTCTAATTAAAAAAAAAAAAAAAAAAAAAATATGAAAAACAGCTTATAAAGCTAAGCTCTCACATTATCATTCTAGAGTTCTCCAAAACAGTGCTGACCGTTTTACATTACAGACGTAACACCTCTGATGGCAATGGTCTAGGTCCTGCTAACACCAAGGAATATGCCTACACAGATGTCATATACTGATAATCAAAATACATACAAAATCTTCAGAGAGGAAAACAACCATGAAAAGCCATTAGATTTTTAAGCAACAGACTTTACTGTAAACATTTCTGCAAAAAATAGTGACTGATTAGGACTGATTATAAAACTAACTCAAGAAAGCGTCAACTTTAATCAAAGAGCCCTGTGAACTGGGCGCGGTGGCTCATGATGGCATTCCCAGCACTTTGGGAGGCTGAGGCAGGTGGATCACTTGAGGTCAGGAGTTCCAGACCAGCCTAGCCAACATGGTGAAACCCCATCTCTACTAAAAATACAAAAATAGCTAAGCTTGGTCCCAGCTAGTTGGGAGGCTGAGGCAGGAGGATCGCTTGACCCTGAGAGATGGAGGTTGCAGTGAGCTGAGATTGTGCCACTGCACTCCAGCCTGGGCGACAAAGTGAGATTCCGTCTGGAAAAGAACAGAACAGAACAGAACAGAAAAGAGAAAAGAAAAGAGAAAGAGAAAAGAGAAGAGAAGAGAAAAGAGAAAAGAAAAGAAAAAGAGCCCTGTGAGAGGTAGAGAGGAGCCTGGCCTTAAGACAAAGCCATGGGAGAAGGGAGCAGCAAGGAACAAGGTTTCCATCCTGTTCAACCAGAAAACTGGAGCAACTCTATATGCTTAGCCTGCCCTTTGCCCCATGGCAGTCTAGTGACTTTCTCATCAGGGACTCTGCTTACAGTGCTGGAAATTGAAATTATTTATTTATTTATTTATTTAATTTCATTTAATTTATTGAGACAGAGTCTGGCTCTGTCGCCCAGGCTGGAGTGCAGTGGTGCCATCTCAGCTCACTGCAACCTCTGTCTCCTGGGTTCAAGCGATTCTCCTGCCTCAGCCTCCCAAGTAGCTGGGATTACAGACATGTACTACCATGGCTGGCTAATTTTTGTATATTTAGTAGACATGGGGTGTCACCATGTTAGCCAGGCTGGTCTCGAACTCCTGACCGCAGGTGATCCACCCACCTCAGCCTCCCAAACTGCTGGGATTACAGGCATGAGCCACCGTGCTCGGCCTTGAAGATTCTTTAAAAGTACCATGCACGATAGCAGCAAAAAAAAAAAAGAAAAAGAAAAAGAAAAATACTTAGCAAAATGTTAACAAAATATGTGTAAGGTTTGTATATTGAAAACTACAAAATCCTGATGAGAATTCAAAGAAGATCTAAATAAATGAGAGATCTTATTCATGGATAGGGAGACTCAATACATGAAGATGTTAATCTCCTCAAATGGATCCTAAACAATGGATCCTACTCTTCAAAATACCCTTTAAAAACTGCAGCATGCCTTTGGGGGTAGAAACTGACCTGCTGATTCTAAAATGTATATAGAAAAGCAAAGATGCTCAATATCACCAGTCCTTAGGGAAATGAAAATTAAAACTAGACTGAGATCACTGTATATCTATTAGAACTGCCAAAATTTTAAAAAGGCCTACCATCAGGTGAGGGAGAGGATGTGTAGCAATCAGAACTCTCACACTGCTGGTGAGAGTGTAAAGTGGGTCAACCACTTTGAAAAACAGGTTGGCAGTTTCTTAAAAAGTTAAACACATCCTTAACATATAATCCAGCCATTCCACTCTTAGGTATCTACCCAAGATAAAGTGCAAAGACTTGCATAAGCAATAGTAGCCGGAAAAAATAAGAATACACACTGTAGATTCCATTTATATAAAAATCTAGAAAATGGAAGCAAACCTATCATGACAGAAAGCAGATCCTTGGTTGCCTGGGAAGGTAAAAAGGGGACTGGTGAAGGGCAAGGAGGGATGACAAATGGGCACAAGCGAAAACTCTTGGGATTATGGACATGCTCTTTATCTTGACTGTGCCGGCAGCTTCACAGGTAAACACCTATGCCAGAACATATAAAACTGTACACTTTAAGTTTGTGGACTTTATTGTATGTGGAATTCTATCTATATAAAGATGTTTTAAAAATATGAATGTTACATAAATAACAATAGCCTGCTTTAGTTTAGTTGATTTCCCACAAGGAATTAGGTACTTTAAAGATTTATTCTGAAAAAAAGAAAATTATTTCTACAGCAAGAAAAATAAGTCAATTTTGAGAAACTCACCTGATGATAATGATGTGTAGTCTGTATCAAATGCATGTACATGTTGTATACAAAGTTTGCCATCTGGGGCATATTTTTTATTATTTGTACTTCATGAGATGGTCTCTCTCCATTCTAGAAAAAGGAAAAAAGAACGTTAAGTATCTAGTAAAACAACCCTAGAAGGTAACACTTCAACATAAACCCATTTCTTAATCTTATGAATAAACATGATTAGGGTATGGAAGAACCAACCGTAAGAGGATATAAAATGCAAGTATGAAGAGTAGAATGAAGACTTCATGAATGTTAAAAAAAAAAAAAAGACTTAAATAGAATAAAAAGGGGGCCCGGGTCAGCATGCTCTGCCTGCTGGCCACGTGACTCCCATTAAAAAAAGATTATTTAAAAAAAAAAAAGACTTCATGAAGAATAGTGATTCTACTGAAATTTAGAAAAGTTAGAGACCAGAAGAGCTAAGAGTCGCCAGCTTTTAATGTAATTTTGGGCTGGTAAGTGAAGTATGGGTTTTAGTTTACCATCTAATATAAAAGAATTAGTAAGAGATAAGTAATTATTTGACTAGAGAGAAAAGTCAACATGGTCTGAAACAGCAGTTTCTAAGACTGTGCATGCTCCAAAGACAGTTCATAAGATAATTCAGAAAGAAAATAGTAACACTCTTTGTCCTATTTATATTTTCCTAAAAAATAAGAGGCTAACATTTACTTTTATTTAATACATGACTATGAGTCAAAAGGGTGAATATTCAAATGCTCTTTTTAAAATTTTAGTGTCTATCAGACTGGGGTAGACTGTTAAATTGCCGGCACCTAGGCTCCAGCCCCTACAGATTTGGATTCAGAAGGTCTGGGTGGAATGAGCTGATTCTTTGTAGCTTCTGACAACAATCTAAGAAACACTGCTCTATAAGTGTAGGTAAAGTAGTAAAGCAAATCAAGAAAATACAGAACTTGCACTTCTTTGTAAACCACCCTAAAATAGAGATTAACAACTTTCTTATTTATAGTTATTAATAAAATGTTTATAAAGTCTTATCCTTTCTTATGATAGGAACAATTTAGAAAACCATTAAGGTAAAAAACATACCCCAAAAAAGGAGGATTCAATCTTAAAGTGACAAATTATTTAAAGAACATGAAGTTAGAAATAATTTAGTAAATTAAACAACACTTCTCAGAAGTAAGCAGGATGGCAGCATTCCATCTAAGCAGGTCTTCTTTTGATTAATGGTTATTTTCTGCAATGGTCAGAACTCGTATGTACAAATACTGCCATGTTGTTATGACTAGGAACATGGAAGAGTTTTTGTTTGTTAGCTTATTTTCTGGAGTCTTGCCAAGAACTGCCTTTCCTTGAGACGCAGCACTCTCTGGCCCTCACTATGTCTTGAGCAGAAGATGGGGAGATGTTCTCAGCCCTAACCTCCCCAGGGTCTGGAACTCATGAGTGTTATCTAAAGCATGGGTTTCCAAGCCTTCTGTTCAGTGATACTGTCTGACCTGCACTTCAGATTTCTTCAGGTGTGACGTGTAGCCCTTACATAGAAAGCACCTGGGGAGCTTGTTACACATGATGACACCTAGGCTCTGTCCCAGACCTCTTGTCAGGAATTTGCCTGTTTAATAGCCCACAAAAGATGGAGAAACTCAGATATAATAGGATTGTGTCTAGACTTGAGCCTGACACTTGAGGCTTTATGTGACCCTACCACCCCATGATCTCTCTCCACTGTTTTCCTATTTCTCCACAGCAGCATTTCTTCAAAAATAAGTAAATAAAAAGGCAGTTTTTAAAAAAGTACTTATTATTATTAAACATACAAGACTTAAGATTTTTTTAGAGGTGTGGAGGGAAGACATATACTGTGAACATCTAAAATAATGTTATTTAAAACCCAATGGACCCCCAGGACAATTCATTAAATAAAAAAGCAAAGCCCAAAAGTCTATAGCATAATAACCTTCATGTAAGAAGGAAAATAATACAAAAATAAACATATCTCTTCTCCTTTATACAAAAGGAATATAAGGATTAAATGAGAAACTAAAGAGACTGGTTACCTAAGGAGGGAAGGTGCTAGGAAAAGGGGAGAAAGAAGTGGGGATAAGAGGGTGTAGTATTTCTCTATCTTTTCATTAAATATATGTGCTCTCTCCTCCCTCATTTCCCCAGAATGTAAGCTTCTTAAGAACTCAACTATTTATTGCTCTATTTTCAAGTAAGTAGTTAAGTTCTCCTTACAAAGCTGAAGACGAACAGTATAGAATAATGATAAATTACATGAACTCTGGGATGTTATTCCAAAAGACCTCCTGGCTTTTCAGATCTTGGATCCTCTATCTGCTAGATGCATGGCCAAGCTACTTAGCTTCTCTGACCCTAAGTTTCTCCATTTGTAAAATGGGGTTAATAAAATAATCTAATAACCTAATAGGCTGTTTTTACTGAGATGAAAGTGAGATAATGTAGTAAAGAACTGTCTGCCTAATACATGGTAGTGACTAAATGTGGGCTGACATTATTATTTTTAATTTTTATTTATTTATTTATTTTTTATATAGAGACAGGTCTCGCTATGTTGCCCAGGCTGGTCTCAAACTCCTGGGCTCAAGCAATCCTCCTACCTCGGCCTCTCAAAGTGCTGGGATTATAGGTATAAGCCACTGCGCCCTGCCGGTATTATTTTTATATAGAAAATCTAACTCAGTTCTTCAGTGCAGCACACTAAAACAGGGACTATATTATCTATAATGTTCCAAGCTAATGTGGTCACCTATAAGAAAATCCCAGTTTCCCACTCTGAGGAATGCTGTCTGTAAAATGAAGACAGAAGTCCTACCTTTCTGGTGGTTGGGAAAGGTTCTGTTGGAATTATATGCAAATGAAGGGGTCGAGCTGTGAGCTGACTGAAAGCTGGAGTCAGTTCAAAACAGTTTTGAAAGAGGGATACTCTGGCGAAGATATAAAGTCCAAGTCTGGCTCTAGACATGGCCACTACCAAGCGACGGACATCCCTTTGGGAAATAAACAAAATAATTAGCACACTTCAAGATTATTAACATTTATGCAGCTTTTTTTTGGTTTGTTTTGTTTTTTACATATTTCATTAGATAGTCGTGTTAAGCCCCGGCAATAAAAAGTTAAGCTTCTTAAAAACTTAATAGAAATTAATCAATGTTACATGACTAATAAACCAAGTAAAAGTTAAGGCTTTATTACTAACCTCTTGTTGGTTTTTTGAGGGGGAGGATCACAAAATAACCAATGCATTTATTTAAAAAGTCTAAGTAATATATTAGTATTACAGTATAGTTCAATCATCAGTTACCAACTTAATGCATCACTGTCATTGAGTCAATCTGAACTAGCTCTTCTTCCACTTCACCTACCAAAATCCCAGGCTCCATCAAGGTAAAATTTCACTTCCTAGATAACTCTTACCACACTGTTTTATACTTATTTACAACAATAAGTACAAATGGAAATATAGTATGATGCTATAAAACAATACAAGTTGAGCATCCCTAATGTGAAAATTCAGAATCTGAAACTTCAGATAAGGGACAGTCAGCCTATAATATATCTTATCCATGTATTTATTCTAGTATTTAGATTCAATGCCTGGCCTATAATAGGTACTCAGTGTTCATAAAAACAGTGATAGACATGGTTCAATTGAATGATCAAACTATACATGTAGCTGGCTATCTGATGAATCATGTCATTTTTCTTTAATCTATTTTTTAAAAGAACCTAAGTTTTTTAAAAAAAGGTTTGAATCAAATAAATGTAAAGAGGGCTAATGTAATTTCACCTCACTGTTAGATAAAATGTGTTTTAGTGAGAAAAGATAATTCTGGTTTCAAATGCGGAGGACAGTTTTTTTACTTGAGTTGTTTTTAGATGGCTAAATTTTTGAGTACTATGCAAAAGGGAAGACTTTCATGAAGAATAATAAAGCCTGGGAGAATCACCTCCAATCTCTGAAAGAACGTGTAAAAGAGTGTTACAGAGATCTAATGTTACAGAGATTATTCTCTGTAACATTCAGAGAGACAAAGAAAACCAGGAACTGGACTATTTATCTAATAGCTTTTCTTTGTGTAATGCAAGATATTTGGGGAGTATCTCTAATTCAACCTCATTTTCTATGGTGTTTTATGGTCTAGTCTATGGTCTTAAAAGAATCTAGTTTCCTTAAGGAGGTACAGTGTGGCACCAGCATATGCTATCACTTATATTCTTGTGTTATGTGTATGTGTCTGAGGGGACAGAGCAGGGATAGGTAGCCTTCCCCCAGCAACAAACAAAATTAAGACATGCTCATTTAGGTAGAAGGAAAAGACATATTCCTTTACAGGAACTTTGAGGAATCTCCACATTTGTGACACACTGGATTCATGAAGGAAATATTGTTTTCTAGTTTACTGTAAGCCAAATTATTATTTTTGCCATATTTCCTTAGAACCCCAAGGGGTCATACTACAGTTGGGTAGTTCCAACACTGGTAACTGAAGGTACACTGCTAGAAATACTTAGCATAAATTCTCACACAAATGTTACAAATAAAATTATGGTGGAATTTAATGTTGTTCGGGGGAAAAAGGGTTAGTGGTAAAAGCAGGTGATAAACTGTTGTTTTCATGGTGACCACTGTAATCCCCCTCACATCCAGAAGGCCCTCTCTCTAGACAGAGCACAGGTACAGCACTATTGCAATGAACACTGTATGGTCTCTCTGAGAAAACTTTTCCCCAGCCTTCAGTGCTATAGTGCATTAAAGTGGCTTTTGTAAGTGTGATCTCCATTGTAATGAGGAAATTTGAACTAAAAATTTTCTGCAGATTCAAATGTAGGGATCTTCCAAGGATATATTAATGAACCTGTCACTAGACCCTAAACTCCAGAAGGGCAGAGATCATGAATGTTAGATCTATTACTAAATATTAAGAATCCAGCACACTGACAAACAATGGATGGATCTGAAAATGTTTGTTAAATGAATGACCAAATACTATGAACATAACAAACCACCAGGCAAAAAAACAAAGGATGGTAACATGAGTAGGCAGAGCTCCTTGGAGTTATGTCTTGAAAGCAGGGCAATGTGGACTGCAACATTCTTTCTTAGTCCCCAGAAGATGGCTGGAGAGGAAAAGCACTGTTAAACAACAACGCCAACACTCTGATAGAACCCCTATGAGGAAACAACAGAGGAAAGCTGCAGCCTCATGACTTGGCTCAGAACAGGTTACACGCATTTCTATTGGTAGCTAGGCTGTCCAAATCAGTTCGGTACAAGAACAATGAATGCTGGAAAAGGGACCAGAACTGTACCACTACTCTGGCTACTGAACAGCTCCACATTGTCCTAAAACAGGCCTCTGGAACTGAAGCTGGCTCCAACCCAATCACCCAATTAGTCCACCCTGGCTGAAAAAAGGTGTGAGCAAAAGAAATAAGGCAGGCACTTGGAAAACAGGTCTAACAGTTCCCTAAAATGCTAAATACAGAGTTACCATATGACCCAGAAATTCTACTCTTAGGTCTATAACCAAGTGAAAGAAAAACAAGTGTTCACATAAAAACTGTATATGCATATTCATTGCAGCATTATTCATTCTAATAGCCACAAAGTGGAAACAACCCAATGTCCAATTGATGAATGGATAAATAAAATGTGACATAGCCACACAATGGAATACTATTCAGCGATGAAAAGGAATGAAGTACTGATATATTCTACAACAATGAACCTTGAACATATGTTAAGTGAGAGAAGCCAGTAACAAAAGACCACATATTATATGATTCCATTTATATTAAGTGTCCAAAATAGGCAAATCTACAGAGATAAAAAGTAAATTAGTGGTTGCCAAGGGTTTGGGGGACAGGGGAGGGAAGTGATTGCTAAGTACAGGGTTTCTTGCTAGAGTGATGAAAATGTTCTAAAATTGATTTGGAGATAACTGCATAGCTGTTAATATACAAAAAAATCATTGAATTGAACACTTTAAATAGATAAATTATATATGCAAATTACATCTCAATAATGTTATTAAAAAAATGAAATATGGCAGGAAGTAGGTTTCCTTGGTATCCTGAAACAGAAATAGTTTCTTGCCTATATATAAAAGGAAGAATTTGAAAGATTAGCTTTCTAAAAATCAGAAATTTTTATTAAGTTTGATAAAATTCTAGCTAAGATACCTAGGCTAAGCTACCTGGGTAACTGGGATCATAAATAATAAACTGACATAACACTTCTATGAACAACCGCCACTAACACTATCCCCCATGAAGAAGTTAGAGTTTCAAAGGAAAATTTTGGCAAACACAAATAAATTTACCTTATTGGGATAAAGGTATTTTTGCTAGAAAATGTTGACGTTCAAGACAATACTGAAATCGGGTGTTCTTTTAACCCTTCATTTATAAGCATTTTATCATCAAAATCTTTCTTTTTTTCTAAGTTTACAGAAACATTAGGCAAAGGGCAGCACAGAACTAAGGTCACTGGAATTTGAAGACCAAGTACCACAGAGTTAAGAAAACAGGTAGGGAGAGGAGGGGGGCAGAAGGAGTGTTCATATATTCATACTGTAAGTTTTTGAGATGTTAATTATGTAAACCATAGTGACAGCCCATTCAGACGGCAGTTTATAAATCTCAGTGAGAAGAAAGAATTGCTTTTTAGAAAAGTTAAGTCTGTAAATACTGGCTTGACACTTAACATGCAAAAACAAACTATTTTAGAATGCGAAACAATTTCTTAAACCATTACATCTTTACTTACCCTTACATAAAAGTTATCAATCTCATGAAACCTGATTACTGGGTTAAGCTTCAAATAGATCTTAATGACAATATTATGAGAGCCTGGAGAATTTTCTTTTCATGTCTATCCAATAAAGTAATAAAATAAACTCTCCTTAGTTTTGTTAGTATGTCATATAACATGAAGGTTTATATAAAACTAAATGGATGCTTTATAATAAGAAGATATTATTTCCATAAATCTCTAGCAGATATATACATCATAATAAATGATAAAAATAGATTATTGTTTGTTTTGACAATTCTTAATCCAGGGAGAACAAATGGCTCCTTTATCCTCTAACACTGAAGCTGAAAGATTGTGTATGAAAAAAATGAGAAAACATATTATACAATGAAAATTTATTCTGAAGACTTTTTATCTCCTTTAATTTCTGATATTATGTTTCTAACAGATACAGGACAGATTAAGATTTTATGATAAAATGCTATCTCTGAGTGTTACTAAAGAGTAAAACTGTTAAAATTACTAAAACATTTAAGAGTAAAAATATCCAGCAGCAATGACAATAGTTACTACAAGGAATCTGATGTTACATTCCAACAAAAAGCAGCAAAAGTTGCCGAGTAATTATAGTTTAAACTTAAAAAATATTTAGAACACTTAGCCACAGAATTTCAAAATTGAAATAGATAGTAAAGTTCAATAAACATTATGAAAGTTTTTTCCTACGTACCTCAGATGGCCCACTGCCCTGGTTCGTACCAGAGAAAGAAGGATATAATCATTCTGTTGACCTTGAAATCTATCAACAGTTGTCACCTAGAAATAAAAAATGGAAAATATGGTGCATTTGCAAAGCCAAAAGATGCTAGAGATCATTTAAATAATGTGCTACAAACAAACATCTTATCCTTAAAATAATCAAACCCAAAAGAAACATAATCATAGACTTGGAATTCCAAGAACAAGTTAATGAACATTATTAAATAAACCATACTAACCAGATCAAACTACATCCTTATGTTATTCACACTTATAGCACTTGTCTTCACCTTTGCTGATAACTAAATAACTATTTTTGGAATTAACAGTCTTCCCCCATTAGACTGCAAAACTTCATGAAAGCAGGGACTATGTCTAGCTTATTAACTGGTATCCCAGTTGGATGCTCAGCAACATAACTTAGTATGCTTATTTATTAACATACCACTAGTAAATGTCTACAGCATTCCTCCATCAAAGAAAAAAAACAAATAATCTTCATTGTACTTTCTGTTCAGTTTGAAAATATATGTACATGGGAGGCCAAGGTGGGCAGACAGCTTGAGCCCAGGAGTTAAAGACCAGCCTGGGCAATGCCGTGAAATCCCATCTCTACAAATTATACAAAAATTAGCTGGGCATGGTGGCGTGTGCCTGTAGTTCCGGGTACTCAGAAGGCTAAGTTGGGAGGATTGCTTGAGCCCAGGAGGTGGAGGTTGCAGTGAGTTGAGATCATGACACTACATTCCAGCCTGGGTAACAGAGTAAGACCCTGTTTTGTTTTGTTTTTTAAAAAAAAGAAGAAAAGAAAAGAAACAGTGTATGTACAAATAGGGAAGTTCAGAAAGGTTTCAGTCACTAATATTGGCAACTCAGGCATTTATCTTTTCATCAATTCAACAAAAAGTTTATTGCTTACCCTGCAGAAACGGTAATTTATAGTCTATCTTTAGGAAGTCTACAAAACACTTTTTAAGTCAACTACATGGAGGTATAGTTTCTACACAATAAAATGTGTTCAAGTGTACAATTTGATGAATTTTGACAATACATTTTCCCATGTGACCACCACCACAATAAAAATGTCCATCACCACAGGCCTCATTTTGGTCAAATCTGCATCCACCAGCCCCGGGGAACCACTGATTTACTTTCTGTCACTATAGATTTTTTGCCAGTTCCAGAATTACATAAAAATAGCATCAAAAGGATATATTATTTTGTGTCCTATTTCTTTCAATCAGCATGTTTCTGAGATATATTCATGTGTGTGTACACAAGAAATTCATACCTTTTTGAGTATTCTCTCACTGAATGAATATACCAGTTTATCCATTCACCTGTTCATGAAAATTTGGTTTCTAGTTTGAAGCTATTTTGCATAAAGCTGCAATAAATATTCATGTACAAATATTTTTGTGGACATGTTTTCATCGCTCTTGAATAAATATGTGGAAGTGAAACTGCTGAGCTGTACAGTAAATGCATACTTCATAAGAAACTGTCAAACTTTTCCAAATTGCCATCCCACTTTACACATTCACCAGCAATGTTCCCGTTCTAGAGTTTCAGTTGTTGTACATCCTTGCCAACACTTGTCATAATGTCAATCTTCATCATTTTACATATTCTTTTGGGTAGGTAGTGGTATATCATTGTAGTTTTAATTTGTATTTCCTTGACAACTAATGATGGTAAGCACTTTTTCATGATGTATTGGCTAACTGTAGGTCTTCCTATGTGAAGTGTCTGTTCAAGTCATTTGCCCATTTTGTATTGGTCTGCCTTATTTAGTAATAACTTTTATAGGAGTTCATATATATTCTGGATATAAGTCCTTTGTTGTTATATGTGGCTATTATACCTGGGAATTCTTTTGCCACTCTGACCATGTGGAGAAATGGGCTCACATACTGACATTGGCAGGGCAGAGTAACATCATTGAGCTACCCTGTAACCCAACCTTGGAACCACCCTATTTCCATCTTGTTATGAGAGACAGTAACCTTCCTTATTATCTGAGTCAGATTTTCTGTAAAAGGACTCAAATATTGAGGTCCTTCTATTTCTAAACTTGCAAAATTATTAGTTTCTTAGTTTCACTCTATTCCTTATGAAGTATTCTGCAGTGTCTATTCTTCCCTATATTCCTTTGATTTTGTTTTCATTCCACTGATTTTATTTTCTTCCAGCTTACATTTCATCTCTTTCTGAGTTCTTACATTTCTCTGCTTTGTAGCTGTTCCTCAAAGACATGGTTACTTCATTAAGTATTTTCCAATTTACAGCAAAATGTATATTTAAAAATTTCATCTTTTCCAGGCCAACATGTTTTCTAGAGCATGTATCCTATCTATGTTTTGCTGTTCTTCATTTTTTCCTATAAATTGAGCTTGTGCTAGTTCCCTTTATACTATTTACCACTGAATAAGTAAGTTTCTTAGATTAGCTACATGTGAGACATTAAGATGGGGTGAGCAAGGCTGTTTTCTGAAGGCTGGATGATTTTCATAACAAAAGGCCCTTTTTTCTTCTACTACTGTCCAGATAGTCCATAAAAATAGAGTTTGTCCCCTCTTTCTGTCATTTTCCTGTTACTTTTGCATAATTTCCAAAAAAGGTGAGCTTTTATATAGCCATGTTCATAACCAAAGTCCTAATTTATCATTAGTATTATCTTTATGTGTTTTCTAATGTATTCAACCCTTCATTAATGAAAGAAGCATCATTTTGTTTGATATTATGCATTTTTCATTATATAAAAAATATTTTTTTAAATCCCAAGGTCTGAATACATTTTACAATCTTCCCTTATTCCCAAGACAACCTCCCCTTATACACAATAAAAAGCAGTCTAAATTATATCTCTGCAAAGCAAAACAAACATACTCCTCATTACAGTACACAAATTATAATGTAATTTTGTTATATATCATTTTATGAACAAAAAGTTTCAGAAACATTTATTTCTGTTATCATCAATAAATATCTTTTATGCAGTAGTTGAGATAGAAAGTCACAGCAAACCAGCAAGACTGTCAGATAGGGTTGTCAGAGAATTATTTATAGTTACCATTATTTCATTTTCTCAACTATCTTAAAAAGAGACAGCAAAGAGACAAAGTAGAACAATATAAACCTTTCCATCTTGCCAAAATGATGAATAAGAGAACTTATAAAAGTACCTTGTTTGGTCTTCCAATCAATGGATTGTTTCCACATCGTCTATTGATGATGTCGCGAATAAGATGCTTTTGGCCATTATACGTTGTTAGAATACTGATTTTGTCAGCAGGATAACCAAGTAAACACATGTACATAAAAAGTGCTACTACGTATTCTGCCTCTCCAAGATTCTGCAATGCAAACACAATCAGATTGTGCATTTATTTGCTTTTGTTTCAATTTTATAGAGGAAATGTCTGATGTAGATAAGCACAATTTGTTCACTTTGCACACTGCAAGAAGTGAAGACTTAGTAACTTGGATAAGTGAACACCTTTCATAAAACTGAGGGATTATCTTATGCTACATTAACACTGATAAATAAAAACTTTTAATTTGCAATACATGGAACAATCCTAAAATAAAACTTACCAACTTAAAGGCTTAATATTCCTAAGACCACAACAATCCCAATATAGATTAATACTATTCTGGCCAGGTATGGTAGCTCACATCTGTAATCCCAGCACTTTGGGAGGCCAAGGCACACAGATCACTTGAGTCCAGGAGTTTGAGACCAATCTGGACAATACGGTAAAACCCTGTCTCTACTAAAACACAATTATTAGCTGGGCGTGGTGTTACATGCCTATAGTCTCAGCTACTCTGGAGACTGAGGTTGGGGGATCGCTTGATTCCAGGAGGCAGAGGTTGCTGTGAGCTGCAATTGTACCTCTGCAATCCAGCCTGGTGACAAAGTGAGATCTCATCTCAAAAAATAAAAAATAAAAAATAAAAAAATTCTATATAGTGTACCACAACTGTAGTTATTACACACAGACACAAAACTATAAAGGAACAAAGTAACTAAGAAGCCAATACAGGGCCGGGCGCGGTGGCTCACGCCTGTAATCCCAGCACTTTGGGAGGCCGAGTAAGGTGGATCATGAGGTCAGGAGATCGAGACCAACCTGGCTAACGTGGTGAAACCCCGTCTCTACTAAAAATACAAAAAATTAGCCGGGTGCGGTAGCCGGCGCCTGTAGTCCCAGCTACACGGGAGGCTGAGGCAGGAGAATGGTGTGAACCCGGTAGGCGGGGCTTGCAGTGAGCCGAGATCGCGCCACTGCACTCCAGCTTGGGTGACAGAGCGAGACTCCATCTCAAAAAAAAAAAAAAAAAGAAGCCAATACAATACCCAGTTTAACAGCATATACTGTTAGTCAACTAGCAGTATTATAGTTGACTCAATTTTTACACAATGCCTTTCCTTCTTCCTCATGTTTCTTAATGTTTTTTGTATGCTTTGTTTCTGTTCTCTGCATGATGGTTGTCACTTCTACTAGATCACTTTAGGTGGGATGAGAATGTGACCTCAAATTGGTCAGTCTGGTTTACTGTTAAATTACAGACTAGTAAGGAGCTTAAAACTAAGGCTTATTCAACCTAAAGGTGAGGAATCACACACAAAGCTGTTTGATCCAGTTTAGTAGAGACTAAATCCAAAGTACTAGATGAAAGAAGAAAGTAAAATAAGAATATAAACACAATATTTAAAATAAAAAAAAAAAGGAAGCTGGATTTCATGCAAAGGAAACAAAGATTACTGTAAGACTTCTAGAAATATCATTTATATTCTGGTTCTTTGTGACACACAGCTTGAGTTACAAGCATTTAAGTTTTCTTGTTCTTTAACATTTCCCAATTTGGTACTTTGCCCAAAGGTTAGACATGAAGCATTAACAAAAAAACAACATGAACTGTATTGTGACCAAACATTTTAGAACTCGCTCCAAATGAGTCAAGTCCCCTTTCAATTAGTGACTTTTATTCATTTATCCACCTAGTCTTTCCCTCTCAGACACTAATTCTTCGAATGTTATCACTTAAATGCATAATATTCTTATTTTGGGGGATAGTGTTTTCAACTCTTCAGAAATATATTTAATAGTGGCAAATCATCATCTGAAAATATATTTATTTCTTGACTCGCTAAAAACTCATCTAGAGTTAGGCTTAATGAAAAACAGGTAACCAATCTGCATAAAAATGTTTCAATCCATAGTACAGTATGACTCAAGCAATGAAACTGACTCAAAGGAGAAATTCCAAAAACTATTAATGTAATGAAAACATCAGTTGATTACGACAGAATACTTAATTAATTTCTAAGGTGGCTATTAGGAAACATCACTGATTTGAATTAGGTTCTAATATTTTTAAAGTTATCATTTAAAAGGTCACTCTGTTCTCAGGCAGTAAATACACAAATAGAGTAACTTGATTTAATATAACCAAATATTTGGAGGGAAAATAAGATCTGCATGAGTTACATCTACACATACACATTTAAGCTGATGATCTATGATGCTTTTTCGTGAATAACTCAAGATCTCTAATTTATATAACAACCTATATTGGATATTTTGCTGTAAAGAGAGAGAGAAAAAAGAAAAATTTAAAATAACCCCAAATGCTATCAACCAAAGACTATATTTTGATGTATACGCTGCCAGGTCATTTTGTATAGATTATCTGCACATATTTCTATATGTACATATTGCTGCTCCTTTTTAAAATGAGATGACTATAGATACACTTTGCAATTTTTTTCCACTTAATATAGCATAAACATTCTTCCTGTTAGTAAACACAATGTTATCATTCTTAGTGGCTATCTAGTATTTCTTTTATATGGAATGTAATAATGCAATTAATCCCTATTGACAGATATTTAGGTTGTTTCTCATTTCCAAAATAATTTGCAGTGATGAGCATTACGCATACAAGTCTTTGCAAACTTGCCCAATTATTTTTGCGGATAAATTCCTAGAAGTGAGAACATGGTTTTTAATATATGTTAACAATCTGTCCACCAAATTATTTTCCTACTAGCATTATATGAGAATAAAGTTTCCCCAAACCTACCCCAACCCTGAGCATTGTTAAAGAGGTGAAAATGTGATTCAGTGATTTACACTTGTTATAAAATATGAATTGCATACCATATTTTCTATTAGTCTTGATTTTTTTAAGTAATTTGAGTTCTATAAATATATTCAGAATTCAACTTATTGTTCATTAAATATTGAAACAAATTTTAAATATTGAAAATAAATTTTTTCTCCAATCAGTATTTTTCTTTATGATTTCTGCTTTTGTAACAAGCTTAGAAGACCTTCCTCACTGTAACACTATATATTCATCAATATTTTCTTCTGGTAGTTTCTAGTTTGTTTATAGTTTTCTTAGTGCATGTATTTTTAATTAATCTGAAATTGATTTTTCGTATGTTGTGTGTAAGGTGGGGTTCCAATTTTCCTTTTCTCAATGGCCAAATGGTTAAGTATCACTGATTTAGGCATACATCGGCCAGCAAATGCAAAATAAACTTAAAAGCTTCCTATTTTTTCTTACCTGATAGAAGTAAGGATTAGGTTCAGATTCTCCCACTCCTTGAAAATCTTCAACATTAATGAGCTGGAAGTCATACAGTAAGCCAGCATTTGCTGTACTAAACTCTGGCAAAAGCTGCACATGGGGTAAGTTTCCTAGATTCTTGTATCGCCAGTTGTAGAGGTTGCACAAGCTTTCCAAAGACAAATCCCCCCACAAACAGAAAATATTAGCAGTGTAAAATCCCTTTTAATATACCTAAGGAGGTTTCTCTGTTTCTTTCAAATTTTCATGTTAGCCATTTTTGCTCATCTTTTAAGCAATAATGCTCTTTCAACCCTTGCTTCCCTACTTCACGTAACCAAAGGTCAGAAGACTGAAGGTACTACAAAAATAAGAGTTCTATCACACTCTCTGAGATCAATGCTATCTTTATCCCTTAAATTAAAAAGTCAAGGCAGACTAAAAATTGAGGACATCTGGAGGTAACTATGAGATGGGGCTTGCATCCTTTATGAAGTAAGAATTGGTGTGTTCTCCTCTTGTTCACTTTTTTTAAGATTTCAAAATTATATTAACTGTATATCTTTTGGGGCATGAAGGAGAAGGGACAACGAAAAGAAGCCCTTAGATTATACATTACTGAAATTAATCTTAATGAATGAAATGAAGGAAATAAATTATTTGGTCCATTCATATCTCTTGCAGTAGTCAACAAAAGTGCTTTTGGATTTACAGGTAGCCAAGTTCCTGGATAGCCAGGAATGCTAACAGTCTACACAAAAGCTATTCACAAATACTTGGATCATGGAACAAATGTCCTTAAATGGGAATGATTTTTTTTTTCCTGTCTCCTTTACCTTGCTCTGGCTCTCCCTTGAGCATCAAGGTCCACAGTTGGAACTCCAACGCGAACAAAGCGAGTGAAGAGAGACTGCTCCATGTTTGAGTACTTTTGAAAGGCCATGTTCTTAATAACTGGAGGTAACTGGTGATGATCGCCAATCATAATCCATCGTTTTAGTCGGCTAAATCCATCCTGAGGATTCTAGAAGTGAAAAGTAAGGAAATGGCAAAATACTCTATTATCCTCTAGTCTCCAATTTATTACCCAAGGGACTTACTCTTCATCAAACAACTTCCTTATCTTACAAAATTACCAATCTTTACCAGCTCCACAAGGAGGAGTCTGGCAAATTTATAGAACAATTTGTGAACTAATTATGGACATTATTGCCTTGGATGACAGTGGGTGAGGGAGAATGGAGGTATTTAGAAGGCAAGCATGGAATTACCCTACTTTAATAGGCAGGGTAATCCAAAGAGGTCTGGAAGGATTAGGTCAGCATTAGGTAACGAGTACACAGAAGGAAACAGAAGCCCAAGAAGAGAAATGGAAAGATGTGAAATAAACATGTTTCACAATTAGCTGAGGACCAATTCTGAACCCACCAAAGCAGTAAAAACTACTTTCTTTAATTATCTACACTACTACTTCAAATTTCCTACTCTATGTGTCTCCTAGTTCCTTGAAACATATCCTGATAGAATACATTCCAACTTCCAAGTGGCTTCACTTATAAAAACAACTTTTGGAACTCAATTTATCTGCATATTAGAGTGGTCTCTATTCTTAAGTTGGGAATTCCACATTTTGTTTTTAATGCTTCAATAGTAAAGAATATTGTACAGTAAAAAATATTCTTAAATAGCACAATTTAGCTCAAAAACTTAGGCATAAAGAAAAACAATGCATTCAGTGAATATGAAAAAATAATTCTACAAACAATTATAACAAAAGAAATGAAGAAACAGCTCATCTTCCCACTAACCTGCACAACAATGTAATTTTCTTGATTAAAATTACTAAATCTTTTCAAAATTACAGAAATAAACTATGAATTTTTAAATAGTACTTATGGAAGCAAAACAACTACTAAATAAATAGAGAGTGAATAGATTCAAGAAAGTTTACAGGGCCGGGCGCGGTGGCTCACGCCTGTAATCCCAGCACTTTGGGAGGCCGAGGCGGGTGGATCACGAGGTCAGGAGATCGAGACCATCCTGGCTAACATAGTGAAACCCCGTCTCTACTAAAGAATACAAAAAATTAGCCGGGCGTAGTGGCGAGCGCCTATAAGTCCCAGCTACTCGGGAGACTGAGGCAGGAGAATGGCATGAACCCAGGAGGCGGAGCTTGCAGTGAGCGGAGATTGCGCCACTGTACTTCAGCCTGGGTGACAGAGCGAGACTCCGTCTCAAAAAAAAAAAGACAGTTTACAGGCTTAAAATAGAATACCAAACATAATGAAGTTAAGGAAAATACAGAACTATGGCAATTAGCACACCCAAACTGTACAGCTTTCTGATGCTGTCCTCAGCATTCTTAGAACTCTATTTTCTTTGCCTCAGATCTTATATTTCTTACCTGTAGAAGAAGAGGGATAAAAGTTTCTATCTCCAGAATCTGAGCAGCCTCTTCCATCAAAATGTTGTCATACTGAGAAAGAAAGAGGAAAGCCTGTCATAAAGACAGCTTAAAAGCCAAACAACTACTATAATAAACATAATCATCCAAAAACCCCCAAATAATTTCAGATAAAAACAACAACATACAAATTATTCAGACAGATAAAAACAACAACATACACATTATTCAAACAGAAACTTCATGGTCTTATTTATCACTATGCCTCTGCATTTCCAATTCAAGTATTTGACTTCAGGAAAGCCCCCTAAATACATAACTTTACATTGAAGAGATCTTGTATATCATTTCTTGAATTGCAATGCCAATTTGGTTCTTTTCAATTAAGTTATTTATTTCTACATCAGAAAAAATCAATTTATAATTATATATGAGGTCGCTCCCCTTGGTACTCTTCCTCTAGGGAGTATTTTGGGATAATTTTTTTCCTATATGAATCTTACCCATCACAACAATCCACTTCAGTCCCACCCTTGGGCATTTAATCCGTCACCACAGCATGTCAATTTTACCTTTGAAACTCTTGAGTCTATTCATTTTTCTTTATTTCTACCAGCACTACCACTCTAAAAATCCAAGCTACCACTATGACTACAGATAGCAAACTCCTTACTAGTTCCTCCTCTTCCTGTCTTGACTCCTCCAAGGCACTTCCACAACTCCTTATTTCAAATCCTTCACACTACTGTTTTAGGGGAAAAAAAATCTCTTAACATTGCCAGTAAGGATGTATTTACCAAGAACTGATATTCAATCTAGTCCCTGACTCCCTTTTGTACTTTATCTTTCTCCTTACTCACTAAGCTTCAACCACAACGGCCTATTTCAGTTTGTCTGAAATGGCAAAACCTTTCCTGCCTCAGGCCCTTTGCACATGCTATTCTCTTCACTTTTAGTCTAGTTGGTTCTTTCTCATCCTTAAAATATCAGCTTAAAAGCCACTTTATCTAGGCCTTCTCTGACCTCCCAATCTAAAACTGATCTCAAAGTACCAAAGTACTGTTCTTTTGTCTTTCAGATCTTCACATTCATAATTCTATCTGTATATTTACTTAATATCTGTATCTTTTCCCTAGCCCAGTTCCCAGTAATGTTAGGTATTACACATCTGTAAAAGAATGAAAAATCAAGTCTTTCTCAAACATGAGAAAATTTCATTCTTTCTTTGACAATTACTACTCTTCTATCTGTCCAATTCTCATTTAGATCTATTCTCAACATGTTTCATCTTTCCTCTTCACTTCTAATTCTGATCGCTACTTAGTATGACATCTTCTTGTTTTAGTACAATACCTTCTTCTTGAATCTAAGTATACATCAGAGTTCTGTTGCTTTGTTTTTAAAGATTGCTCCCATTATTTTATTTTCCAGAGAGGTGGGAGATGGGGTGAGCATATTTACTCTGAATGTTTAATTCTCCTGTTTTAAAGTTATGGTTCAATTCTGGACTGTTATTGAAACTACTCGAAGGTGTAGGCATGTGGATGGTCTTTTCTCTAGCTCTATAATAATGCCAGATTTCCCTCTTAAAATGATTAGGTCATTTTTGTGGGAGCTCAACAGAAGGAGGAATTCAAACACCCACATTGTCTAAGAAGTCCCTGTGTAGACTCTCAGGATTACAGGTATAATATGCAAAACAGAGTGGGGGCAACTCAAAAGGAGATAGCTTAAAAAGACTGCTTTCTGAAAATCAATTCTGAAAATATAATGCAATTTTACTTATAAAAAATATTTATAGATTTTGCTTTTTAAAAGGGAGATTTTAATTCCAAAGCAAAATTATCACCACTTTAGTTACTCGTTCCATGTATTTATTAGTCAGATCATTCATTCAACTCTTACTAATCTCTACTAACATATTACATGTTGGGTTGGCACTTGATGCTCCAGGCCAGGGACCAGGCTAGGAGCTGGTCTTTGTGACCTTTCAAAGGATTCCTAAATTCTACAGCCACCGTTACCACAGTTCTACGGTTCTTTAGTGGATTATAGCTGCTAGGATAGGGTCAGGGTGGTGTAAGAGTAAGGGCACAACAGACTTTAAATTCTTAGAAAACCACTTTTTAATACTAGCTCTGTAAGTGATTTCCTGTGCCTCTAAGGTAATCTCTCTTGAGTCACCCTTTCTCAGCCATAAAATGGAGGTATCTTGGTTGGGTGCGGTGGCTCACAGCTGTAATCCCAGAACTCTGGGAGGCTGAGGCAGGTGGATCCCTTGAGCTCAGAAGTTCGAGACCAGCCTGGCCAACATGGTGAAACCCCCGGCTCTACTAAAAATACAATAAGTTGGTTGAGCGTGGTGGCACGTGCCTGTAATCTCAGCTACTTGGGAGGCTGAGGCACTAGAAGTGCTTGAATGCAAGAGGCAGAGGTTGCAGTGAGCCGAGATCACGCCACTGCACTCCAGCCTGGGCAAAAGAATGAGACTCTGTCTCAAAAAAAAAAAAAAAAAAGAGAGCGCTCATATAAAGATCTAGTTGTGAAGAAGAGAAATAAATCATTGTAAGCATAGAACTTCGTGCACTGTAAACACAGAACTTGGTATATAGCTGACGCTCAACAAATGATGGTTACTATCATTGTTTGTTTTTGTTATCATTCTGATAAATTTCCTTCTACAATTTCTAGAACTCAAAATGGGTTTAAGATGATCAACATTGAATCAACAATTCCTGAAAACAGACAAGCAAATTAGAACTAATATTTAACTTCATGTTTGTAAAAAATTGGGGCTGGGCATGGTGGCTCATGCCTGTAATCCCAGCATTTTGGGAGGCTGAGGCAGGTGGATCACTTGAGGTCAGGAGTTCAAAATCAGCCTGGCCAATATGGTGAAACCCTGTCTCTACTAAAAATACAAAAATTGGCTGGGCCTGGTGGCAGGCGCCTGTAATCCCAGCTACTTGGGAGGCTGAGGCAGAAGAATCGCTTGAATTCGGGAGGTGGAGCTTGCAGTGAGTCGAGATTACTCCATTGCACTCTAGCCTGGGCAACAGAGCAAGGCTCCCTCTCAAAAAAAAAAAAAAGGCTTCAACAAAATACAAATTGAAACAAGTGATAGACTTCTGTTACAAGGTGATGAACTGAACACTTAATGATCACCACTATCTCTGGAAACCCCCTAAAATAATACTTGACATCATATAGTGAAATTGTACCCCAAAGAGTTAAAGAAACCAGCAACTAAGAGAAATTCCTGAGTTCACAGGATAAGAAAAGAAACACCTTGCTGCAAAGCTGAAACTTCCTTTGCTTCTAAGATAATAAAACTGGCTGAAACTGGCTGGAACCAGTATAGCCAACTAGAGTTAGCACAGAAAGAGCCCGCTTACATCACAACCCAAATTGCTACCATGTTTCACATTAACTCCTCCAGAACCCACACAGCAATCCAAGAGGTAGCATGAAGAGAAAACTGTGCATGCTTTCCTTCCTTCCACCAATCACTTACTAATCCCAGAATCCACCCCATATACCTTTTCTAATAAAATTACTGCCTTAAAGTCAGTATGGGGACATAGATTTGAGCTTGACTATGTTCTTCTCATGAGTCAACTTGCAATAAGAAGCTTTTTTTCCCCCTCAAAAACCTGGTGTTAGAGTATTGGCTTCTAGTGCACCGATCAGCAAGCCCCTTTTGCTTGGTAACAATAAGAATGGTTTAAAGAGGCAATTAGACGTCCCCACTTCAAGGAACCAAATAAATGTCCCTCCTCTCTCATCCCCAATAGATGACAGATTTAGTGTCTGGAGAGGATCTTGGAACTTGGAGAAAGCAGGCAGAGTTAAGAAGGTGGGATCAGAAATGAGTGCCATACAGAAAGTTGGAATTATGTCAAAAGTCTGTGTACATAACAGAATGTGGAGAAGTCTGGCTCTCTTTCTCCATCCATCTCCCACAACCCAGGGATCCAGGAAAGTAAGAGTCCTTCTTCTCCCTTTGTATCCCTAAGACATACCACTGAAATTTCAGAACTCTAGGGACAAAGAAAAGATTGTAGGGCTTCCTGACAGAACAAAAATGTGAAACAAAATACATTTAAAATCATGGCTTTGGGCTTCTGAACAGCTACACTGGAAGGCAGAGAAAATGGAACAATTCTTCAAAATTCTGAAGGAAAAGTATTTCCAATCTAGAAATCTATATCTAGCCATAATAATTAAATGTGAGAGTAGATTTAAAACAGTTTTTGGACATGGAAAGTCTTAAAAATATGGCCTCCTATGTATTATTTCACATGAAAGATACTGGAGGATGTATTCTACTAAAAGACAGAAGAGAAAGACACAGAATGCCCAAAACAGAATCTGACATATGAGAAAGGCAAAGGCTTAGAATGGATGCAATGTGAACTGAAATAGGTCAGGAGTATCTAGGCGAGAGATCTCCAAAAACATGTATGTGATGTGTCTAAATGTACTAAGAAAATATTTAAAAGCTCAACACAGTTTTGGGTTGAACTGGTGGTAAAAACAGAAAACTAAACAAACAAAAAAGACAAAAATCATTAATTCCAGAAAGAAAAAAAAATATGCATGAAAGGAAAACTAATCATGGTATATTCCCCTGCTTGGATGTGAAAGTGTTCATGTGTTAATAATGATGTAAACACCCAAAAGTGAGCAAACCAAAGTTATGACATAACTATATCGGAAGCGTTAAGGAAGGAAAGGTACATGCACACGTGCATGAATGTGTATCTATTTGTCCTTTGGGTCAGCACAGAATCAAAAGACAATGCCTAAAATGGAAATTTACCATTCTTGACCGATACAGATGAAAAGGATAAAATACAGAGTTGAAGGAATGGATAAATGGGACGGATGAGCGGAATGGAGGACTGCCTTTTTTTGTTAAGCAGACCTACAAGGTTTTTAAAACTCTTAAGTGTGATAAAAATAAAACTTTGAAATCAAAAATATAGAAAACCTATTAGCACTCATGCTAACTATCCTTTGACGTGTAGCATGATTTAAATGTAGAAAATGACTACTGAAAATTTGATAAGTAGTACTTTTTTAGAACACATGCAAAAGCTCCATGAAAGCAAAAAAATGTTAATTATGGTTGCATTATTTTCCCTTGTTATTAAGCTATGATTTAATATCAAAGTATATGTTATATATCAGCTCCAAGAACAAAATATTCAGGTTAAAAATTCTCACCAATAATTTGCAAAAGGGTAAGTTCACATCACTAGGGTATGTTCACACTACTTTTTAATAAATTGTTATATTTGTCCCACCTTGCAGCTGAGGAACCTTGCGTCCAAGATAACAATTTCATCACCTTGAATTTATTTATCTTTCAGTGAGCTCACAACATTTAAAAATTGTCAGTTACTTTAATCAGCAAATGAATTACTAATTTTTAATTCAAGCCCATATACAGAACTCTGTTTTAAACAACAGATAAACCAGTTGCAGGAAAGTTAAATGACTGTATTAAAATCTAAGTTCTGATCAGCATCACTAGCAAAGTCAAAAAATTTGCAAATTCAAATTTACAGCTCAATCATTACATTCCACTTCAAATGAGTCACAGATTAACAGGCTATCATGTCCTCCTCCTGTTTTTAATTAATACCTTATTTTGCAGTCTAAATAAGAGTATTCCATATCCTCATATGAAAGGCTTTTCATTTGCTAAGTACACAAATAACTGGAATGGTTGTATGTTTAACATGTGAATAATCTAAGCATACAGATGTTTAATAGATGAAAACCACTTTGGTTTTTGTTTGTTTTTGTTTTAAGATGGATTCTCACTCTGTCATCCAGGCTGGAGTGCAGGGGCGCAATCTCGGCTCACTGCAACCTCTGCGTCCTGGGTTCAAGCGATTCTCTTGCCTCAGCCTCCCGAGGATTACAGGCACATACCACCATGCTCGGCTAAATTTTTGTATTTTTAATAGAGACAGGGTTTCACCATACTGGCCAGGCTAGTCTCAAACTCCTGACCTCAAGTGATCTGCCTACCTTGGCCTCCCAAAGTGCTGGGATTACAGGCGTGAGCCACACCTGCCTGAAAACCATTTTGAAATGTTCTTTTTATAGCTTTTATTTCTGTTTGGAGATATTTTTATTATTACTATTTTTGTAATTAGGCGAATTTTAGGTTTTTTTCATAAGCTTTATTTGGAGATTTTTAAATAAGTGATACTCAGTAAAAATAAAACCTTAACAAGTATGAGAATTTGGTCAGACAACCATATCGTTATAATGTTACCTAATGGACAAATTACTAATAACTAGATTTAGAAAAATTAGATTCAGAGTTCACTAATCATGTAAACATGGGATATTATCATTCACTTGTAAAAGAAACATTTTAAGGTAATTATAAATACGAACTTCAATAAGAAGTGAGCCAATCTCTGATAATCTTTAAAAAAAAAAAAATAACATAAGTCTTTACCTTGAAACCTAACTTGACCAAGTCATGTCGTTTTAAGGCAGCATGAGTACAGGTCATAGCAATAATTTTGGCTTCTTTCACTAGAAGGTATTTAGATCTGTCCAGTCCACTTCGAAGCAATTCAGAGGCTCTGAATTCCTATGGAAATGAGGAGCAATGAAAGATAATTTTAGGAAAATGGAGTTTTGCACATAACTATACAATCCAATCAGACTTAATTCCTGAGAAATTAACATACATATATTATAAACTAAGCCTAATGAATTATAATTCTGTTCATTATGATTTGGGTACTAACTGAGTTCAAATAGTAGCTGAAATAAAAGTTATAATTCAAACTTTTTTGTATGTCAGGTAAAATATGTACAACATAAACAAGAATACTGAATAAAATTCAATGATCCTTGTACCTGTATCACTCAACGTCCCTCTAGGAAAATAGAAACGATTTCAAGTACTCATATCAAAGGAAATTTTAGCAAGAAGCTGGTTATACAAGTGATAGAGGAACTATAAAGGTAATGTAACTTAGAAATTACAGACAGCAGCAGTCACCATTATCCCTAGACTAGAAAGAATAAAGGTAGGAAGTGGTATTATCAGAGCCCAGGGACTGTAGTCACACAAAAAAGCTGGAACCCCAAGTTTTTCCAGGAGAAACTGGAGTCATGAAAGAAGTGGAACCCAAGGTAGAGGGAAATGATGAAGAAATACCTTGGCACTCTGTCATTGGCTATACTAAGCAAGAAGTCAGCTGACATAGGAAGCTGGGAAATTAAACCTGCAAGGGTAAGTCAGAACATCAACCATGGCAGAGGATCCCCAACAGAGCAGAAAAGGGTATGGACAATAGATGGATATGAGGGGCAAACAAGTCAAACCAGAGTACCCAATGTCAAGTTTCATAAAATCTGAGCCTTACCAATACTTCTTTCAAACTTTTTTTTTAACATTTCTGTTTTGTTTTTTAAATAATTAAAATATTACAAATATAGGTGAGGTACCCTGTATAACCTTCTGCCTACTCCCTCCCAAGGCAGCTATTATTATGAATTGAGTATGTTTTTATCCTTTCACTTTGTGTTTATCTAACCATAAACATAATACATTTATTATTCCGTACTTACCATCCAGCCACCTAACCATATACATTTCAATATTTACTGAATGTATACTACGTGCCTGATACAGTTCTAGGAAGTGGGTATATAATCACATCTAAAAGACACAAAGACAAGAAACAATGTCCCTGATTTTTCTACCTTTCTACCTGAAAATTTAATCCTAAATTTTCTTACTGAGGAATCTGAGCCTGAATATGATCCCTTTATAGGACCGCTGTAGTTTTTCAATGATGTTTGCTATGTATTTTTGCAATGATGATTCTGCAGTGATGTGGCAAAAACTAGGAGACGTATCCAGGGGGTGCTGGGTTCCAGATATACTCTCTGTTCCCATTGTGTAGCTATGACTCATTTCACTTTAATAATCAGAATCAATCATCCTGGTTACTACAGCAACCCCACCATTTTACTGATCAAGAGGCATACAGGACTTAGAATGGCCACATGGCAGTCTCAAATTCCAATTCAAAGAAGCATTATTGAATTTCTTGATGGAAGCATTCCTTTCTCAAAAATACTAAGACCTTTACATCAGGAAAGCCAGAATAAAGATCTAATTTATATCTTACTTAAAATTAACAATCTAATTTCTAAGATTTGAATATTTCAGGCTGGGTGTGGTGGCTCACACCTATAATCCCAGTACTTTGGGGGGCAGAGGCAAGCAGGTAACTTGAGGTCAGGAGTTCGAGACCAGACTGGCCAACATGGTGAAACCCTGTCTCTATTAAAAACACAAAAATTAGCTGGGCAAGGTGGTGTACACCTGTAATCCCAGCTGCTCGGGAGGCTGAGGCAGAAGAATCACCTGAACCTGGAAGGTGGAGGTTGCATCGAGTCAAGCTCATGCCACTGCACTCCAGCCTGGGCAACAGGGCAAGATTCCGTCTCAAAAAAAAAAAAAAAAAAAAGTTTTGAATATTTCACATTTACTTAAAAAAAAAAAAATTAAAAACCATTATAGTTCAAAGAACTAGAGAATCCTTACCTCAAGCTGAGTAAAGATTTTCTTAATATGCCTGAAACATCCTTCAGCAATTTCCATGTCTTCTTCGTAAGATCTTCCTTTAAAAATAGGTTGAGGAGCATTTGCAAAGTATTCATGGAAAGGGAAGAAAGTGGAGACTTCTGTAACATCTGGCAATGTACTACCTTTATTTTTCACTTTGCTGATATACTCTTCCCAACGAGACATTACCTGTAGAAAAAAGGACTTGAGGTTAACTGCCACCTAATTATGATGTTTTAAAGCATAAAATAAATAAACCTTATAAAAACAAGATCTGCTACATGAAAAAAAAAAAAAAAGAAATTCAATCTTTGATCCAATGTAAGTATTCTTCATTCCTGTAACTGACAGATTGCTCTTCTGTTGTAAAAGTAACCTTGTCTTTGGAGAAAAAAAGGCTCCTTAATAACAAATTTCTACAAACTGGAAAGAGCCTCAACGTCATCTTACGGAACTCTAACTCAGACAGTTCAGATTCTCCATGTAACTCAAGATAGTTTACTACTAATACTTAAAAGAAATGTAAAGGAAAGAAAGCTCTCTGGATAAAGAAATTTCTCATTTTTTTCATCTCTGTTTCTCTCCATATATGGTAAGTTCAGTTTTAGCAGCTTTTTAATCAATTTGGCACTTGTCAACCCTTCTCCCAGATTTTTAGAACATTTATAAAGAACGTGTGGTTAAGCTGAGTGCATATTTGAAAGCTTATGACTTTTGTGATTATAGTTCAATTACTTTGTATAATGTTAGCTATGCCTCTACCAGGCATTTACTGTGTAACCTCAATTTCTGTAACTCTCCCAGGTATTTTTCTGTTATAATCTCAGTATTTCACAAAAGTGTAGTCCTTAGGCAAAACATCTGAGGAGCTAAATAAAAATGTGGATTCTTGGATTCCACCTCTATTGAATGAGAAGCTATAGGAACAAGGGCTAGGGAATTTAACTCATGAACAACTTTCCTGATATGATTCTTAAATGTTGAAAATTGCCAATTTACACTGTGAAGCCTCAAGTTCATTTTTCCCAAATTTATTACATAAACCTTCATAATTCATAGGTTATTTTTCCCACTTTTAAACACTGTTTTCACTGAAAGCCAAGTAATTTTCTGTGTCAAAAAAGCATTTAAGCATGATCTTTACTACTTTATGCAAATCCTAAACAGTCTTGAATCTCATGTAGGCTGTATTATGTATTTTCCCTGCGTCACAAGAAACCATGAAAGTTACTCATTTTGAATGGACTTAACTGCTTTGTGATATCCACTTACAATAAGCTTACAATATTATAATTTATATCTAAAATATATAATTAGCATTAAAACAAAGAGAACAAATAGTTATACAAAAATCTTCATTATCCAATTATGTCCTAGTCCATTTAAAATTATTAGTAATCCAACCGACTATTAAAGTTTAGTTTTATTCACTTTATTTGGCTATTTCTCATTGGTTTGCATGCTTCCAAAATTAACCCTAACAAAAGTAAAAGTACACTTTTTTATGAAGTCAGAAGCCTTTAACTTCAAGACCCACTGTGCAATTAGTTGTAAGACATAATTTATTTCTGGAAATTTGAAAGAAGAATGTTTTCCTTCATTAGTTGATTAATGTATACAATAAAAGTTAATTATACTTTGTTGCCACTGGGTAGCTAGAATATTTATTTAGTTGTATTTCTACAGTAAAAAAAGAAAAAAGAGTAACCAGAACTTTGTCAACAGAAAGAAAAAAATGTAAAAATTAGCAACACTGGTCTTTCACAGAATGAGTCATCAAGCAAAGTTATTTAGCAAAGAAAATGGAAGATAATACAAAATACACAACATTCATAAATAAAGCTTTTGCAATACCATATATTCTAATCTACTCAAAAAAATAAGCTTTCATGAAGGATCACAAGAACTCATTCCAGCTTCCAATTGGGGTTCATATTATGATGAAGTATGATTCAAAAACCCTTAATATCTTACCTGGTATAAGAAGAAATAGCCTGCAGTTTCACAGGTATATGAGGCATCTCCTGGAACCCCTAGACTCTTTTGCAATCGTTTGACTTCTTCTAAAAGTTCTATTCTTCGAGCCAGAACATAATTAACTCTTCCATACCTAGACATTTCAATTAGGTAAAATGGCAAAACTGTAATAAAGAGACTTTGAAAGAAACAATCAGCAAAATTCAAGAAAACCATAATAGCAAAAAAGGGGAGAAAAAAATAGAAGACATGGCTTCTATTCAACTACTGATGGTAGTTCTCGGGTTACTTTACTCTAAAAGCTACTTAGAGGAGGCCGGGCACGGTGGCTCACGCCTGTAATCCCAGCACTTTGGGAGGCCGAGGCGGGCGGATCATGAGGTCAGGAGATCGAGACCATCATGGCTAATATGGTGAAACCCTGTCCCTACTAAAAATACAAAAAAATCAGCCAGGTGTGGTAGCACACGCCTGTAGTCCCAGCTACTTGGGAGGCTGAGACAGAAGAATGGCATGATCCAGGGAGGTAGAGCTTGCAGTGAGCCGAGACTGCGCCACTGCACTCCATCCTGGGCGACAGAGCAAGACACTGTCTCAAAAAAAAAAAAAAAAAAAAAAAAAAAAAAAAAAAAAAAAACTACTTAGAGTATACTCTATGGACCAGCATTGATCTGCAAGGGTGTTTCTGGTCTAGGAGGAGGGAAAACCAATTACATCACTAAATACACCATTTAGTTCAGCTCTCAACGTTTCTTCTCACAATAAGACACTTTCACAAAGAAGAAAGCAGGACAGTTCATCTGGTGCTAGTTTATTTCATCACAGACTAATAACATACAAGTTCACAAACTGGCTGCTTCAAACAGCACTGTTTTACACTATATAATAGTAGATTAGATCTAAAGGCTTTGAAAAGTAATTTTAAATGTATTTGATTATCTCTGTCATCTACATATCCCAATACATAGCTTGGCACCCAAACCTAGCAGGTTCATAATGTTTGCTGAATGAGTAAGAAAACTGAAGTTTGGAGAGCACCTCATCCAAAAACACACAGTTAGGGAAGAAAGTAGTGGAACCAGAATTAGATCCCAAATTCTATGCACATTCTTTTCACAACAACACAACAACAAAGGGTCTCCTATAACCCTTTAGTGCTTAAAATAAGACTAAACGAATTTAATCAGTCACTGGTTTTCCCATGTTTAAAGACTCAACAAAAGAAGTCATGTTCCTAGCTGTATGTAGTTCAGAGATTCACATTTGAGGTAGCAAGGGATGATTAAGAATAAAAAAGAGTTCTAAAACATGATCTATGTTTTGAAGAATTTTTCAACTTGGAAGGATATAAACATTATGGCAGATAAAACTTTTTTCTGTTTGCTTATGTGTAGTTCAAACTTTTATCTACAATGAACACTTTGTTAATGACAAAAAAATCAGGAATGCTTATAGACTCTCTTAATAAAATGCCAAAATTCTTGTGAAGTAATGTTAAACTTAAAAAGCAATAGACAGGCCAGGCACAGTAGCTCATGCCTGTAATCCCAGCACTTTGGGAGGCCGAGGCAGGCAGATCACTTGAGGTCAGGAGTTCAAGACTACCCTGGCCAACATGGCAAAACCTCGTCTCTACTAAAAATACAAAAACTAGTCAGGTGTGGTGGTGGGCGCCTGTAATCCCAGCTACTTGGGAGGCTGGGGCACAAGAATCCCTTGAACCCAGGAGGCAGAGGTTACAGTGAACTGAGATCACACCACTACACTCCAGCCTGGGTGACAGAGTGAGACTCTGTCTCAAAAAAAATAAAATAAATAAATACATAAAAGCAATATACAGTACAATTAAACTCTATGTACTGTATGCTCAATTAGTACATTATTACACTTAAAAGATAAAGACTTAATTATTTTTAAAAAGCAACATAAGGCTGGGCACAGTGGCACACGCCTATCATCCTAGCACTTTGGGAGGCCAAGACGGATGGATTGCCTGAGCTCAGGAGTTCAAGACCAGCCTGGGCAGCATGGTGAAACCTCATTTCTACCAAAATACAAAAAAATCAGCCGGGCGTGGTGGCGGGTACCTGTAATCCCAGCTACTCAGGAGGCTGAGGCAGAAGAACTGCTTGAACCCAGGAAGCAGAGGTTGCAGTGAGCTGAGACGGTGCCACTGCACTCCAGTCTGGGCAACAAAGTGAAACTCCGTCTCAAAAAAAAAAAAAAAAAGCAACATAAAAATTATAAATAACAGTATTACAGAAAAAGACTAGCAAAAAGTTGTTTTAGGATAGTATAACTATGGATAACCACTCCTTCTCTACAACTTCACCAGATTTTACAATTTTTTCTTCAGAGAAAGTGATATTACTTTTATTGTGAAACAACAGTTATGATTTTTCTTTTTAATTGTAAGAAAGAAAGAATATGTCCAATCAAATATGCAAACTAGCAATACCTAGGTTATGTGTCAGAAGAAAAAAGTATATTTTCTTCTAACAAATTTGGTGGTACCTGAAATCATCGTAAAAATTTTACCCCACTCTAATACTCTTTAAAAACTATAAATTCTACTTCAATATAATTGTAATGATAGTCAAACATTCTATTAGCACCGTCATGTTCACTGAATTCTGAATTATTAGATTTTAGAATCTAACCTACCTTTGTAAGTTGGCTTTAAAATGAGGAAATACTTATGGGATTAATTCAAAAGTATTACTGGATAATCTGAAAATAAGAATATAGAGCCCTAAATAACCTATGACATGTTGTTCTTTGCCCTCTGCGACATAGTGACTTTTTAGAAGCTCAGTGTTTGGTAAGCTCTATAACACGAGAACTCAAAATAGATGCACATAATAATTTAAAACTCTTTTAATGTCTATGATCGATTTGTCAAAGATCATGTTTAATAGCCAAAGGCTACATTAAATAAGTCCAGCTGTTAATTGTGATTATCCAAAATTGGGCTTTAAAAATGGACTTAAATATAAATGAGACATTATAAAGCAACTTTGAAGGAAAAAAATTAAAATACTAATGGCAGAAGAAACCCGACTTGTAAAGTTTTAGTCAATTTACAGTATGTAATATCAAACATAAAGTCCAGCCAAACTGGCAATAAGTATCTGAAGTTATAACCCCAAATCTTATGTTATCATTAATCATTAATTTGCATTTCTTTTTCTTTTTTTTGAGACAGAGTCTTGCTCTCGCTCTGTCGCCAGGCTGGAGTGCAACAGCGCAATCTTGGCTCACTGCAACCTCTGCCTGCCGGGCTCCAGCTATTCGCCTGCGTCAGTCTCTGGTAATTTCTATTTCAATAAATAAATCAACCTCCTAACTGGCATCTAAAATATATGCAAATTAAATACCTGAATAAGATGTGAGAAAGGAACCATTTAAAGTTGTACAGGTTTGAATTGGTAACATTAAAAATTACCTCAATAAATAGAAAGCAAAAGGCAATCTGTAATTTTAAAAGATTAACAAGATCATTCTCTTCATTAATACAATTATATGTTTGAAGACAAAATGGCATAAACATATACAACTGGAACAGAGGGACATCATGACCAGATTTCTAGGTCAACATACAGTCTTAGTAAGTTACATTAGAACCTTTTAGAATTAAGTTTGAGTATTCATTGCTCTCTTCTTCTTTAATATAATAAAAGAAATAAAAAGAAAATAAAAAATCCTTTTTTACACTCCCATTTGCCCACCTGCTGAAATCTTTCTCTGTCTCCAGCTCTTCTTCTCCATGACCAAGACGCAGTAGGTGGCGCTCATCAATGTCTAATGCCATGATTTTCTCAAACAACTGGTTAAGGGCCTAGAGAATAAAGCAAGAAGGGTGATGACCCCTTTAAACGCAGCAAAAACTAGCATTTAGAAAGAATCAAAGTTGAAACACAGAAGGAAATCAGCCTTATATTAGGTCATTTATAATTTAATCAAATAATATTTATATTGATTTCTGATATTGCCATCTATGTCTATCTGGCTGTATGGATAACTAGAAAACACAAAACCACCCACCCATTAAACATCTGCTTTTAATTTATGAAACAAGAAAGGCATTGACTCAGATGCTATTTCTTCTAAGTTGTAACAATTCCTAAAATAAACAACCACACTGAGCTTCATTTCATTCAACAGCATTTCCTTGGGTTGCAGAGAACTGAAAAAGTTTTTGCAGTTGGAGAAAGACAGCAAGAAGGCAGTGAGTGCGTAGGTAGAATACATTTAAGAGGACCAGAAGGTGGAAACGTAAATTGCATCTTTTTCAAACCTTAGTCTGAAAGTCTAATGTTCTCAATATAATAAAGAGCAGAGCACTCATTCATTGCAAACTATTTATGAAAGTCATTTAAAAGTCACTACTTTCTATCTATGAAATGTTCATAATTAGGGTTCCCTCGAATCCTAGTATTCATTATCTGAACTTCTGCAGTTATAAGGTTTTACAGAAAGGCAAAAGTTTCATAGTACGGAAAGATTCACTAATTAAGGTATTATTTAAAAATGAGCTGCCATTCAAATATCTCTCCTCACTTATCACTAGTCCAACCCTGCCTGTGAAGTCAACATCCAGTCTTATAAACACCTAGGTTATATAATGTAGATACAGATATCCTTTACCATCAAAATTCCAGCAATCTGAGCTCTGAAACTGAAGAGATTTAACTAACTTTTCAGAAAAATCCCCCACTATCCAAACTCTTGATACTCATCATCCAAAACTCAGCACCCAACAGAGCAGATTACATGGTGTTACTCACTATCCAAACCTTCACTATTCAAACTCAAGAACCACACAGATTTAGAGGAAAAGTAAAAACAAAAAAACAAAAAACAAAAACCCCACAAACTTGCACACTATTATCCCAAAAAAACGACATGATTTCATTGTGAATTAGAGTGATTTTGGAAAACTACTTGAATTATACATGCAAATGAAGATCTGGCACACAAAACAGTTAACTGAAGGAAAACAATCAATTTGATGGGCATCAAGGGAAATGATTTGAATTTCAAAAAACCAAGGCAGGTGTTTAGCAAGCAGAGAATTATGTGTCTATTTTTGCAAATTAATCTTTTCAATGACTGTGCTATACAAATCAATCATAAAGTAGAGGATAACTGTAGAAAGCCGTATCAAAGTATGACAAAACAGTAAAAAATATGTTAAAACAACACAGGAATTATTCTTTGTTCATTCTAAGAATTTACAATAGGCATATTACAGAACAAATTTTATAAACAGAAGAAAAAAAACTTCTTTTCATAATTTATTTCTTTTATCAACACAAAGTCCAAATTGATCCCCCTTCAACTCCCACAAATTCGGTATATTGGATGTGTTATGTCCAATATATTATTATGTAATATGTTATTATATAATTATGTATAACATATATTCAGTATATTGGATAAGTTTAGTACTTATAAACTTCAAAATATATAAAAATGTCAGGCAAATGAACTGAATAGTATTATTTTTAAAACCTTATAAATTAAAAGTTAATGATCACCAGAATAACTGATATTTGGCATTCCAATAACACTTGTTTTCGGAATGCTTCTGTGTATATCAATTCTTTCTAAGACTGGTCAACAGAAGTCACCACTGTTAACATAAACTCCGAGAAAAAACTTTCAGAGGTTTTGACTACCATGCAAATTTCATAATGTGCTTCAGGATGTTCTCAGAGTTGCCTGTCTCATTTTTTACCAGATCTAATAAATGTTCCTTGTTCTTCCCTCATTTCTGACAGCTTGAGAATGACTAACGTAGAATACAGTCCCTTCATGTAATACAGGTGTACATTTCACATGAATTTGAAATTTAATCCAGTATCAATGCACTTTAGACCTTAGTCTTTCAGGAATATTCATTCTACTAAATGAAGAAAAATGCTCCCAATAAGAGTTAATGCTTATAATCTCAAAGTAAAAGTTCTAGTTTAGTGTAGAAGAAAGGAAAAAATGGCAATTTAATTTAATCCAAATATCTAACCATATATCCAAATATAGTCTTAGCTATTTCACATTACGACCCTCTCCAGTAGAAACAAAAGATTGTTTTTATATATCTCTCAGTGTTGTCTCATTATAAGCAGTGATAATCCATGAATAGCTCAAAGGCAGATACTCATCAACTTACAATGGGGTTACATTCCAATAAACCTATCAAAAGTTGAAAATCTCCTAAGTTGAAAATACATTTAACACACCTAACCTACTGAACACCACAGCTTAGCCTAGCCTATGTAAAACATACTCAGAACACATATATTAGCCTATACCTGGGCAAAAATCATCTAACACAGTGTGCCTATTTTATACTGAAATGTTGACTATCTCATATAATATATTAAATAGTGAAATAAGAATGACAAACAGAATGGTTGTATGGGTACCTGAAGTACAATTTCTGCTGAATTCATATTGCTTTCACACCACCATAAAGTCAAAATATTATAGGTCAGAATAAAAGTCGAACCAAAAGTCAGGAACCATCTGTACCAATTAGCCTTTCCCAGTATTCTGTAGTACTCATGATCAGATTTTCATACAAGGAGAAATCATCTATTAATACATTCATTTCATGAATCCCCTGCTCCTTCCTTGTTAGGAACAAGTGCTCAATACCGCAAGGAAGAACCAGCACTCAGATAAAAAGTTTTCTCAGCAAGGCAATTTACTTCTGCAGGTGGGTGCTACCTGCATCAGTCACATTCACAAGGGCACACCAAGCAAAGGAGAGAAGGGTTTTTACTCCTAATGCAACCCCATATCTGTGTCCTTTCCCCATTGGCTGGAGTAAGACTGCACAGTCTAAACTACCCTGATTGGCTAAAACTTAAGCTTTTCTAAATATGGTCACCGTGTGACGGGGAAGCAAGGGAGATGAGGGGGGTCCTCGTGGGACCTAGGAGCTAATGCATTCCCAAATAAGGGAGAGAATGTGAGCCACAAACCGGCTGAGACTTAGGCATGCCAGAATATGTTAGGGAACAGGTAGGCCAGGCTCAGAAAAATGGAGAACAAAGAATGAAGAAACTAGATTTCTTGAAGAGGAACTTATTGTGTCCCACCCTTACCTCCCCCTCAACCCCTAACCTGTATGCACACATGCGCGCGTGCGCGCGCGCGCACACACACACACACACACACACACACACACACACACACACACAAATACAGAGTCATTTACCTGATTGGAATGAGTAACAATTAGAGTCCTCTGTTCTGGGAAATTGTGGTAGATGTTAGATATGATCTGAACTGCCACATCTGTTTTGCCTGTACCAGGTGGGCCCACAACCTAAAAAGAAGATGAACATATAGTAAACTACTAAGTCATCACAGTTATCACACATTGTTAGAAAATGTGAAGTACAGACCTGAAAGATAAAATTAACAAATTCAGTAGAGGGGCCCAATAACAAAATGAACAGGATAGAGGAAGAGTTGGTGAACTTTGAGATAGATCAGTAAGCTACACAACCTGAATAACAGAAAAAAAGATTGAAAAAAAATAGAGACCCAAGAATCTATAGAACAACATTAACAAGTCTAACACTCATGTCAACAAATTCTAAGAAGGAGAAGAAAAAAGAGTATGGCATAGACAAAATTTTCGAAAAATCATGGCTGAAAATTTCCTAAATATGGCAAAAGACATAAATCTACAGATTCAAGCAGCTCAGTGAACCCCAAGAGAATAACCCCAAAGAAATCCAAGCTCAGATATACCAAAATTAAATGGTTAAAAACAAAAAGCAAAGAAAAAGAATCCCGATAGCAACCAGAGAAAAATGATACATTATATATAACAAAAAGATATTTAAAATGACTTTGGATTTGTCATCAGAAAACATGGAAATCAGAAGAAGTGTAATAACACTTAAAGTGCTAAAAGGAAGAACTATCAACCCACAATTCTATGTCGAGGTGAAATATCTTTTATGAAGATGAATTAGAGACATTCTTGCATGAAGAAAAACAAAACTAACTCATATCTAGTAGACATGTTATAAAAAGTGGTTTTAAAAAAAAAAAAGTTCTTCAGACAGAAAGAAAATGCTACCAGAGGAAACTTGGAATATCAGGAATATAGAATAAACGGCAAATATATTAAGAGGCTATTTTTTCCTCTAGAGTTCTTTAAAATACGTATACAGGTGAAACCAAAAATTCTAATACTACCTGATGGTATCTTAATGTATTTAGATGTAACACACAAAACAACTACAATATAAAAGGGGAAGGAAGGTAAAGGAATCTTTATGGGAGTAAGTATTTGCCATTCAACCTGAAGTGACATAATACTGATTGTAAGTAGGCTTTGAAAAGTTAAGTATATTGCAAATTCCTAGAGCAGCCACTAAGAAAACACTACACCCAAAAATATAATGAAAGAATATGATAGGCCAGGCGCAGTGGCTCACACCTGTAATCTCAGCACTTTGGGAGGCTGAGAGAGGCAGATCACTCGAGGCCAGGAGTTCAAGACCAGCCTGGCCAACATAGTGAAAACCAATTCTCTACTAAAAATACAGAAATATCAGCTGGCCATGGTGGTGCACACCTGTAATCCCAGCTACTCAGGTGGCTGAGGCACAAGAATCATTTGAACCTGAGAAAGCAGAGGTTGCAGTGAAGTAGGATGGTGGCACTACACTTCAGCATGGGCTACAAAGTGAGACTGTCTCAAAAAAAAAAAAAAAGAAACCGAAAAAAAACAAATATAATAAATAAAAACATAATACTCAAATAACACAATGGAAGGCAGGAAAAGGGAAACAGAAGAATACAAAATAAAGGGAACAAAAAGAAAATAAATAAAAAATGATAGGCCTAAATCCAAATGTGTCCATTAATTTGCATTAAATGTGAATAGTCTAAACACCAAGTTAAAAGACAGAGACTCTCAGAATGGATAAAGCAACATACCTAAAGTATATGCTGTTTATAAGAAACTCACCTCAAATATAACGACAAATAGAAGTAAAATGACAGAAAAAGAAATATTGTGCAAACACAGAGAGCTGCAGTAACAATATTAATATCAGACAAAGTAGACTTCAGAGCAAAGAAAACTTCCATCAATGAAGACAGACACTACATAATAATAAATGGGGCCAATTCACCATGACAACATAACAACCTTAAAGGTGTGAAGCACTTATCCATGAAGCTTCAAAATATATTAAGCAAAAATTGACAGACCTAAAGGAGAAACAGACAAATTCATAATTATAGTGAGAGACTTCAATAGTCTGCTTTCAGTAATCGACAAAACAACAGACAGAAAATCAGCAATGATAGAGAAAAATTAAATAACAACATCAATGAAATGGATCTAATTGACATTTATAGGACAACCCACTCCAAAACAACAGAATACACATTATTTTCAAGTGCACATGAAATAGTCACCAAGAGAGATCATATGCTGGGCCATAAAACAAATTTTAACAAATTTAAAAAGCAAAAACCAAAAAATTAAAATCATACAATACATTCTCTGACCATAATAGACTTTGACCAGAAATCAGTAACTGGAAGATAACAGGGAAACCTCCAAATACTTAAAAATTAAACATACTTCTAAATCAGTTGTCAGCAGATTTTTTCTGTAAAGAGCCAGAGAGGAAGCATTTTTGGCTTTGCAGGCTAAGCAATCTGTGTTGCAAGTACTTATCTCTGCCATTGCAGCACAAAAATGGCTATAAGCAATGCAGAAAACAAATGGATGATATATTTGCTAATTATCCTAATTTGATCATTACACAATATATACAGTCATCAAAACATCACATCATACCCCATAAATATGCACAATCATGTCAATTAAAAATAAAACAAAACCATGTTCTAATAAAACTATGAACACTGAAGTGAGCAGCAAGATCTCTAAATGCATAAGAACCTACACTTGCTTATAAACACAAATTCAGCGGGGTTGCTGTACTTCAAATAGAACACATTCTAAAATCTGTTACTTACTTCTAGTCTTAATCTATGTTTAAAAAAAAAAAAAAAAAAGGTGTGGCTGGGTGCGGTGGCTCATGCTGTAATCCCAATACTTTGGGAGGCCGAGGTGGGTGGATCACCTGAGGTCAGGAGTTCGAGACAAGACTGGCCAACATGGCAAAACCTTGCCTCTACTGAAAATACAAAAAATTAGCTGGGCATGATGGCGGGTGCCTGTAATCTCAGCTACTTGGGAGGCTGAGGCAGGAGAATCACTTGAACCTGAGAGGCGGAGGGTGCAGTGAGCTGAGATCGCACTACTGCACCACTGCACTCCAGCGTGGGCAACAAGAGCGAAACTGTGTCTCAGAAAACAAACAAACAAACAGGTATAACAACTATCTTACCATAGTCAGCCCAGGCTGCATTCCAGCACGGATGGCTTCTATCTGTGTATGAGTGAACTGAATCGTATTACTGCAAGTAAGAGTAAATAAAAAGTTGGTACAGATAAATGATACTTAGTATAATACAAATTTAGACAACAATGACCAGTGGTCTAAACATCTGCTCTGTATTTACCCCAGTTCTCTCAATCTCTTCTGAATGACTCCCTTCCCCTCTACCCTCCAACACAGACAATTAAAATGGAATTATAGTTACTTTTCAGTACTTAGCCCATCTCAGACCTCATTTGGAGTGCCAAAGTTCTAGTTCCCATTCTAATACTAAATATAATTCCAACTTACTAGTTATGGAACACATGCATTAGGGCTACTGCTGTATGTAACATAGGCTCATGAAGTAAGAACACTTTGCTCAAATTAAGGTAGCCCTCTAACATTTATTTCTCATAGTACCTGAAAATGTTTCTTTTTGAAATATTATGACTACAGAATGGCTTAAAATGTCAGTTATTCAGCTGACTGATAGAATAGAAAGAAAGGGGGTTCAGAAACAGGAGTTTTCTGGAGTTGTAAAAGAAACAAAATTTAAAAACATTCCTAATCCAGCTGAAATGGCAAACTATTATCATTATTACAATTAGAATAGGTAGTAAAATTACCGTTTGGGTTGATTATAAGGATAAGGACCCCTATTAGGAATAACATGGGGCTCAACAATTAAGGTTTTTGCCTCCTCGGTATCTTCATCTTCCATATCCGCATCTTTCCTTTTCTTCCCTTTTCCACTTCTTACTGGAAAAGTTATCCTACAAGACCAAAACTTTTGTTCATTTTTACAATTAACAAGGATTTACTGAGTACCTATCTGGTACATGACATTGTAGGCACAATAATCACAGGAGTAAGAAACATTTCTGGCTTAAAGGAACTCACTATCTGTATGTAAACTCTGAAAATGGTAGAGTTATAAGCACTGAAGTGTTGAGAGTTTTCAGATTTAAAAAAGTAATCCAGTTAACGGAGAATTAAGGGAGAATTTAAAGAAACACTAAATACTATGTCATGTGCATTGTAAAGTGTTTTATTCATTGTCCTTCATTTAATCAGAAAAAAATTTCATGGGACAGATGGCATCTAAGATGAGTCTCAAAGAATTCAGGCATTCAAAGACAGGAAGACGTTCCTGGAAGAAAGAAGCAACAGCAGAGGCCAAGTACAAGCAGTGTATTTCACCTGAACATAGACGAAAAATAAGGCTGAAGAGACAGAAGCCTTGTTATGACAGGAACCTTGTAATGACACACCTAGAATATGAAGCTTTTAAGGCAGAGGGTCATAACCTGGGGTTAGGAGGTAACTCCCCACAGATACCTCAGGGAAGTCAATGAACTCCCTAAAATTGAACTAAAAAATTCATTCTCTATGTGTACTTTTTCCAGTTGCCTTTCACATTCTAAAAAACTAGATAACACCAAAGAATGCTAAGAGCCAATGAGGCTAAGTGGTCAGTACTCATTTTGGTAAGAAATAGGAGCAATCAGCTTTTTAGCTAGACAGTGAATAGCTCTAGCAGTAAACCATGTAATGGATTCTAGTGAGGTGAGATATGGAGGAAAGATTTTGCTACCATAAAGACTGCTGAGGGCCTAAAGAGGGAGCAGTACAAATGGCACATGAAAAAACTATCCTTGGCAGGGAGCGTTAGCTCATGCTTGTGATCCCAGCACTTTGGGAGGCCGAGGCAGGTGGATCACGGGGTCAGGAATCAAGACCATCCTGGCTAACACGGTGAAACCCTGTCTCTACTAAAAAAAAAAAAAAAAAAAAAAAATTAGCTGGGTGTGGTGGCAGGCGCCTTGTAGTCCCAGCCACTCGGGAGGCTGAGGCAGGAGAATGGCGTGAACCCAGGAGGCAGAGCTTGCAGTAAGCAGAAAGTGCACGCCACTGCACTCCAGCCTGGGCAACAGGCAGACAGACAACTATCCCCAAGGCGGAATCTCTGAGATATAGCAGGAGTTTTATGGGAGTAAAAAGACTCAAAAATAATGCTGAGATTTCAAGATGGCAGAGTAGAAAAATGTCTTTGCCAGAAATAGGATTAGGAAAGTATGGAAGACTAGGTTTGGTATATAAAGGATATGTGTATTTAACATGTAGAATTATTATTATTATTTTGAGATAGACTCTTGCTCTGTCACCCAGGCTAGAGTGCACTGGTGTGATCATAGCTCACTGCAGCCTCACACTCCTGGGTTCATGTGATCCTCTCACCTTAGCTTCCTGAGTAGCTGGGATTGCAGGCACATACCAAATCTTGCTAATTTTCATTTTTTTTTATATAGAGATGAGGTCTCAGTTGCCTAGGGTGGTCTGGAATTCCTGGCCTCAAGCAATCCTCTCAACTTCACCTCCCAAAGTGTTGGGATTACAGGCATGAGCCACCAAACCTGGTCTATTATTTTATTTACATATATATATATATATTACTGTTTGGGTTGATTATATACATTATTATTTACATATATTTTTATATATAAATAACAATCAGTTGAAAGCTGTGTGTTTTCTAATTTGTAGCTAAGAAAGTAATCTGTGGGCTACCACCCATAGGTATACTCAGTGCCTTACCACTAATCCATATGAAGGAATTCAGGGAGTAACAACCAATTATTTCAGATGCTTTGTTCTGTTTTCACTTAAATTTTAAGACCAGAGCTAATTTAACATTAAATATGACTACTGTATATATTTCATTTATTGAGAGATGAGGTCTTCCTCTGTCACCCAGGCTGGAGTACAGTGGCACAATCATAGCTTAATGCAGCCTTAAACTCCTGGGTTCAAGCAATCCTCCTGCCTCAGCCTCCTGAGTTCCTGAAATTACAGGTGTGTGCCACCATGCCCAGCTACTTTTAAAAATTTTTTTAGAGATGGGGGTCTCGCTATGTTGCCCAGGCTGGTTTTGAATTCCCGGCCTCAAGTTGTCCTCCTGCCCTAGCCTCCCAAGTCACTGGGATTACATGCATGAGCCATTGTGCCCAGCTATACTGTGAACATTTCAAATTTGTGAAAGCAAGCAAAGTTAAAGAAAGATTTTTTCCCTAAAAACAAAGTTCAACATCCCACAGCTGTATTAGTTGAGAAACATACCAGACTATGCATAAATGCAAAGACATATTTTAGTCAAATGCTATAAATATATTTATATAGTTCTCTGCAGAAAGTAAGTGTTTATTGATCCCTTATTAGGCATTAGGCTACTTTTATTGTGGTCTTAAAACAGCTTGTGCCCTAAGAAATAGATTCAAATATATTAAAGTTATCCCAGCGATTGCACGGTGAAGGTAGGGACTGCTGAAACAAAATTCAAACATAGTACTCAAAACTCACTTTAGCTAACAATCCTGATGGCATAATACACATTGACTACAGAATGCTGGAGGGGGCAAACCCAGTTCTGACTTTACCTGAAAGGGGGTATTTGCAGAGCAGGGTCTTCTACAGTTACTTTAACATTATGTCCAGGGAAGCTGGCTTTTAAATGCTCAATGGAGAGAAATGTATCATTGAAATCAAGAGTGGCAATCTGATTGGGCATTTTTGAATAATGTGCGCTACTTGGGTCCCCATAACCTAAAATGATATCATGCAGCCAGTCAGGTACCACACAATCAGTATTCATCAGGTTCCGAATAGTCTCCAGCACAGCCTGTCAGTAAAAGGACAGAAAAAGATTGTGTCAGTGAGACATCTCAAACATTTGCACTTACTGGAATGCAGAGCTGGCTGCACTAATCCAGAATTCCTGAGTGTTTCAGAGCAAGAAGCTATTTTCCGCTGGCTGACAGGTGCTTGGCTAGACTGAATCAACAGCTATATTTTCAGCTGATACCACACACTGAGTTAAACAAAAGACCAAACTTAGCAAGAACAGTTTATCCATTAAGAGTTCACTTAAACAGAATGACATAAATAAATTTACCATTTGACTCCTATTGAGTAGGATGAAAACCAGACTCAGGTCGATACAGCAGTAAGAAAACAATATAGAACAAACCCTTAGAGAAAATACTTCCTCTCAGAAACTCCTGGAGGTTTTCCCTCTTTATACTCCATAGTTCTTTAATGCTAAAATCACACACAACCAGAAGCACATTAATGTATGCTTCAATTGTGATGAAACCTCACAATTTAGAAATACTAAAATTAGCAATGTGAGAAGAAAGAAAAAATAAAGTGAACAAAATCATAAAAATAAAGGAAATATCAAATAAAATTTCAGAAGGAAAGAATCAGGACTACAACAAAAGGTCATTATAGTAGTTAGCATATATACTGTCAAAAGTAATTCCAAAAAGCTAAGGGAAATTCTTAGACTTTCCAAAAATCATTTCAACAAAGTGATCTATCTCACATATAGAAATTTGGAGGCTAGGCTATCAATTTCAAAGAATAAAATAACCAAACCGACAATTTTTAAATCATAACTATTATACAACTTTTAAAAATGATAAGATAGTATATGTTAATCACACCCTTAATCATGTTGCCTTGCTTTATGTTCTTACACTTATCACTACCTGAAATTCTCTTGTTCAGGTACTTGGTTATTTGTTTTAACCCTACTATCCCTACTATCATTTGTTTAATCCCTACTAAAATATAATTCCCACAAGAGTAGGGATCTAGACCAGTTTAAATATGGAACGGGTGAATGAATGAATACCCAAATGAGTATATTCACATAACAATGATGAGTAAGATCAGTGCTCTGCCCTCTAAGGAAATTACAGTTTTAGTAGCAAGATATAATATGTCCCTAACTGTAACAAAAAGCAGCAGAATGTGGTAAACAGTAAAGAATGTTACAAAATACAATGGGAACAAAATTCACAGTAAATGAGAGATGGATGCAGGGGACACTTAACATTAGGAAAGGTTTCATGGAGGAAAGTGGTATTTTCATTGAACTAACATAAAAGATTTGTGAAGGAGCTTTGATTTATTTCATCATGAACAGGAAGTCAAAGAAATGTTCTGAGAAGGAGAGTAAAATGATCAGTGTCACACAGTAGGGAAACATATGAAAAACAGGTGACTGGCTATGAGGAGACTCAAGGGTAGACAAAGAGGGGGCTATTATAACTGTCTAGGCAAAAAATAAAGTATCCAGATTAGCACAGGTTGTACAAACTGGAAAAGAGAAAAGGCAATAAATGAGCGATGCTACACAGGTACATAATGAAACACCAAAGACACTAAAAGAGCATTCTTTGTTTCCTAAACTTAGGCAAGTTAATCATTCCCCCTCTTTCTTGGATCAGAAACTAAATCCCTCCTTTGAACTTTCAGGACACTTTCATCCACAGTCTTTTTATGGCTTTTGATACCTTCTAACTGTTCATGGTAAGCATTTGTAAGCATTTGTCTATATTTCTAACTTCTCTAAAGGTGTAAGTTGTATCTGATTCATCTTCATAAGCTTCATTTTAGCACAATATCAGACTTACAGTAGGCACTAAATAAAATAGTCAAACATATGAGTATAAGAAAATAATTTTTTAGTTTTCAGTGAAGTAACTGAGATTTATTTACTGAAAACTGATCAACTGTGACAGTCATAGGTACTATAAAACTTGGAAACTCTTAGATTTCTCCATCCTTTGTTCACTCAATAAATGTTTATTAAGAATATACTATATAATAGGCACAGTTCTAGGTGCTAAGGACACGCTGGCCGACAAAACAAAGACCCTGCCCTCATAGACTTGCTTGCTTCATTGCTTTCTAATGGAGAATTCAGATACATAACAAATGTATAATCATCAGTTACGATAAGGGTTCTGAGGAAAAATATAGGGAATACAGTAGAGAATGATGAGAAGATGCTACTTTAGGTAAGGTTGCCAGGGAAGGCTTCTCTTAGGAGGTGACATTGAAAAAGAGTTGCCCATGTCAGGTGAGGAAATGAACTATGTAAATACCTGGGGATAATTATCTAAGTAAAAGGAACACCATGTGAAAAGTCTTGGATTATTTTAAAAAACAGCAAAAATGACAGTGTGACTGACATGGAGTGAATAAGGAAAAAGTGTTAGAAAATGATGTTGGAGAGGTAGCCAGAAGACAGAAAATGATAGGGCCTTTTGGATTATGGTAGGAACTTTCTAATGTGATGGAAAAACATTAAAGAATGTTAAGTGGGGGTATCAAGGTATCTTTCACATTTTAAAAGGATTATTCAGCCATTATGTGGATATGTGTAAGGGGAGGAATAGACAAGGAGGCAGGGATCTGTGAGATAAAGCTGTCTTGGACATGGCATCAGCAGAGGTGATGAGCTAATCAGACTCACTGATGGATTAGAGGTAGAGTATGAGACAAAGAGAAATCAAGGATATCTCCACTTGTGTTCAACAACAGGGAGAGATGAAGAACAAGTTCTGCTGTTTCAAAAGTTTTCTTTTTTTCGATCACAACAACAGGGTTACATAAAAGTAATAAAGTGATAGGAGCGTCTAAGAAGTACTGCACTTTGGGAGAAAGAGAAAAGAAAGCCATTCTTTCTACAAAAGCTACATATTATCAAATGCTAGAATTGTTCAATGTTTAAGTTTTATAATATAGTTTCAAATAATGGTTTTAAAAAACTATCCTTTAATAAAAATCTTCTCCCCACAAAGTTATTCTGAAAGTAAAACTTTGAGCCACCAAACTTCCCTTTCCTACTAATGACTAAAAATATATTATATCATATAGTAATTCAGAGCGTTGAGGTTCCATATCTGTCTTCTTAAAGTGACTTGGAAGTATACCTACTTTTGATTCAAAAAAGAAGCCCCAGTAAACAAGTAAGCTTTCCTTCACTTCATAATAGGGCATTAACTGAGTACCTAATATACAAAAAGCAAAAGAGGAGGTGGACCCTTAATAACATGTGGATTCATCTATATTTGAAGTTTCTAAACTCCTCAAAAGACAAAATAATTTAACAAATCAATTTCTTTAAATTTTTATATTTCATCAATGTTAAAAGTTTAAGAGGATTGCTTATAGTAAAAATAAAAGCAGTAATTATTATTTTCTTAACAAATCTTCCTCTAACCAAATATCTTTGTATTTACGTCATAAAAGTTACTTAAATTATGACATAGTACTTTTAGTTACATAGCCCCCAAATTACCTTAAAGTTATTTTCCTTTGGTTTTCTCCTCATTATTATATTAAAAGTTTCATACACATCCTCTGCTCCATTCTGTATAGTATTGGTCATATCTTGTTGATACTGGTTTGGATCCAAAAACACTCTAAATGTCCTTGATTCTCCTCTAAGATTGGGTCTGGGTTCAGGTCCTGGACAATTTGAAAAAGTTTGTTAAATAAAATATATACTTTTCAAATATCAAAGTAAGTCAACAGTACTTTTTTCCAGAAATGGTGAGTAAATGGTTCAGGCTTAACTCCAACCATTTTTCCCAAACTAGAATGCCCCCACTCACCCACATCAATTCTAAGCTGAAAGTATTTTCTTCTTTCTCTAAATTCTTACTATTTCCTTCCATAGCAGTCATGTACCTTCCATAGCAGTCATGTAACGTTTACGATGCAACGCCATGACTTGCAATAATTTGTACACACATTCAGAAGCCACACACTTAGAAGTCAAAGAACTTTACTTTTGTCACTCATAGCTCCCACTACTGCTTTACCTACAGTAAGTATTCAATAAATATTTTCTAATTAAATATATGTATTTTAGAATTCAAGGCATAGTTTTCTATTCCTTAATTTGACAGAGGTTTATCACTTTTCTCATCCTTCCACATTCCATACCTAATATAACCAGCACGAAAAGAAATTTCGCATACACGGAAATATAGGATACTAATGGTTGAAAGCCCAGAGCCTTTTCTTTCCTCTCTGACATATCTCCTCTTCTGGGCATGCGGGGTGGGGTGGGTCTTAGACCTCCAACTTGGGTTCCATTATATGGCCTTATGCTTACTCCATCCATTTTCCATTCCCTTCTCCTATTTTCTTTTATTCTAGAGATAAATAACCTAATCATCAGCAGTTTAACAACGATATAATCTCTAAACCACAGATGGCAGAAACTGACTGAAGTTTCAAAAGAAGTTGAACAACCGGTGGGGCATAGTGGCTCATGCCTGTAATCCCAGCACTTTGGGAGGCAGAGGCTGGTGGATCATGAGGTCAAGAGATCGAGACCACCCTGGCCAACATGGTGAAACCCCGTCTCTACTAAAAATACAAAAATTAGCCAGCATGGTGGCAGGTGCCTGTAGTCCCAGCTATTAGGAAGGCTGAGGCAGGAGAATCACTTGAACCCAGGAGGCGGAGGTTGCAGTGAGCCGAGATTGCGCCACTGCATTCCAGCCTGGTGACAGAGCGAGACTCCGTCTCAAGAAAAAAAAAGTTTAACAACCAAATTATAAAATAAGCACTAGACATGTATGCAGTTGTAATTTAATAATAAGTATTATAAAGGAAGTCAGGACAACAGAAGAAAGAATTTCAAAGGGATAATAAGTGATACACATAAGAAATCAAATAACTAATTTTGTAAAGCAGTATTCTTAAATGAGGTAAAGTTGGCATCTTATGCAGGGTAATTCTTTTAGTTCTGTTCTGATATTTAGCATCCCTGGCTCATAGTTACCTAAGGCCAAGAGCCTACCATTCCTCACCTCTATCCCAGTCATTTGAAAACCTAAATATCACTATGCATTTCCAAACGAAGGACAGTATTGTTCCCAATTAAGAACCACCACTACAATGAATTAAAACAGTCAAATTTAAGAAGAAAAAATATACCATTCAACACAAAAAAGCTTAGACAACTGTAAGAAGTATTTAGTGTTTCTTAAAAAAAAAAAAAAGTCAAGTATTATATATTTTAAAAAGCTTTGAATAAAGATGATTTCAAAAGGTCCTGTCCCAGAGTTCGAGACCCGCCTCGCCAACATGGTGAAACCCTGTCTCCACTAAAAATACAAAAATTAGCCAGGCGCGGTGGCAGGCATCTGTAATCCCAGCTACTCGGGTGGCTGAGGCAGAATTGCTTGAACTTGGGAGGCAGAGGTTGCAGTGAGCTGAGATCACGCCATTGCACTCCAGCCTGGATGACACTGGGGGAAAAAAGAAAAAAAAAAGATACTGTCCTTTCCAATATCTAACATAGAAGTTCTTTAACTGGCCGGGTGCGGTGCTGGCTCACATCTGTAATCCCAGCACTTTGGGAGGCCGAGGCAAGTGGACTGCTTCATCTCAGGAGTTTGAGACCAGCCTGGGCAACATGGGGAAATCCCATCTCTACCAAAAACTACTAAAATTTACTGGGCATGGTCACACATGCCTATGGTCCCAGCTACTAGTGGGACTGAGGCTGGAGAATCGCATGAACCCAGGAGGCAGAGGTTGCAATGAGCTGAGACTGCGTCACTGCTCTCCAGCCTGTGTGACACAGTGAGATTCTGTCTCAGGGAAAAAAAAAGTTTTGAAACCATGTTACCTATATCTAAAACTGCATGGTAGGTACCCTAGACATATTTGATACAAAATCTTTTGTGTCAATTTAGTAGGTAAAACAACTAAAAAATATTATCTAAGAAGCAAAAAAGGAAAAAAGGCAAAGAAATTTATCATTCTATACACATACTCTTTCAAAAATATATGCCACCATACCATCTTCAATGACACGTCCTTTGTCATCCAGCATGCCCTGAATTTCACAGCCTCTGACATAAACCAGGCCAACCTGCTCAATAAAAGGTCTCCTCCGGTCAAACTTAGTGCCGTAAGGTTTTGTGGGACGTACAGTAATTAAAAAGCATACATCATGTTTACGAAGACCTGGTAAGACATAAAGACATTTTCATTTATTAGAATTTCATTGTTTTCAGTCTTTTGTAGGCAAATTCTTATTTGCCTCTCTACCTCTTATCTTTGGTAGAGAGGTATCATGAGTGACCAATGATTATTATCGCATTATAACACAATTATGGGCTTTTCTATAATCTTTAATACTCAATATTTCATAGCATTAATTGAAATGAAAACCTCTTTATATTAAAATTAGAAACATTCATGCCATGAATATATTACTGAATAAGCCCTCCAAGTCATGCTACAGCTCCAAAATTGGATGTTCGTCATCATTCTTATTTTTAACATTCTTAATAAGTAACCAAAAATGTGGCTGGCATATAATCCATCCATAGCATATTTAGCAGGTTTTTAATATCAGTTTAAACTATCTATCAGTGTCATTCCAAAGACAGCCTAATTGTATTTCACTAAAACAGGTCAACTCGAGAATAATTCATCAAGGCAAAAAAGTATTGTTTACAGATACGATTTTGAGAAAGATGGCTGAATATATTTGGCAAATACTGAACATTTTTATAAGTGAATGTCAAGAAATAGGACACTTGTGCCAAAGTCCATAGTTTCTTGGTCACTAGACCCAATAATGAACTCAATGGGCTTCCCAGTTCCATTAAAAGTAGAGAAACTGGAAGACAAGGATATAAAATTAGACCTCACAGCATGTAATGCTACACCACTTAATCTTCATTCCATTTCCAATGCTTTTGTTAGCCATTATATGACATAAATGTAAATGTAAACAGTCTGCTTGCTCATAACCTTGTTAACAATAAACACAATGAAATCAAATCAACAATGTAGGTATATGGCCAATAGTACTGAAAATATTTTGGTTTGTTTTAATTGGGGGACTGGTTAGAGTACGGGTAAAGGTAGAAATAATAACTCTATTCATAATACTGATTTAATTATTTCCCAATAAATCCTGTGCAAAGCAGCAAGAGTAGCAATGAGAATGAATGGGAACGGTTCTACTATCTGAGTTGTATTACTTGTGTGACATCTGATCTGTACAGCTCATTAAAACTTCTAAGTCTTAAAGTCAAAGAAGTGGTCCTGAGAAGTCATTTATCCTCTACCAAGATAGAAGGTACTTTTTGGCATCACTGAGGGATGACCTCTTGTTCCTTCCTAAAGCAAACCACTTTCTTCTGGGACATCTTAGATCCACATTTTTTAAAATCCTATATTTCAATGAGCTCAACTCTCTCTGTCCTTGCAACCATTTGTATCCACACTATCCTAGCCGTGCTTTCTGGAGCAAATCTGGCATTTCCATTTCATGAATTCTGTTTCCTTAACTTAAGTGAGAATATTGAAGAAGATAAGGGCTTGAGGTTCACACCTTTTCAAAGGGAGAAGAGGAATGTTTTATGGTATTTAGTTTAATAATCTTTAAAATTTACTTTTATAAAACAATATTCAGCCAGGCGCGGTGTGGCTCATGCCTGTAATCCTAGCACTTTGGGAGGCTGAGGCGGGTGGATCACAAGGTCAGGAGTTCAACACCAGCCTGGCCAAGATGGTGAAACCTCGTCTTTAGTAAAAATACAAAAAATTAGCTGGGCGTGGTGGTGGGTGCCTATAATCCCATCTACTCGGGAGGCTGAAGCAGAGAATTGCTTGAACCCGGGAGGTGGAGGTTGCAGTGAGCCGAGACTGTGCCACTGTACTCCAGCCTGGGCAACAGAGTGAGACTCTGTCATTAAAAAAAAAAAAAAAAAAAAAATCATTATTGTTTACAGAATCTCTCCTTTTTGCTCCCATTTTCTATTTGGCTATCCTATCTGTGATCAATATAGGGGCTGGTTTTTGGCCCAGGCCTCCCAGAAAACACTTTTCTCTCCATCACACCCCAGACTATCACTCATCCCACAATGCCCTATTGTGCCCTATCTTGCCCATCAAAATGTACCCATTCCATTTCTCATTCTACCAGAGGCTGATGTTTAAAAGAAAAAAAGACTGCCTCATATCATTCTGAAAGCAGTCAGTAATGGGGAATGTGGCCTGTTTTTAAACATCCTTTTGTTTTCCTTAACACCAAAATGCGGACCTCTCATCTATAAATTCCTATAAAGAGTCCATTAAAATAAACAAAATTCCAACCATTTACTACTTCTGGGGGTACGCAGTAAGTTATCTCAGTTTATTTCCCACTGTGTAAAACAGTGTTTAATATCTCCTTAAGCTTCAAGGAATAATAAATATGAGGTCTTCTCCAGCAACCTAATGGCTTTCTCGGGGTTCAGCAATAGTAAAGGTGCACATTATTCTGGATGAGTAATACACAGAATGAAACTCTTTTGAAGAATACAAGAGTCATAAAAACAATCTGTCACAAACTCTACCCAGTACCGTAGGCACTTGTTAAACATTTGGCTAGCTTTGTTGCCGGATTCCTTCAGAATTCTTTGATAACAATATAGTTCCCATGATTATAAACAGCTACACTGGTAGTAATAATTTCTGAAAACAGATCCATTAAGGGGCTATCCCTTTCCTTCTGGCATGCCAAGAAAGTAAAAGGAGGTAAAACCTACTGACTACTGTTTCTCAAAACAGGGCATCAAGTAAGACCTCTCACAGGACAGCTGGGAGAAAAATATAAAACTGCCTAATAGAAATCAGTTCATATGTCACTTCTGGCAGAGGTCTTACCATTTTAACTCTATTGGACTTAGTAATTTTGAACATATCTGCCTCCAAAACAAATTAATTTTGACATTGAACTCTCATCCTTAAAATCTTGCCTAGCAAAAAATAGGAGGAATAACTCCTTTAATTTCTTTGCAATTATTATATATCCTTGAGTACATTTGATTTCACTGATTCTTTAGCCTTTCTGCCTTAGGTGCAAATAAACTATTATTTATTTCTGAGTTGTTTCACTATAGCCCCGCCCACCCCCACATTCTTTTTGAGCTTGCCTAATTTTGATTTTGTATTTTTATTTTCCACAAAGTATATGCATTTCTATTCTTTTCACCTTGGCCTTTATTTTTGGAAAAATACCAATTTTCCTTACTGCTCTGCATGTCTGCATGTTATATGTGGGCTTTCTCCCCACTCTTTGGTGAACGCTAATATTTTTATTCTTTTATATTGATCCCACAAATCCATAAATATTATCTTGCTAAATTTAAGACTTAAAATGCTCTCCTCTAGTCTTTGCAAACTTCAGTTTTCAAAACTTTGATATGTATGCAATTTTATACTTTTTATTAAAATATTAAGATACCTAAATATTCTTGTATGATCCCTGGTATTTTTAAAACTAATAATTAGAAAGTTGCTATTCTTTAAATCAAATTTCAAGGATAAAGTTTAATAAAAGCTTAAAAGGGTAACATTTAGTAAAAGTACTTTGTTAATGCTCTAAGTGAAAGTTCATAACAAGGCAAAAGGTAATGTCACTTTTTGAAATACAGAATTACCTTCCCATTCATCTTTGATGTGATCTCTGACATTCAGATTTATGGTAACATCTGCACGAACTCGGGTTGGCCAGTTTTCACCTATGTTGGGTTTGGCCACTTCAACAACAGTGAAAGCCACAATGGGCTGAGCCATTCGCGCCCAACCACCAAACACTACACCGCCATATTCAGATTGCCTAAAACCAAAGAAATGGATGGTTACTCAAACAAAAAATAATTTATCCCCAACTTTTAGACAAGTAAAACTAGTAAGTAGGAATACCGTTCAGCTAGTATTTAAGTCCTAATATTAGTAACCCCTATTTCTTAACTTAAAAAAAAAAACAAAAAAAACAAAAAACCTTTAACTCTCAAAGTATACAAAGTATATATGATAGCATGAAACAGGTACATGATAGTATAAAACAGGCAAATGTGGTCCAGAAAAGAAACAGAAGTAGAGGAATGTCTCCTCCCCAACCTAAGAAAAAAGCTAACCCTATGTATATAAGAGCGTTCTGGGGCTGAGCCATTTTATCAAAGAAATAAATAATGCAGCACACTTAGTTTTATTTCAGCTTTATTGAGGTATACTTGACAAATAAAAATTGTATATATTTAAGGAATACAATGTGATGTTTTAAACTATGTATACACTGTGGTATCATTACCAACACAGTTATCATTTGTGTGTGTGTGTGGTAAGAATACTTAAGACCTATCCTGGCAAGTTTCAAGTACATAAAACATAATAGTCACTATGCTTTATAGTAGATCTCCAAACTTACGTAGCTTGTAACTGAAAGTTTAGACCCTTTGACCAGTATGTCCCCATTTCCCCCACCTACAACCCATAACTGCCCTTCTACTGCTTCCATGAATTTGCCTTTTTTAGATTCTTATGTAAAGTGAGATCATCAGTTTTTGTCTATCTGTATCTGGCTTAATACATGCGGCATAACGTACTCCGGGTTTATCCACGTTGTCAAAAAAAGGATTTCCTTCTTTTTAAAAGGTTAATCATATCCCATTGTGTGTTTTTATATATGTACACACACACGCCACATTTTCACATTTTCTTTATCCACTCAGCCCTTAAGTTGTTTCCACATCTTGGTTATTGTGAATAATGCTGCAACGAACACAAGAGTGCAGACATCTCTTCAGGATCGTGATTTTATTTCCTTTGGATAAACATTCAGAAGTGGGTTTGCTGGATCATATGATAGCTCTGATTTTTAATTTTTTGAGGAACCTCTATATTGTTTTCCATAATGGCTGTACTAATTGACATTCCCACCAATAGCGTATAAGAGTTCCCTTTTCTCCACATCCTTGCAAACACTTGTTATCTTTTGACTTTTGATAACAGTCATTCTAACAGTTGTGAGGTATGAATATCTCACTGTGGTTTTGATATGCATTCCCTTGATGATTAGTGATGTTGAACACCTTTTTATCTATCTGTCCTTTGTATGTCTTCTCACAAAAAATGTTTTCAAGTCCTTCACCCATTTTTTATTGGGTTATTTGGTCTTTTGCTATTGAGTAATATGAGTTCCTTACATATTTTGGATATTAACTTCTAATCAGATATATGGTTTGCAAATATTTTCTTCCATTCTGTAAGGCTGCCTTTTCATTTTGTTGACTGTTTCCTTTGCGGTGCAGAAACTTTTCAGTTTGATGTGGTCCCCACTTACTTATTTTTGCTTTTGTTCCCTGTGCTCTTGGTATCACCCAAATATCATTGCTAAGACCAATGTTATGGAGTTTTTCCCCTGTTTTCTTCTTGGAGTTTCATGGGTTCAGGTCTTATGTTAAAATCTTCAATCTATCTTCAGTTAACTTTTGTGTATCATGTACGATAGGGATCCTATTTCATTTTTTTACAAGTAGATATCCAGTTTTCCCAAGACCATTTTCCTTTCCCTATTGTATACTCTTGGCACATGCATCAAAGATTAAATGATTATACAAGTGTGGGTTTACTTCTGGGCTTTCTCTTTTGTTGGTCTATGTGTTTTTATGCCAGTACCATACTGTTTTGACCACTGTAGCTTTGTAATATAATTTGAAATCAGGAAGTATGATGTCTCCAGCTTTGTTCTTCTTGATCAAGATTGCTTTAGCTATTCAGGGTCTCTTAATGTTACTAATTGGCAGCTTTGTATTTCAGCTTGGAGAACTTCCATTGGCATTTATTATAAGGCAGTCTAGTGATGATAAACTCTCTCAGTTTTTGTTCTGTTCTGTTTTTCTGTCTTTATTTCTCTTTCATTTCTGAAGGACCTCTTTACTTGGTTTTATTTTATATTGTTATCCTTTTACCCTCTTCATAAAGACCGTTTCAATTGTTAATATTTTCTTTTCTGTATTTTAAGTATTTCTATAAGCTGTTTCGAATACATTTTAGGACAAGCTACAATTTCAAAAAAAAATTAAAAACATGCAAACAAATAATATCTATGCAAAAACCTCCTTTAGAGAGCATATTTAAATCATTTAAAAGATGTTGCTATGGATTGCAGGAAAAAAAAAAAATCAAGCTAGTTGTAATAACCAGAACCACTAACATCCCAATGCCCATCCTTTCTTCTTATGTTAGTCTAACTAGTGCTTTAGTTTTTGTATTAAAAAGTTGTATTTGAGAAATGTGTAACATAAAAACTGAAGCAACACTCCAAATTTAGGAAGTACTGCAGAATACGACATACCTACAAAGATAAACTACGTCCTATGTAAAGACTTTATGTCACAACAAAAAAATTGTAGAACTTCATAACACCAAAAAGAGAAACTAATTAAAAATAAAGTTCTGCAATCAATGGCTTGGTTAGTATTGGGACAATGTCTAAAAGGAATTACTTAGTGGCTAAACCACTGTGATACAACTTCCTATCACCTCCTCCATTTTTTACAGCTTTAATGCAGTACAGTTTACATACCATAACATTTATCCCCTATAAATACACAAGTCCATAGTTCTCAGTAAATTTGCAGAGTTGTGCATTCATCATCACAAAATCCAGTTGAGGAACATTTCCAACATCTTTAAAAAGATCCCTCTTGTCCAGTTGCAGTCAATTCCTGTTACCAAACCCAAGAAACCACTAATCTACTCCCCTTACCCCTTTCTCCTCTTATATTATCTACTTGAAGTATTAAAAAATATAGATTTCTGGCCCTTAATCACATTCTCTCTTACTGCTGGTTAGTGGGCTTCAGCACCCTGAAAACATATAATCATTGGAACCATAAAATGAGTAAAAATGCCTGTTAGTTCTCATCTTCAAAATACATGAAACAGAAAGAAGCCTGACCCCCGTTTTAGGTTTCAACATTTTTAATAATTTTCAGTGATGGGCATTAAAAATGCAAATTTAGAAAAATCTATTATTACAAATGTGAATGAATTAGCTCCAAAAAGTCACATTTTCTTCCCCTCCAGAAAATGGTATAATTTAATTTTTTTTATTAACAGACCAAAAGAACTCAAATATTTTTGTAGCACTTGGCATTTAAGTAAAATATAAATGAATTCTATTTGTTGAATTGCCAGTTAATAAATCCCTAGTTTGCCAAATGGTCAAAATTAGGCCCAGAATCTGAGCATATAATCTCAAGGTAACCATAAATTGTAAAGAAGTTTCCTGATCAAGCACTCCCTCAGGGTACAAACAATGGGCAACAATTTCAGCAAAGCTGTGGGCAGGAATGATTAGCCAGTGGGTATACAAATTTCGCAGTGCTCGCCTGCCTACTGACTCAACTGATTATTAAGTCAAAAATGCGTTGTGTTGTATTTTATAGTCTCACCCAGAATAACTTTTCACATAATAATTAATTAAAAAATAGAACTTTGTATGAAATGAAACATGGAAGTGAAAAAATAGATCATAATCACAGTGTCTGCGTTAGCTCTCTATAATTAGTAAGCAGAAGCCTGGAAGATACCTGAGTCAGTTCACATTCCAAAGCTGTTCAGCTTTTCACATACAATGCAGTATAATCATGTATGTATACACGGTGTCCTATTATATAATGTAACAAAAATTCACCTCATAGTATTTTACTCATTTGTAATCACTTGTGATGTGTAACTTGTATCCATCAATTTCATACTTCAAATGAAATAGTGAATAAAGAGCATTTGCCTAAAGTCAGCCGTATCTATAAAACCAAATTAACCTTACAAATTCTTGTAATGCAGAGCTGCTACAACAACCAGAATGAAAGACTTTTCTTAGCTAAAGGAATTCCAGACATGAGCTAGCAGGTGGGGAGTGGAGTTTATGTGGAAGAATTCCTCAAATAACAAGACCAACTCAACTGGCCCTAAAAGTAAATCCTGGTGATTTACTTTCTTCCACAGAATCTATGGGTGGAGAGACAGAGAAGATTTTCTAACGTACCACCCCATGCAATGTGCAGCAACAGCCCTAATCCTCTGTCCATTCCCCTAGAGAGGCTGACTGAGAATACTGTAGCAACAGTGACAAGAGTAGCTGGATTAATGGAACACCCCTTTATCATAAGCTTCCTCCAGGACTTAAACTGTCCTGCTCTCCTAGTACAGGCCTGCTGGCCAACCCCTAGCCTTCCAATCAGCCTTTAAGTAAGGTCTGACCTACTCCCTCCACATTTCCTCCTTCCCTTCCTGAGCATGATGACGTCTTCTCGCTTATCCCCAGTCTCCCATCCCCATTCTCAAGTACCCAGAAATGTGGTTTATATTTTAGCACTTTTGATGTATGTTAATTCACATTTTAAAATGTCTCAAAGAGTAAATATCTCTTACTTTAGAGGGCACCTTTGTGCCAGGTATATTATTTCTAAATATACTTATAAGGTTTCTGACAGAAGTTTATTAGTCACTGTCTGCATATCTGCATTACAGGTGGAACAAATTTACTAACCATGGCTTCATTCTGCTGACACTATCTTCAATGTCCTGCCGAATTTCATAAGTTGATTCTAAGCGGAAGAGGTTAAAGTTCCTTAGTAGGTAGTCATGAAGAGTCAAAAACTGCAAATTCAATTTGGGAAGAGCAAGACAACCTGAAAAGGAAAAAAACATCCATATTTGAATTATTCTTTTTTTTTTTTTTGAGACAGAGTTTCGCTCTGTCGCCCAGGCTGGAGTGCAATGGCACAATCTTGTCTCACTGCAACCTCTGCCTCCCAGATTCAAGCCACTCTCTTGCCTCCGGAATAGCTGGGATTACAGGCGTCCACTACCATGTCCGGCTAATTTTTTGTGTTTTTAGTAGAGACAGAGTTTCTCTATGTTGGTCAGGGTGGTCTCGAACTCCTGACCTCGTGATCCGCCCACCTCAGCCTCCCAAAGTGAGGTCACTGTGCCCGGCCTGAATTATTCTTTTAATGCTCTCTGTATTAAAACACTGGCACCACAAAACTATAAGAATCTAATGAAAGCCTGAAATGCAGCATATCTGATAACAACTTATTTTTGTTTTCACACAGATGTTAAAACCAGATTAATAAATGTTGGCTGTTAAGAATTAGGGGTGAGGGCTGGGCACGGTGGCTCAAGCCTGTAATCCCAGCACTTTGGGAGGCCGAGACGGGTGGATCACGAGGTCAAGAGATCGAGACCATCCTGGCTAACACGGTGAAACCCCATCTCTACTAAAAAATACAAAAAACTAGCCGGGCGAGGTGGCAGGCACCTGTAGTCCCAGCTACTCGGGAAGCTGAGGCAGGAGAATGGTGTAAACCCGGGAGGCGGAGCTTGCAGTGAGCTGAGATCCGGCCACTGCACTCCAGCCTGGGTGACAGAGCGAGACTCCGTCTCAAAAAAAAAAAAAAAAACCAGAATTAGGGGTGAGGCCGAGCACAGCAGCTCATGCTTGTAATCCCGGCACTTTGGGAAGCCGAGGCAGGTGGATCACCTGAGGTCAGGAGTTTGAGACAGCCTGGCCAACACAGTGAAACCCCGTTTCTACTAAAAATACAAAAAATTGGCTGGGTGTCGTGGTGGGCACCTGTAATCCCAGTTACTCAGGAAGCTGAGGCAGAAGAATCGCTTGAACCCAAGAGGCAAAGGTTGCAGTGAGCCAAGATCGTGCCATTGCGCTCCAGCCTGGGCAACAAGAGCAAAACTCCATTTCAAAAAAAAAAAAAAAAAGAATTAGGGTAAAGGATGAGTTTTATTAAGACATGTAATCTGCATCCAGTGATGTGTATGTAAACAGTACTCCTTCAAAGTATTTAAGGATACTTGTACTAATAGTTTCAAGTAGTTTAAAACGTCTTCCCTTATCACCTAATTTATATTTGGCAAATATTGAAGTGAATAATGTTACCATAAATTTAGCGCACGACAAAATTTAGCATGAATACTGAATTATTACGTTACATTGCATAAATCAATCTCCGATGGCTATTATTGTGCTCTGAACTTGCCTTCTGGCTAAACTTTAAGGACAAGACATTGTTTGTATGTTATTCTAGACTCCCCCTTCTCTGACTATATAAATAAACAATATTCCTTTCATTATTCTCACTTAACACTATTTCTCTTCGACAATAAGTGACCACTTAGCAGCAATATCAAAAAGGTTTTAAAAAATCCCAAAATACATTTCACTGATAAGTCATAGTCTCATCATTGTTGTCCATACTACCAAAAAATAAAAAATAAACTTAAAGACAACATTGATGAACAGAAATTTAACATTATTTATATTAGTAAACTCTGACTTGTAATCTAACTCAATTTCTTTCGATAGCACATTTTTACTTTAAAAAAATGACAATTAAAATGTCAGCATTTGCAATACGCACTGAATTAACAAATCTAAGTGTTAAGTATCAATAGCTACTAGTAGTACAAAAAGAGAGACAAGCAGACAGTATGTGCCTCCTGATGAAAGAACACACCACCACCAAGAATCCTGCCAAGGAGAACCTTAGTCTGATCAAGCCTCTGCACAAAGTGGTACTAATTTGCAAGGAAAATAAAGAACAGAGGAACATGCTGCAATATGCCATGAGTATTCAATCAGAAAAATCTATAGACTGTGGGAACTCTATGATCAAACAACTCAGGTTTTTCAGCAGAAACAAAAAGAAAGAAAGGGATGTATAGAAGGTACCAGTAAAGTAAAAGACATTTTTTTAATGAAACCTTGTAACCACCTTGTCAGCTATCCCAGAATCCTCCCAAGTGCCCTTTCCTGGTTACAGCTTCTTTACCTGAAAGTAACTATTTCCTGACTTTTATAGCAATCACTATCTTGAATTTCTTTATACTTTTATCATCCAGGTGTGCATCCCTAGACATGAGAAAGCAACATATTAACCACTGTAAGAACACAAAAAGATATGAAGACTGCCTATGTTCTGAAATCTAGCACAATATTAGTGCACTGGGTCTATCGGAGTTATGGCTCTAGGATATGTCTTAGAGTAACCATTTTAAGTAAATATACCAATACTTATACTTGTGATGTCTTTAAAACAGTTACATTTCTTCTACTAATGATGCCATTGTTCAAAAAATGTCCTGAAATTTCTTTTGAAATATACCTTCAAAATATATCTGAATGCACTTTTACATATACTCAGTTGTAGCCAATTCTCATCCTCAGAGGATGAGTGAAAAGTGTTTAGATCCAAATCTGGGGAAATAAATGAACAAACTAGGCAATACCATTTTGGATCAACACTAAGGGTTTACTATCAATAAATGATAACGCCTTTTTTTGGTGATCATTACCTGGCTTTACATAGAATTCAACAGAGTCACTAAAAAAAGCCTTTGAAAAAAGCTCTATCAAACACAGCCTATCACAGTGACACAATGAAAGCTATACTTCAAGCATTATCAGGTCTCCTTGAAAACAGTCTTACGGTCAGGTGCAGTGGTTCACACCTGTAATCCCAGCACTTTGGGAGGCTGAGGTGGGCAGATCGCTGGAGCTCAGGAGTTCGAGACCAGCCTGAGCAACATGGTCAGACCTTGTCTCTACTAAAAATACAAATAATAATAGTAATAATAATAATAATAGCTGGGTGTGGTGGTGCAAGCCTGTGGTCTCAAGTACTCAGGAGGCTAAAGTGGGAGGATCACTTGAGCCCAGGAGCAGAGGCTGCAGTGAGCTGAGGTTGCACCACTGCACTCCAGTCTGGGTGACAGAGCAAGACCCTGTCTCATACAAACAAGCAAAAAAGCCAAAACAGTCTTAGGGCTTTATAGTCATATTTTTTACAGGGCGATATGTATATAGTTAAATTTAATAAAAACCCTTAGTGCCAAAGCATTCAAAATACTAAATCTTTCCTAGCTTCTAAAGTTAACTTGTGGGCACCAGGAAATTTTCCCAAAGTATAGAGTGGACTGAAGTACACTGTCTATAATTCCAATTATAAATGACAAATCTGAAATTATTTCATTGTACAGCTGAATCCATATTTCTTCACCATACCTTCTCCAGAATAGTACTCAGTTGGGACAATATTTTCATCCCATATAATTTTCTCGGTTGGATACAAAGGCATCTGGTTCAATTGCTGAATCTGAGAAATTCGACGTTCATGACGAGATACCTAAAAGAAAGGAAACAAGTTCATGCAGAAGGTTAGAAGCATCTTTTTTCAATAAAAATAATTTATGGAAGAAGTTTTATGCCTATCAGTTATTGTAGCAGTTCAATAAGAGATTTTTTTTTTTCCTATTTTCTCCATAGATCAAAGATGAGAAACCAACCAATGGTGATGGTCTTTGGAATCAGATAGACCTGAGTTCAAACCCCAGCTCCTCTACTTATGAGTACTGTAAAAGCTGGGCACGTTACTTTAACCTTCCTAACCTTAGTTTCCTTTTCAGTAAAACAGATAAAGTGCCACACATCTCAAGTTTCCAATGAAAATGAAATGAAATATTATGAAATAGTGTCAAAGTCCCTGGTACATGCCAAAAGTTTAAAAACCATGACACTTAGCATTAATCAATTTAAGAAAAAATAAGAGCTCTAGGTCTTGGACTATAGTTTTCATTCTTTTTTTTTTTTTTTTTGAGATGGAGTCTCACTCTGTCGCCCAGGCTGGAGTGCAGTGGCCGGATCTCAGCTCACTGCAAGCTCCACCTCCCGGGTTTACGCCATTCTCCTGCCTCAGCCTCCCGAGTAGCTGGGACTATAGGAGCCCGCCACCACGACTGGCTAGTTTTTTAATATTTTTTTAGTAGAGACGGGGTTTCACCGTGTTAGCCAGGATGGTCTCGATCTCCTGATCTCATGATCTGCCCGTCTCGGCCTCCCAAAGTGCTGGGATTATATGCTTGAGCCACCACGCCCGGCCTAATTTTCATTCTTATACTAACTAGCTATACCATCTAGGGAAGTTTATTAATCTATCACCCTAGTCTTCTCCCTCTATATTCCTTTCCATGATGACCTCTAGGTACCCTTAATATTAATAATCTATGTCAAATATGAAAGTAAGTGTTATGCCGAGAGAAGCAGCTCATGCCTTTAATCCCAGCACTTTGGGAGGCTGAAGCAGGCAGATCACCTAAGGTGAGGAGTTCCAGACTAGCCTGACCAACACGGTGAAACCCCGTCTTTACTAAAAATACAAAAATTAGCTGGGCGTGGTGGTGCACTTCTGTAATCCCAGCTACTCCGGAGGCTGAGGCAAGAGAATTGCTTGAACCTGGGAGGCGGAGGTTGCAGTGAAACAAGATCACGCCATTGCACTCCAGCCTGGGGGACAAAAAAAAAAAAAGAAAAAGAAAAAGAAGTGTTTATCTAGTAATGCTAAAATGACATATTCTTAAAATGTATCACATTCTCTTCAGTGAAGATAGTATAATTATAGAAAATAACCATGATAGCTAAACAATATGTATGTTTCAACTTTTTAATCATAAATTGAATATTAGAAGAATCCGAAGCCTGAGGAAATCCTTTAGGAAAGGGAGGAAACAAAACATAATGTTGTCACACTATACATTTTAAAAATTATTTTCTTTTGTTGGAAATTTTAGGAATAAAATTCTAGCCACAAGACCTTAATAGGCACAGGATCAACATTATCCTCAAACTTATTTCCCATTAGAAGAATTCCTGAAAAAAGGCTAGGCACGGTGATTCATGCCTGTAAACCTGACACTTTGGGAGGCCGAGGCAAGTCAATCACCTGAGGCCAGGAGTTCAAGACCAGCTTGGCCAATGTGGCAAAACTCCATCTTCTACTAAAAATATAAAAATTAGCCGGGAGTGGTGGCACACATCTGTAATACCAGCTACTTGGGAGGCTGAGGCACAAGAATTACTTGAACCTGGGGGGCAGAGGTAGCAGTGAGCTGAGATCACGCCACCGCACTCCAGTCTGGGCGACAGAGAGAGACTTGGTATCAAAAAGGAAAAAAAAAAAAAAAGAAGAAGAATTCCTGAAAAAAGTCCTCATTTCTTTCTATTGTAAAGATTTATTATGAATCCAAAAAAAATGACTCATGAGAGGTTTTACATTGTCAGAAAATAGCACAGGAATTTTTAGGAACTGAAAGAGACAATGAAGTGATTTGCACATAAATACTTGCTAATAGAATGATTCATCCAGAAAGTAGTTTGAAGAGATAAAATACTTGAGAAAAGAAATTCAAAAGATGGATGAGAAAACAAATCTCATAAAAATCAAATGATAATACAATTCCAAAAAGAAAATGGGAATTATCTACCTAATCTTTGGCCCACAAAAAAATCTATATGAACCTACATCTTTAAGAATGATTTAAAAAGGCAGGGAAAACCACATGCAAAATTTAGAGGACATTAATATTTACCAGCAATTCTAGGAGAAATTCTTTATCAAAAGTTGTGTCTTCATTTTTAGGAAGAGTTGGCAACAAGCAGAGGTATGATGCCACCTGGTGGAGCGTGTTTGAACTGCAGAATAGATAACAATATTTTATTCATATTAACTTCACTTTTGAAACATGTATTTTTACAAATAGCTTAAAAAAACAAATATAATACTATGACATGGGCAGCAAATATCAAAAATCAGCAATGAAAATTAAGGCTTTAGTGCAGGGTTCTCAAAATATTTTCTGCAAACCTTTCATTGTACCCAAGTGTGCCTTCTGGGCAGTCACCAAGAACACTTTTAAATATTAATACTGGCCAGGCGCAGTGGCTCACGCCTGTAATCTCAGTGCTTTGGGAGGCTAAGGCGGGCGGATCATGGGGTCAGGAGATCGAGACCATCCTGGCTAACATGGTGAAATCCCGTCTCTACTAAAAATACAAAAAATTAGCCGGGCGTGGTGGCAGGCGCCTGTAGTCCCAGCTGAGGCAGGAGAATGGTGCGAACCCGTTAGGTGAGCTTGCAGTGAGCTGGGATCATGCAACTGCACCCGAGCCCGGATGACAGAGCGAGACTCTGTCTCAAAAAAAAAAAAAAAAAAAAAAAAGACAAACTGTTTATACAGCCTTGGACAAATGGCATTTTTTTTTTTTATTTCAAATTTTGAATAAAATAACTATAACTTCAAGGAAAACAACTATCAATACTTGCTGTCAACGATAAAATCTGAACTTCCACGTGAATGTGAAAAATTAGAATTTTGGAAAACCAGTATTTGCCACCATGAGCTTCATAGCTTTCCACTATTTAATTGGTTTCTCCACCTCCCCAAAATTCCTGTGCTAATTTACAGCAAATCCTACTCTCCATCCCAGCCTAGCAACCATAATCAGTTTTCTATTTGTAATTCTGTCTTTTCCGGGGGGTCAAATAAATGGAACCACCCATTAGTTAGTCTTTTTTCTTGTTTTTTGAGACGAGTCTCACTCTGTCGCCCAGACTGGAGTGCAGTGGCATGATCTCAGCTCACTGTCACCTCCACCTCCGGGACTTAAGCAATCCTCTCACCTCAGCCTCCCGAATAGGTGGAACCACAGGTGTGCACCACCACATCCGGCTAAATTTTGGTATTTTTGGTACAGACAAGGTTTCACCATGTTGCCCAGGATGGTCTCAAACTGCTAAGCTCAAGTGATCCACCTGCCTCAGCCTCCCAAAATGCTGGGATTACAAGTGTGAGCCACAATGCCTGGTCTTAGGTAGCCTTTTGAATGGCTGCTTTTACTTAGCATAATGCATTTGAGATTCACCCACACTGCATATTTATCTGTAGTTGGTTCCTCTATGCTGCTGAGCAGTATTTCATGACATGGCTGCAACACAGTATGTTTATTCATTCAACAGTTGAGGGATATTTGTGTAGTCCAGTTTTTGACGATTTTGAATAAAGCAACTATATTCATTTTTGTACATATTTTTGTGTGAACATAAGTTTTCACTTTTCTTGAATATATCTGTAAGTGGAAAACACTGGATCATAATGTTAAGTTCATGTTTATCTTTACAAGAAACTCAAATTTTTCCAAAGTGGCTATCCCACTTTGAATTCCCACCAGCAATTATGAGAATTCCAATTGCTCCACATCCTTGCCAAGAGTCAATATTATCTATTTCAGGGTTGGTTTTTTTTTTTTTTTTTTTTTTTTGGTTTTGTTTTGTTTTGAGATAGGGTCTTGCTCTGTTGTCCAGGCTGAAGTACAGTGGTATGATCATAGTTCACTGCAGCCTCAACCTCCTGGGCTCAAGCAACCCTCTTATCTCAGCCTCCTGAGTAGCTGGGATTACAAGTATTGTGCCAACACGCCTGGCTAATTGTTTTGATTTTTAGTAGATAAGTGATCCTTCTGCTTCAGCCTCCCAAAGTGCTGGAATCACAGACATGAACCATTGTGCCTGGCTTTACCCATTTAAAAAAACAAAAAAAAAATTCTAATAGGTATGTAGTATCTTCTTATGGTTTAAATTTGTATTTCCCCAATGACTAAACGTGTTAAGCATCTTTCCATGGGCTTACTGACATCTATTTTGGTCAAGTGTCTGTTCAAATCTTTTGTCACTTGTAAACTGTTTTATTATTATAGGAGTCCCCACTTATCTGTGGTTTCACTTCCCGTAATTTCAGTTACTCATGGTTGACCACAGTCTGGAAATAGTTAAGTACAGTAGAATAAGATCTCTTGAGAGAGAGACGACATTCGCATAACTTTTATTATAGTATATTGTTGTAACTGTTCTCCTATTATTGCTGTTAATCTCTTACTGTGCCTAATTCATAGCTTTATCATAGGTTTTTACGTGTACATGTAAAAACACAGTATAGGGTTCAGTACAATCTACAGTTTCAGGCATCCACTGGGGTTCTTGGAACACATTTCCTGCAGAAAGTGGGGGACTACTGTATTGAGTTCTGAGATTTCTGGGTACCATTCCTTCATCGAGTATCTATTTAGCCAATATTTTCTTCTAGGTTGTAGCTTTTTTTATTCTCTTATCAATGTCTTTCAAAGAGCAGAAGTCTCCTAGTTTTGATCAAGTCCAATTCATCATTTTTTGTTCCATTATGGATTGTGCTTTGGTGTCTATAGAAATCTTTGCACAAACCATGATCACAAAAAATTTCTCACATATTTCCTAGAAGTTTTAGGTTTGACATTAAGGTCTATAATCCATTTTTGGTTAATTTATGTATATGATGCAAGGTATGGGTCAAGGTTTATACTTTGCATATGGATATCTAATTGTTTCGGCACCACTGATGAAATCCTTTCTCTACTGAGTTGCCTTGACACATTAGTCAAAACTCAACTAACCATATAAGTATGGTCTATTTCTGGACTCAATTCTATTCCATTGATCTATACATCTATCCATTTATCAATACCATAATGTCTTGATTACTATAGCTTTACAGCAAGTCTTGAAATTAGTAGAATCTTCCAACTTTGTTCTGTTACAAAATGGTTTGGGCTAGTTCCTTTGCCTTTCTATGTTATTTTTAAAATGTTTGTCAATTTCTATAAAATATCCTGCTAGAATTATGATTGGAATTAAAATATATCCATAGATTAATTTGGGAAGGATTCACACGTTGTTGAGTCCTCTTATCCATAAGCAAGACCTAGCTTCTAATTTTTCAAATTAATTCATTTTAATTGTACAGACCTCCTTGACACAGTTTCAGATTCTACTCTGAAACTAATTTTTAAAGGAACTACCACTTGTCAAGTTTTCATAGCGTATCAAAGAACATTCCCAATTATTTGATAAAGCTTATCAAAATACACTTCCCTCTGTGTAAGGCCGAATTGTCTTAATTTACTTCAACCAAAACAATATCTCACAACAAACTGAATCCAGAAGCAGATGTGCAAATCTGTCTTCAATTAAATCAGTCACAAAAATGTCAAACAATGACACTCTTTTAATGGTGGCTTTCTTTTCACTTTGGAGAATACGTTTTTCATTAGCAATACATATGGCTAACATACAACAGATTTGAATCAATATACTTTTTTTTTTTTTTGAGATGGAGTCTCACTCTGTTGCCCAGGCTGGAGTGCAGTGGCACAATCTTGGCTTACTGTAACCTCCGCCTCCCAGGTTCAGGCCATTCTCTTGCCCCAGCCTCCCAAGTAGCTGGAATTAAAGGCATGCACCACCACGCCTGGCTAATTTTTGTATTTTTAGTAAGATGGGGTTTCACCATGTTTGCCAGGCTGGTCTCGAACTCCTGACCTCAGGTGATCCGCCCGCCTCAGCCTCCCAAAGTGCTGGGATTACAGGCATGAGCCACCACGCCCAGCCTCAATTGGTATTTTTAAATGAATTAATAAATATTTAAGATCGTTCCAGTTTTTATTTCTACTATAGTGAATATAATGAATATAATACACATAAATGTTCTTCGGGATCCTCAATAATTTTTAAGAGTGTAAAGGAGTTCTACGGGCAAAAATAAATTCCCCAGATGAATTATGCAGCTAAGCTAAATGTTTTTAAAAAAAAGCAACAAAAGTATTTTAAAAATAAAGGAAAACATTTTATAACCTTAGGGTGAGAAGGACTTCTACATAAAGCACCTAATACAGTTATTTAAAAGATTGACAGTTGTCATTAAAAATTTTAAATATCCATAATGACAAAAGATGTTATAAGCAAAGTTAAACTGAGAGCAAATAACTGCAACACAAACTAGACAAAGGATTAGGATCAAAAATATTAAAAGTTCTTTAAAATCAGTAAGATGACAAGCAATGAAATGCAAAATAGCAAAAGAAAATAAGAAGGTTACAGAAGAAATATAAATGGCCAAGAAAAAACAGAAAAATGCTTAATTTCCCGAATAAGATCAGGGAAATGCAAAGTAAAACGAGACAAAAATAGCAAAAATTAAAGTCTAATTTACCCAGCATTAGTATGGAGAAAAATAAATCCTCATACACTGCTAGTTTAAGTGTAAACTGATATAGTCTTTTCTGAAGGAAATTTAGCAATATGTAACAAATTTTAAACACACGCCCCATTTGAGTCAGCCATTCTGCTTCTAGGAATCAGTATGAAAAGGATGCTCATTGCAGAACTGTTTGTAAAAGCCAAAACTTAAAAATTAAAGATTCACCAACAGGAAGCCAGGCACGGTGGCTCATGCCTGTAATCCCACCTCTTTGGAAGGCCAATGCAGGATCACCTGAGGTCAGAAGTTCAAGACCAGCCTGGCCAACATGGTGAAACCTCATCTCTACTAAAACTGCAAAAATTAGCTGGGCATGGTGGAACGTGCCTGTAGTCCCAGCTATTCAGGAGGCTGAGGCAGGAGAATCGCTTGAACTCGGGAGGCGGAGGTTGCAGTGAGCCGAGATCACACCACTGTACTCCAGTCTGGGCGACAGAGCAAGACGTCGTCCCAAAAAAAAAAAAAGATTCGCCAATAGGAGACAAACTTTTAAAAAAATAGTATGGTGGTCCTGTTTAATGGAACTCTATGTAGTTATTTAAAAGAATGAAATGAATCTATGTGTTATTAATTATATTAAATCCTCATATGAGAATGAACAACCAAACCAACCTCAGTTGATTACATTTTAAATAGTCAAAGAACTAAACATAATTCCTCCCAAGAGCTGGGAGATGATACAGTACAGTAGTTAAAAGTTAGGGCTTGGAAATCACACTATCTGGGTTTAAATTGTATCTCTGCCACTTACTTGCCGTGTAACCTAGGCAAATTACTTAACTATTCTATGCCTCAGATACCTTATATGTAAAATGGTACCTACTTCTAGTATGAGTTTTCAGAGTTGTTTACACACTTCACAGAATGTCTTTCACATAGTAAATAAATGTATGCCATTATTATCACTATTTTCAAAAGGATATATTAGCAGATAACTAAGTGCCAGAGGATATTACTAATTTTATAAATTTTAAACATGCAAAAATTTCCCTAAGTCACACCTCTAGTATCACACATAAAGAATCTTTATTGGTTTTTGTCATATGTCGTCTGATTGATGAAAATGACCAGCTTTATATTCTACTCTAAGAAAAATTTAAGATCTAAGAAAAGTGTATACAGGCCGGGTGCAGTGGCTCAAGCCTGTAATCCCAGCACTTTGGGAGGCCGAGACGGGCGGATCACGAGGTCAGGAGATCGAGACCATCCTGGCTAACACAAGTGAAACCCCGTCTCTACTAAAAATACAAAAAACTAGCCAGGCAAGGTGGCGGGCGCCTGTAGTCCCAGCTACTCGGGAGGCTGAGGCAAGAGAATGGCGTGAACCCAGGAGGCGGAGCTTGCAGTGAGCTGAGATCCGGCCACTGCACTCCAGCCTGGGTGACAGACCAAGACTCCGTCTCAAAAAGAAAAAGAAAAAAGAAAAAAGAAAAGTGTATACATCATAAAAAATAGAAACTTTACCAAACATGGATAAGTGACAAAGACACCAAACTGCTGGAGAGAAGCACTAGTTGTAGACGTCAATGAAGAGTGAAATAACAAGTAATATTACCTAAAGTACTGCAAAATGATTAAAAGCAATAAAGAAAAGTAAAATTGAGGCAGCATGATACAAAAAAAGAATATATAGTTTTTCCATGTTGTCTTACCTAAGAGGTCCAAAAAACTTGACCAAGGACTCCCGAGTATCTACTTCTGCCACGTTTGAGAGGGCAAAATCATAGAGTTCAGGAAAATGTGCAAAAGCAGCTCTCTAGAAAATAATAGCAAAAAATATTAATAATTAATGTCTACATATTAATATAAACATATTTAAGAATGAAAATATTTTATAAAAATATTAACGCATTTCTCTTTCTTACGTGACCTCTACCTTAATTAGACAGAAGCATGTAATAAAAAGAGAAAAGACTGCACCTGTCATAGCAGAAATGTAAAAAACAGAGTCGGTGTTCAGCTTTTGATATCTGAAAGCATTTTCAATATATATGAAAATAGCCACAAAGGCAAGCTTTATTGATAGAAGAGGAGAAAAAAACAAATACACACTTGATTATCAAGAACTGGTCCAACAAGACTAAAAGAAAGTCCCAAGGGAAACTCTGGCTGCAGACAGAACTTGAAGGAAAGACCAAAAACATTATGCTTGTGCCTTGCTTTTGTTTGGAACTCTGGGAAAAGACCTCACAGGGCAGCAGTCTCAACCAACATAGGGTAAGCTGTCAGAAAACAGAAATAGTAGCATTGCAACAGAGTGACTGAGATAATATCCCTAGTCTTCCTTGGGATTTGATGACAGAGTGATTGAAATAATATCCCTAGTCTTCCTTGATGCCCATGTGGCACAGAAAAGATTCAGAAGTTTTCATGTGTTCCATGGTGGATGACACAGAAGGTTGCCAGGAGTGAGCTTGCCATGGGATTATGAGATTACTACACACAATGGCAAAACGACTCTGCAACCCAAGCATGAGAAAAGAATTGTATAAGCAAGGAAATAAACAAGTCAGTCCTTAGGAGAATGCTAGCACCATCAGGCAAAGTTGGGGCCTCCTCAACAGGGGAAATAGCCAAGTTCCTTGGAAGCAATAATGATGCTTTGCCTGTGTCAATACAATAGACCACATGCCACACCAGCTGTGGTTATTCCAAGGGCACAGGACAAAAACACTAACGCTGTGAAAAAAGCAGGAAAAGACATCTGAGTTAATCCCTCTTCCAAAACAATAAGGCTATTTTAGTATCTCCACATACGTACTAGGAAAGAAAAATAACAGAGATTTTTTTTCGCTTTGTACACCATTATTTATTTATTCATTTTTCTTCTTAAAAAAAAAAAAAAAAACGGGATACATGTGGAAATGTGCAGGTTTGTTACATAGGTATACATGTGCCATGGTGGTTTGCTGCACCTATTGGCCTGTCCTGTAAGTTCCCTCCCCTCAACTCCCATCCCCAACAGGTCCTAGTGGGTGTTGATCCCCTCTCTGTGTCCATGTATTCTCAATGTTCAACTCCTGCTTATGAGTGAGAACATGTGGTGTTTGGTTTTTCATTCCTGTGTTACTTTGCTGAGGATGATGACTTCCAGCTTCATCCATGTCCCCGCAAGGGACATGATCTCATTCCTTCTGATGGCTGCATAGTATTCCATGGTGTGTATGTGCCACATTTTCTTTATCCAGTCTATCATTGATGGGAATTTGGGTCGGTTCTATGTCTTTGCTATTGCAAATAGTGCTGCAATAAACATAAGTGTGCATGTGCCTTCATAGTAGAATGATTTATATTCTTTTGGGTATATACCCAGTAATGGGATTGCTGGGTCAAATGGTATTTCTCGTTCTGGATCCTTGAGGGATCACCATACTGTCTTCCACAATGGTTGAACTAATTTACATTGCTACCAACAGTGTAAAAGCGTTCCTATTTCTCTGCAGCCTTGCCAGCATCTATTGTTTCCAGAGTTTTTAATAATTGCCATTCTGACTGGTGTGAGATGGTATGATATCTCATTGTGGTTTTGATTTGCATTTCTCCGATGATCAGTGAGGTTGAGTTTTTCTTCATATGTTCGTTGGCCACATAAATGTCTTCTTTTGAGAAGTGTCTGTTCATACACGTTGCCCACTTTTTGATGGGGTTGTTTTTTTCTTGTAAATATGTTTAAGTTCCTTATAAATTCTGGATATTAGACCTTTGTCAGATGGATAGATTGCAAAAATTTTCTCCCATTCTGTAGGTTGCCCGTTCACTCTGATGACAGTTTCTTCTGCTGTGCAGAAGCTCTTTAGTTTAACTAGATCCCATTTGCCAATTTTGGCTTTTGTTGCAATTGCTTTTGGCGTTTTTGTCATAAAGTCTTCCCCCATGCCTATGTCCTGAATGGTATCGCCTAGGTTTTCTTGTAGGGTTTTTATGGTTTTGGGTTTTACTTTTAAGTCTTTAATTCACCTTGAGTTAATTTTTGTAGAAGCTGTAAGGAAGGAGTCCAGTTTCGCTTTTCTGCACGTGGCTAGCCAGTTTTCCCAGCACCATTTACTGAATAGGAGATCCTTTCCCCATTGCTTGTTTTTGTCATGTGTGTCAAAAATCAGATGGTTGTAGACGTGTGGTGTTATTTCTGAGGTCTCTGTTCTGCTCCACTGGTCTATATGTCTGTTTTGGTACCAGTACCAAGCTGTTTTGGTTACTGTAGCCTTGTAGTATATAGTTTGAAGTCAGGTAGCATGATGCCTCCAGCTTTGGAGAAGAGAGATCTCTTAAGAGATAGCTAACTTGATTACAAAAGGGTTTGAACTGAATCTTTACCCCCTACAAAAGACTCTTTAAAACAGAAATAGCTGGATCACTTTAAATAGAAATAGCTGGATTATTTTAAACTGACAAATAAAACTTCCTTCTACCATCAGAGAAACTGAAGCTCAAAAGATCAGCAATAGAAAACAAATGAAGATACTTTTTTGGGCATATCTGAACTACACTGGTAAATTTCAGTCCCATCATATGTGTTCATCTTAAAAATGTGCAAAATGCTTACACACCCCCTGCCATATGTTGAAATACTCTTTAATAAAATAAAACTGACAGCAGAGCTAATATTTAAATGCACCAAACTGGCCCAGTAACTAATATTTCTGAGTAGCAAATATCAGTATACTGATTCACAGAATTTAGACAGGTTATAAAAGAAAGTCTTATTTTTCAAGAATTCATCGGAAAAAGAAACATTAAAAATATTGAATATAAAAACACTATTAAATTAGCATCGTTTTCAATCTGTACCTATAAAAAACCTAAATTGTAGTATGACAAAACCTTATGGAGCATACACAAAGTCTATAATGTATTTTAATTACCTGTAGAGATGTAATTCTATCATAGTGAATTGTGGTCATCTCATTCTCTGTCAGAGCATTTCCAGTTTGGTCATTAATTTCAAAACCAGTATAGAATTTAAGCATGTCCAAAAGCTGAAGAAACACATTTAAATGTATAAATCATATGAACATAAGGGCAAGAAAGCACAATACTATTTAAAATAATAAACAGGTTCACACAGTTTCTCAGAGGTGCCGAAAAACTCAGGAATGTAAACATTACAAAAAAGATTTTTAGAGTATATCCAACTAAAAATGTTTTAGTTACGTGAAAATGGAGTATGTGAATAAATTGTTAAGTCTATTTCATATACATCATCTACTTCTGCAAAGAAAAACTTATACTGCAATCCCAATACTTAAGAGACATTAAGGAGGTAATCTAAAGAAGCCCAGCATTTTAATGAAACAAACAAAATCTATCCTACATCACTGAAAACTTACAAAGCTATAGCACCAGAGGGAACTCCTGAGGTCTCTTACTACAGGTTTTGCAATTCATAATTGGAGATACTTTTTTATATGCTGCTTTTTTTTTTTTTTTTTGAGTCAGAGTCAAGCTTTGTCGCCCAGGCTGGAGTGCAGTGGCACGATCTCGGCTCACTGCAAGCTCTGCCTCCCAGGTTCACGCCATTCTCCTGCCTCAGCCTCCCGAGTAGCTGGGACTACAGGTGCCCGCCACCACGCCCAGCTAATTTTTTGTATTTTTAGTAGAGACTGGGTTTCACCATGTTAGCCAGGATGGTCTCAATCTCCTGACCTCATGATCTGCCCGCCTCGGCCTCCCAAAGTGTTGGGATTACAGGTATGAGCCACCGTGCCTGGCTGTGCTGCTTCTTTTAAGGAAAAACAGTAAGACAGGGAAAGCTAAGTTATTCTTTTTTCTCCATGGCCATCAAAGTCCTTTGGCTTAGTTTCTCTTGCTAACAAGGCTCTGATGTCTCCCCTGTAGCAGCAGCTTCAACAGAGCCTACTGGCTGCACTCAACCCAAATCTTTATTTTTAGATCTAATCTATGGCAGATCAGATATTAGGATTTAAAATATTTTAATATATGTGGCAAATCACTAGATAGAAATTTTAAAAAAGGAGAAATGCTCACAGATATAAAAGAACAAAGGGGATATGTAAACACATACCAAAATTGTATCTCTAAGTATGATCTCACTGAAAGACAGCATTAGAAGTTTGTTAAAAATGATTTCTTCTGCTGGGTGTAGTGGTTCACGCCTGTAATCCCAGCATTTTGGGAGGCCAAGGTGGGCAAATTGCCTTAGTTCAAGAGTGTGAGACCACCTCGGTAACATGGTGAGACCCTGTGTCTACTAAAAATACAAAACATTAGCCAGGCGTGGTGGTGCATACCTGTAATTCCGGCTGGTATCAGGATGGTATTAAACTGGGGAGGCTGAGGCAGGAGAATCACTTGAACCCAGGAGGCGGAGGCTGCAGTGAGCTGAGATCATGCCACCACCACTGCACTCCAGCCTGGGTGACAGAGCAAACTCTGTCTCCACAAACAAAACAAAACCAAAAGAAATGCTTTCTTCTGCATGACATAACAGGAAATGTAAAATACTGTGTCTTCCTACCAAGACAACAAAGTTAAGTGCATTTGCAGCTTCCTTATTCAAGGGAGCATGTACACTTCTACACGATCAACTGTCTGTCACCATCATCTTATAGAAAGAGTTATAGTATTGGGGCATAGTTCATTTAAAATTAATGCCCATCAGCTATTATATTTCACATAAAATCAAAACTTGTGAACATGTTGACTGTATTCCCCAAATCATAATTTAGTGCAATAATAAAAATCACATATAATGAACAAAAAGTTACATAATTACTAGAGGCAATCTATATAATACATTCATTTTACACATTAAGACATGACTTTAAAATAACCAGGAGTTTGTGTTATGCCCAGATACTCCCAGTTGTGGCAAAGAAAAGATCAGTTTAGAAAGTAAAACAATAAATATGTTCAGATACATAAATATTCACCTGGGAAAAAAGATGGCCATCCTCTTCTCTATGAACAAGATTGGAAAGGTAACAGTGAACCAGAAGGTGGGAGTCATCCAGGATGGTATTAAACCAGCGCCTTGTGGGTAATAGGGCCTGGGAAAAACAAACATCGTAACAGTAAGTTTGCATCTATTCTCCACAGCTAGAAGTGAAATGTACTGATATTTAACTCACAAGTATTAATCACATACAAGGCACCCTCTAACCTTCCAATAGACACATGGTACATAATGCAAGAGGTCCCGTTCATGCTGTAAATAAACTCAGTGGCAATGTTTTTGGTTTTAAAAACAATAATGATGATGAAAGAACTTTTAAGATAAAATTGAAAATAAGGGACCAGGCATGGTGGCTCATGCCTATTATCCCAGCACTTTGGGAGGCCGTGGCAGGTGGATCACCTGAGGTCAGGAGTTACTTTGGGAGGCCGTGGGCAGGTGGATCACCTGAGGTTTGTGGAGTTTGAGATTAGCTCACAACAGGGCAAATCCCTATCTCTACTAAGAATACAAAAACTAGCTGGGTGTGGTGATGGGCGCCTGTAATCCCAGCCACCGATGGGGTTGAGGCAGGGAGAATTAAGCTTGAACCTAGGAGGCAGAGGTTGCTCCCTAAATTCAAGATCCCAAGTACTACACTCAGGCTTGGGCGACAGACTAAGACTCTGTCAAAGACAAGAAAGAAAGAAAGAAAAGAAAGGAAAGGAAGGGAAGGAAGGGGAGGAAGGGGAGAAGGGGAGGGAGGGAGGGAGGAAGGAGGAAGGAAGGAAGGAAGGAAGGAAGGAAGGAAGGAAAGGAAGGAAGGAAGGAAGGAAGGGAAATCTAGCACTCAAAGGAATCTCACAGATCATCCTGTCCCATAGTGTTCCAACAAAATCCTACATAAAATCCCATATGTACTGTGTGTAAGTTTAAAAGTGGAGTTGCTCTGAGAAAAAAGGAAGTACAAATTCCTATGTGGAGATTCCTGTCTGTTTCCTCTCCTCATGTTCCCCTATACCATAGCTTGCAAATCACTAATCTAATCAAATATCCTCATTTTATAGATGAAGTTACTGAGACCCTCAGAAGTTATAAATTAGTTACTGGCAAAGCTAGAATTTGAAAGATCTCATGAATGACTGCTAGTCCAATATGCTAATACTCGTATCAAGAAACCACCTTACTTCTCCAGATAAGGAACAGATTTTCTTTCAATTTCCCACATTAATGACAAAGGAAAGGAAATCAATTCTGTATCTGAACTTGTCAGCAAATCCTGCGCGAAAGAGTATGAAATTTTTTTTTGTTTTTAAGAATCTTCATTTTAAAAAATTGAACACAGCAGCTATATTTTTCTTCGCAAACATTGGGCACATTTAGAAAAGTGAGATTATTTAAGGAGACAATTATAAACCCATGACTTCAGCCACTATAGAAAACTCTGTTTGAGGGGTATTAAAGTATGACACAAAATAAATTGTCACTGCTAGACTCATGTTTAATAACTACACTACGTAATATTTTTTCTACACACAACAGCCCATGATAGATGAGTCAGTCATTTGAAAACCTCAAGGGCCAACTACTCGTGAGTTCCTTCTCTAAGTGACACCCAGAAACAGGTGCAAAGTAAAACGAGTTTGAGGTGATGAAGAAGTACTTCATATAGACCAGGCACGGTGGCTCACACCTATAATCCCAAGTAGTCCTCCTACTTGGGAGGCCAAGGTGGAAGGACTGCTTGAGCCCAGGAGTTTGAGACCAGCCTGGGCAATATGGTGAAACCCTGTCTCTACAAAAAACACAAAAATTAGCTGGGCGTGGTGGTGCCCAACTATAGTCTAAGCTGCTCAGGAGTATGAGGTGGATCCAGAGGATCACTTGAGGCCTGGGAGGCGGAGCGTGCAGTGAGCTGAGATGGCGCCACTGCGTTCTAGCCTTGGTGACAGAGCAAGACCCTGTCTCAAAGGAAAGAAAAGAAGAAAAGAGAAGAGAAAAGAAGAGAAGAGAAAATAATTTTTTTTATTTTATTAGTGTATTTTTATTGTATTTTATTGTATTGTATTGTATTAACTTTTTATTAATGTATAATGTATATTAATGTATATCAATAAATAATGTATACTATATCATTATACAATACATGGGTGCCCAATATGTATTGTATTATACATATGTATTATATATGTATACAATAAATAATACAATACATATGTATAATAAATATATACTACATATGTACTGAAAGAAAAGGAAAGAAAAAAAATACTTCATATATAGTTATATGCTTAATCTTGGACCCCCTAATGATTATATAACAAAAGGTCACTGTAGATTTCTTACCTCTAGATCAATCATAAGTTCAATGAATCTTTCACAGTAATGAACTTTGTCCATAGTGACAGGTTCTAGACATGAGAGAGAAAGCGTGATAGAATTTTCTTACTAGGCCATTTTGGACGCTGTTTCTGAAAACTGGCAGTTATTTAATAACTTAAATAAAGTCATTTGTCTTTTATTCATCAGAATTGGACTATGATCTAGAATGAGGATCTCACATATACGTATTTTTTAAGGCAGGTCTTACCCTGATACTTAGCTCTACAAATATGAGAAAATAAAAAATCTAGCTTGTGTCAGAAGGACATTTTAAAAATCAGGTTTGCAAAGACATTTTAAAAGTATTAATCTTTAAAAATCCGTATTTAGTTAGATCTTGGAAAAACTTAAGAGATATAAAAACTAGAAGGCAGTTTTATATCAGTTTTTGCTCAACTTTCCTTATTGTCTTTACATTCTAAACTTCTGAGAGTTTTCTCATATGTATACACACACACATGTGTATCTACACACACACACCTTTAAACTGCACTGAAAACTAATTAGAGAGACAATTTTTGATTTTTTTCCCCTGTACATGTATTACTTTAACATTAGAATGCCAATGACACAACGAACAATAAAAATACCTTCTAAATCACTAGCTTATTATATTACTATTTATGAGCATAATATACTATTTTTACAAACATTTATTTTTGTTTTTAAATAATTACAACCTTAGGGCATGAAATTCTTTCAGAGTACAAGCTTTTTTTCTAATGCCAGGAAATGGTCTACCATTTTACCAACTAAAATCATCCTGTCAAGTTGGTTTCAATTAAAACAAAGATAATTTTAGGTTTCCTGTTGCTACTTAGTTTAAAGACTTGCGGCAGTGACTAACACCCAGTGCCAGACCTATAGAAGGCATCCTACAAATGCTTACATAAAAATCCATTTATTTATCTGTAGTGTACAGGAAAACGGAAAGCTTAATGTAAAGCAAGAAATGCGAATACTTTTGTGTTTAACATATACAGAAATGTTAACTGGAACTTTTTCAGCTAGCATATGCCCATAATCTAAACCCTGAAATAACAGAAGTATAGAAATTATTAGCTGGAAAAGACCTTTGGGAGCATCGATTCTAGATCTTCATTTTCCAGGTAGCAAAACATGATCAACGAAAATGACCTGATAAAGGTGTAAAGCTAGAATGGTTGGTTAGAACTGGAACCCAGGTTTTCTGACATACACATATAGTTGTTTAAAATAAAAATTTAAAGGAGCAATTTTTAAATTAAATCTATTCAAACCAACCTTTTGTTGCTATCTTTTGTTCTTGTAACCGTCAAAGGAAAACATTTTTTCCCAAACTAAAACAGTGAGCAAATTCTGAATTCTGTATCTTTATTTATCTCTTGAGAAATTACTGGCAATGGCCTATTTAAAATTAGAAAACAATGCATGGTGCTCAAGTTCTGTGCCCTGGTGAATAAAGTTGCATGTTTTTACCACAGCTGGTCTACTGGGCATGTTGCCTAAGATAGAAACCTTGGTGTCCCAATTTCAGGCACAAATATATCCTTATCATTTGTCTCTGTTACACTGTAACTTTTTTCCCCTTCTAACAGCAATCTTAACATCTCAGACTATCCTACACAGATTTTCAACAACTCATCTGGGCATTCCGTTTTTAATGACCCTATTTTAAAAGGAAACTACAATCCTTCTTAAAATCTTTGAAAAATTAGCCTTCTGTTTCCTAAGTATATAATCCATCTATCTTCATACCCATTCTGAACTGGCAAATTATTGTCACCATCCTGTTAGTTCCTTTGCCAGCAAGCTGACAAGTTTTGATAGAAACTCAAGACTAAGAAATGATGTTTTCTAGCCAGGCGCAGTGGCTCACACCTGTAACCCCAGCACTTTGGGAGGCTGAGGAGGGATCACTTGAGGTCAGGAGTCCAAGACCAGCCTGGCCAACATGGTGAAACTCCATATCTACTAAGAATACAAAAATTAGCCGGACATGGTGGTGTGCACCTGTAGTACCAGCTACTCGGGAGGCTGAGGCAGGAGAATCACTTGGACCCAGGAGGCAGATGTTGTAGTGAGCTGAGTTTGCACCACTGCACTCCAGCCTGGGAGACAGAATAAAACTCCATCTCAAAAAAAAAAAAAAAAAAAGTTGTTTTCTGACAGTATATAAACAATAGTGGCAACAGCAAGTGGTTTATAGGCTGTTAAATTACTGCATACCCTATGTTCTTGTTTTTGAAACCTAGATGACCCTAGATAAACATTCCACAGTTAGAGATATCAATTTGTATTACAGACATTAGTTCTATAGACATTAGTAGCTCAAAGCACTCAATGTTACTCTTTGTGCCAAGAAAACCCAATCTTAGGCCAGGCGCAGTGGCTCACGCCTGTAATCCTAGCACTTTGGGAGGCCGAGGCGGGCAGATCACGAGGTCAGGAGATTGAGACCACCCTGGCTAACATAGTGAAACCCCGTCTCCACTAAAAATACAAAAAAAATATTAGCCAGGCGTGGTGGCAGGCTCCTGTAGTCCCAGCTACTCGGGAGGCTGAGACAGGAGAATGGCATGAACCTGGGAGGCTGAAGTTGCAGTAAGCCGAGATCACGCCACTGCACTCCAGCCTGGGCAACAGAGCAAGACTCCATCTCAAAAAAAAAAAAGAAGAAAACCCAATCTTAGTCCTCTTTCCAGGTTGAAGGCACTTAGTGGAAAGATATAGATACACTAACATTAAGTGACTTAAGATTATAAGCATAAAACGTTTTCTTTATACTAATGCTAGCAGCAGTACTGTGCCCCAAATCAGATACAACTGATTTACTGCATTGGTATCAACTCCTCACTGAATTGTAGCTATGATTTTCAGCTGTAAAATATTACTTGAAGGGTCAGCATTTATAACTCACTCCATTGTATTTTTTTAAAAGCTGCACTTTCTGATGCAAAAATATAAATATGGTACACCTATAGAGCTGTTCTTAGATTATATTCCACTTAAAAATTATTAAACAACTGGCTGGGCATGGTGGCTCATGCCTGTAATCCCAGCACTTTGGGAGGCTGAGACGGGTGGATTACCTGAGGTCAGGAGTTCAAGACCAGCCTGGCCAACATGGTAAATCCCTGTCTCTACTAAAAATAGAAAAATTAGCTGGGCGTGGTGGCACACGCTTGTAACTCCAGCTACTCAGGAGGCTGAAGTAGGAGAACTGCTTGAGTCCGGGAGACGAAGGTTGCAGTGAGCCAAGATTGTGCCACTGCACTCCAGCCTGGCTGACAGAGTGAGACTCTGTTTCAAAAAATAATAATAATAAACAATTATAATTATATTTTATACATTTTTATATAGTATATACTCTATATAATACATACTTATTTTTAAATCAATAAATGGAGCTATGATGGAGGAAAATCCTTCTATTTAGTCTTTTAGCTCAAATATCAGTAATATTTCTCCTTTTTTCCTCCAAACAGTATCAATAGTACTAAAAACACTATTCAGCACCATATTATAAATAATATGCAAATATGGTCTGTAATTTTCCTGTTCACAACTGTATCCCAGCACCTTAAAGGGGACCTAGATCTAGTAATTAGGTGATAAAAATATTTGCTACTTAAAGGAATATTTCAATAACCACACTGGTGCCTTTAAAATAACCCTTAGGCCAGACGTGGTGGCTTACGCCTGTAATCCCAGCACCTTGGGAGGCTGAGGTGAATGGATCACTTGAGGTCAGGAGTTCGAGACCAGCCTGGCCAACATGAATAAACCTCATCTCTACCAAAAATAAAAAACTAGCCGGGCATGGTGGCGCAAGACTGTAATCACAGCTACTCGGGAGGCTGAGGCCGGAGAATCGCTGGAACCCTGGACGGGGAGGTTGCAGTGAGCCAAGATCATGCCACTGCACTCCAGCCTAGGTGACAGAGCAAGACTCGGTCTCAAAAAATAAATAAATAAAATAAAATAAAATAACCCTTAAAGGCAGTCCCAATACTCACACTGGTAATATATTTAAAAAGGAGAGGACATACACTTTGCCAATACAATTTAAAATCATTCTAAGAACAGTTTTTATATTAGAGATGAGTAAATACCACAGGGGCAGTTATATGAGAATTTCCCAAATGCATTGAGTAAAAAAGATAGTTACCGGAAAGTGGGACTGACTTCAGTACAGAGATAAACTTCTGGATGAGTTGTGAAAGAAATCTCCTCTCTTGATATGCCCTAAAATCAGAAAGAACATTGACCAATTATTTTCGACAAATAGTCATTTCAAAAGTAAATTCTAAATGTTGATAATGGCTTTCCTATACTGTTCAACTGTTCATTTCTCTGTGAAGCTGGGACTATAACTTGAATATACAGCTTCTTCTTTATATGTAAATGCAGTGCTATATGAAGAAAAGGAGAGTCACATTACTGATCTAATAAGCCACCTAAGCAAGCACCTCCTCCTTGCACCGTGAATGTTTTCTTTTTTTTCTTTTTTGAGTTGGAACCTCGCTCTGCTGCCCAGGCTGGAGTGCAGTGGCACAATTTCATCTCACTGCAACCTCCACCTCCAGGGTTCAAGCAATTCTCTTGCCTCAGCCACTCAAGTAGCTGGGACTACAGGTGCCTGCTTCCACGCCCAGCTAATTTTTGTATTTTCAGTAGAGATGGGGCTCCACCATCTTGGCCAGGCTGGTCTTGAACTCCTGACCCTGTGATCCACCCGCCTTGGCCTCCCAAAGTGTTGGGATTACAGGCGTGAGCCATGACACCCAGCCTGAGCCACAGCGCCCAGCCAAACATTTTCATTTGTGATTTACAAGTCAGACTGAGAAAGAAGTTTCAAAATTCCATTTATAGTCTGCCCTTACCATTAAAAATCTCACATTTAATGTAGTTAAAATGCGATGAAAAATATTATATTTTAACATTTAAGTATTAAGTATAAGAGAGTATTACAACAGCTAAAGATCAAATGCTTAAAAAATAATTTTCTATTCATTACTACTTTAAGATACATTCACTAATGAACAGACACGTATCAAGTATCGTAGAGCTGTAAATGCTTGTAACAGTCCTGCTGGAAATACAAAGAAGGGGAATGGCTAAAATCTACTTGTAATAACAAGTCATATATTATAAACACAATTAGTAATACATGCCAGTATGCGATTAATAAAACTGCCTGACACTAATTAAGCACGCATGGTGCCAGGATCTAAGCTATGCTAAACACTTCACATCTTTTTCTTTTTTTTTTTTTTTTGAGACGGAGTCTCGCTCTGTCACCCAGGATGGAGTGCAGTGGCATGATCTCGGCTCAGTGCAAGCTCCGCCTCCCAGGTTCACACCATTCTCCTGCCTCAGCCTCCCAAGTAGCTGGGACTACAGGCGCCCGCCACCATGCCTGGCTAATTTTTTGCATTTTTTTTTAGTAGAGACGGGGTTTCACCACGTTAGCCAGGATGGTCTCATCTCCTGACCTTGTGATCCGCCTGCCTCGGCCTCCCAAGGTGCTGGGATTACAGGTGTGAGCCACTGCACCCGGCCTTCACATCATATTTAATACTGATAACAGTCCTCGGAAATGGGAAATATTGTCCAGATTTCACGATGAGGCTTAGAGGTGAAGTAACTTGCCCAAAGTCATACAGCAATTGAGTGGGGAATCTAGCTAAGTCTGATTGTAGAACATCCCAATCATTACATAAACAGCTGGTGTTTCAAAAAAAATCAGAGCAGGTGTTCTAGGAGTTCAGATGAAAGCACTATGATCTAAAGTAGTTGGTCTGGAAGAGTGTTTATATGGTTAATATTCAATTAAGTGGAGTGAAGAGGAAAGGGATTTAGGAAAGAAATGCTTAAGAAACAATGACTAGAGTATTCCAGTGATTTACAAGAGTCACAAGAAACAGCTGGAAGCTTCTGAAAGCCTTGGAAGAAGTTTAGAGTTAGGCTGGGCGCGGTGGCTTATGCCTGTAATCCCAGCACTTTGGGAGGCCAAGGCAGGCGGATTACCTGAGGTCGGGAGTTCGAGACCAGCCTAACCAACATGGAGAAACCCCATCTCTACTATAAATAAAAAATTAGCTGGGCATGGTGGCGCATGCCTAGAATCCCCCAGCTACTTGGAGGCTGGGGCAGGAGAGTCGCTTGAACCTGGGAGACAGAGGTTGCAGTGAGCCACAGTCGCACTATTACACTCCAGCCTGGGCAACAAGAGTGAAACTTAGTCTCCAAAAAAAAGTGAAGGAGTAAGAAAAAGAAACGAAAAGTTATATTAATAGCCTAAAGATAGTGGAGCAAATTGAGAATCATCCATGAGGGACACGGACAATAGGCAGGGAGAAAAACAGTGGGTCAACTATATATACTTAGTAGCACAGAAAGAAGGAAAAGAAGAAAAGCATGATGTTCTAGCTTCTGCTTTAGATCTTTGTGAAAAATATTCTTATGACAGTCTAGGTAAAAGCACTTATTATAATAACTTACTTGGGCTCAGCACTATATAAAGGGAAACAACAAACCAGTCAACATCATCTAAAGTCCACAATTCAGCATAATAAGCCAACATGAAATGAAGCTCTGCCAACATACTGTTCTCTTGCTTCTGGATCCATCTTTTCATCATTCTTTTTAATCAAGTTCCAGAATTTTCTTAGCTTAGGGGTCTTTTTTAATTCTAATTCCAATCGTGCCTGAAGAAGAGATGTGTTATTAAATTACCAGTAACCTCAAAGTTTACAAGGATAAGGATTAGATCAACTATTTGCTTGTTTTCTAATATATGAGTACAAAAGAGAGCAATCAAGATTGTAAGCTCAATAATTATTTTTTTATTACAAAACTTAAAGAGCTAAGTCTGAAAAATATATGCATCAACACTTAGCATAATCACTGAGGTTTGAAAAATATGTGTCTGAAACAATGCACAAAAAACAGCTATCACAAGTAAATAAGGAAATGTCCACATTAGCATATTGTCACTTTTTAACTTAGTATTAATTATTTATATGTGCCTTATGTTTTCATGCCCATCAACTGGTACTTATGAATGAGTCTGCATATCTGAGTATAAGCAGAAACACCTATGTGCAGGAAATGAAACTCTGAATACAGCATTACACTCAAATCTGATAGTTTTAACTTTACCTAAGATGTATTAATTTGGCTTTGGTGCTTGCACATATTACCCAATGAAGACTTTATGGAAAAATGGAAGTCATTAATATTAGGTATGATCCAGATCTTCTCCTACAGCTATATATATACTCTAATCAAGGAAAAAAACATTCAAGTCCACATTTAGTCTCATCTATACTTTGCTAAATTAACCCCCTTTCTCTACAAGTTCAATAGATACTACCTTATTCATTTTATATCACTAAAATTAAGTTAAACATCGAATGCACATAAAAACTTTAAAAACTTTATCTGTAAGTTAATGCAAAGTGGTTTTTCTAAGAAAAGGGGTATTTACCTACCACTTGTATATCCAAGATTAAGGCTATAGACTCTAAAACCAGATGCTCTACTTATAACACATACATTCCTAAGATTCTGAAATTAGAGACTTACCAGCTGTAATCCCATCCACATTGGGAGGGAGATAAGCTGCTGTACTTGACTCCGTATCAAGTCTACCTCCTGTTTAGGGCATGAAGGAAACAAGTTCATAAGCATACCAGCATTTCTACCTAAGTCTTTACATTAAGAAGTATTACTGCCTTTTTAAGTCCTGGATGGAAAACATGCCACCAATATTTTCCAATTAATATTTTGATACTAAAAAGTTCAATGCTTTAAAAAAGATTCCATCCTTATTATTTATAGATTTTGTATCTGCAAATTCATACACTAACAAAAATGTATTTTTAACCCCAAAATCAATACTCCATGTGCTTTCACAGTCATCCAGACAAAAATCTGAGTTGCCTGACGTGCACATTCTCAGGTGAGACTGAACTGATGCTCTGCTTCATTCTCATTGAGTACTTTTTTTTTTGGCATGTTTGTGCTTTTTGATGATTTCACTGTTTAAAATGGCACCAAGCCCAAGGCTGAAGTGCTGTCTGATGTTCATGGGTGCAAGAAGGCTGTGGTATGTCTTACAGAGAAAATACGTATGTTAGCTAAGCTTCGTTCAGGCATAATTATAGTGCTATTGGCACTGAGTTCATGGTTAATGAATCAACAATATACAATAAATAAGCTGTCTTTAAATAGAAACACACATAAAATAAGGCTATGTATTGATAGTTTGTATAATGTCATGACCAAGGCTTGCAGGAACCTAACCCTGTATTTCCTCAAGGAGTAATGGTTCAGCATTCATTAGCTCATTCAGTGTTCATAGCTACTTTATAAAATGAATGTGCCAGGCGCGGTGGCTCAAGCCTGTAATCCCAGCACTTTGGGAGGCCGAGACCAGTGGATCACGAGGTCAGGAGATCGAGACCATCCTGGCTAACATGGTGAAACTCCGTCTCTACTAAAAAAAATACAAAAACTAGCCGGGCGAGGTGGCGGGCGCCTGTAGTCCCAGCTACTCGGGAGGCTGAGGCAGGAGAATGGCGTAAACCCGGGAGGCAGAGCTTGCAGTGAGCTGAGATCGGGCCACTGCACTCCAGCCTGGGCGACAGAGCGAGACTCCGTCTCAAAAAAATAAAAATAAAATAAAATAAAATAAAATAAAATAAAATGAATGTAACTACCTCAAATAAGAATTGACTGCATATTTTAAAAGATAAAGCATTTCAATAATAAACTAGTTTGGTAAGTTGGTTAAAACTATCACCAAATTACTAATACTAATAAAATCTTATTTCTGCTTAGTTTCTGATAAGAAATCACATCTATTTATATTTCTATTTGTTCTGTTTAGTTTAATAAATGTTAAAGAGATAACAGTGGTATCCAGTGCAGGCATCATAAATCTTTTTTTATGCCTTTAAAAGATCCATGTGAGATAGTACATGGAAACAGGTAATAACTATCCATCTATTAACACTCAGTCTTCAGGATAAGAAAGAACTCCGTGCATTCTCCTGCATGGGTGTAAGTGAACGATCAATTCAGAGGCACCAGATAAATATGTATATTTATCAGATAACCACAGTAGGAAAACTCAAATAAAATATTAATTACTGAAAAAATTTAATTTTTTAGAAGATAATCTTATGAAGGATGAAAATGTATCACACACAAGACATTTTCAAAGATCATCTACAAATGGCCTTTATCAGTTAACTCAAAATACAACTCTCCTACTGACCAACCAGCCTGTGCATGAGGCATGATGAAAAGTAATGAAACTACATCCCTGTATGTATATGCAGTTTGTGGCACAGATCTCATTACTACAATTCCGTATTAACCAGTCTCCTTGCTGCTTCTCCTTTTTGTGCTCTTTGGAGTTTCAGTTCTTATAATCATTTTTCTTAAGAGTCTAGATAGGAAAAATTAAGTATCAAGTTCAAATCTATTAAAAAGTGAACATATCTTATAAAATGGTTTTACTGATAAGTGGCTGAAATCAAGCTAAGCATTATCCTTATTCTCCACTATTATGGATGAAGAGTTGGCTACAGAGGTAATTTCATCTAAACTCAACCTAAAAGAACAAGAAAACTTGAAAATTACCCCAAAATATAAAGTAAAAGTACCAAACTATTGAAGCAATGATCAAGAAAAAGTAGTAAGACTGTCTGTTCATGAAGTGAAAATTCACCATCAGTTTCAGCTAATGCCGCCTTCAAGATGTGTTTAAAAAAGAATGGGAAGTGGTCTGGCTTCTTCTTAAAAATCTGAAAAGAAAAAGAATAAAAATTCATTTTGAATTGGTTTGCTCACTTAAGCTTTAAAGAAGCCCTAGTAGGCTTTTTAGCAGTCTATTAAAAAAACCAAATAATTACAAAAGAGTTATTTGTGTATCTATAAAATAAGCATCACGTGCTTACTTATAATTAATGGCAAGTCAAATACAGGTTTCTGACAGGACTATGAGAGAGTTGCAAAAACTTTTAGCTAATAAAATAATGGCTTTAATTTCTTTAGTTTTTCCTCTGTGGATTATGCCTGTATTTGGCTTAGGCTTTGTTTTCTTATTACGGATCTGAAGTGTTTTAATTTCTCTGATTTAAACAAAAGAAACTGCATCTTTAGCAAAAATTGTAGTTTTCACACTGTAATTAATCTCAAGGACAGCCCCTCCTGCTTTATATTAGCTCTTTACTCTTAAGTTATATATAATGTAAATATATTCAAGCCTCTTTGACCTACCTCTGTTTCTAGTTACTGCCGCAGACAAGCACCCCAAGCGTGTGGTCTACGCTAGTTGTTTTCATTCACTTCTCTAAGACAAGCTCTCCTGAAGTTGTATGGCTGTCAAGTCGGATGGACCGTTATGAAGCCTCAACTCCTTTTCACCATATTGAAGGCTCTTTTTCTTTCATCTGTTATCTAAACAGCAATATTCCTAGGGTTCTAGCCTCATTCTTCTCCCCCTATTACTTCAACCACTAAATACCAGTGATTCCAAATATACATCTGCAGTCCAGATTTCCCTTCTGAGCTCTCAAACCTTAGAGTCCTCTACTAGATGACTTAAATCTAGATATTCCAAAGGCAATTTAAACTGAATATGTCCAAATTCAATTCAACAGTTTTGTATCCTCCAGATTATTCCTCAGTCTCTATTACCTATCTTGGTAAATGGTACCATCATCTATTATATTCATTTGCCCAAGCCTGGAAGGTTATTGAAAATAACACCCTTTCCTAATGCTACTTCAACTGATTATCAAATTCAATCAATTCTACCTTCTAAATCTCTGTATATTCTCTAAATCTGTATTATTATTTCTCTATTTCAAGGCCTAATCACCAAAGTGATCTTTATAACAGGCAAATTGACCAGGTTATTCCCTGGCTCAAAAAATTTTCCTTCTTCCTTTCTATAATAGCTTGAAGCAACTTCAAGAAATCCCGAGGCTCTCTTGATATCGACATAAAACCTATAGTTTATTTTGAGCTCTAACGTGCCCTGAGATGGTAGTCATTTAATGAATATTTGAGAGAAGTATCCATGGCTTTATCTTAAAGACTCTATCACCTTCTCACTTCGGAGACCATTTACTCAAAACAGATGACAGGCATCCATTCCTTTTTTTTTTTTTTTTTTTTTTTCCATTTAAAAAAGTCTGACTGGAAGAGAAGAAACTCTTGATGAAGTGACCATTATATGCTGGGCAAAGAAAACAAAGGTTTTGGATCTCTACTTATCAAGCTTCTGTTGCACCAGCACAAAAAGGAAACATCAGTGCATTAGAAATTTCTAAAAGGAAAAATAGATCCCAAATCAAGGACAAAAAGAACAGGCAGGGCACGGTTACTCATGGCTGTAATCCCTGCACAAGGCGGGTGGATCACCTGAGGTCAGGAGTTTGACACCAGCCTGGCCAACATGGTGAAACCCCGTCTCAACTAAAAACACAAAAATTAGCTGGGCATGGTGGCGGGCACCTGTAATCCCAGCTTCTCGGGAGGCTGAGGCAGGAGAATTGCTGGAACCTGGGAGGCAGCGGTTGCAGTGAGCTGAGATCACGCCATTTGCACTCCAGCCTGGATGACAAGAGCGAAATTCAGTTTCAAAAAAAAAAAAAAAAAGAACGTTGCAATTATAACATAAGCATCTGTCTTGACTTTGGTAACTTTTTTTTATTCATGTAAAACTACAAATATACACTTTCTCTTGTGAAAAAAGACACTGAGAAGTATCTCATTTGAACATTATATACTTGCACTTTTTCTCTTCTTAGAGACAGGGTCTCGCTCCATTACCCAGCTGGAGTGCTGTGGTGCAATCATAGTTGACTGCAGCCTCGAACTCCTAGGCTGAAGCAGTCCTCTTGCCTCAGTCTCCCAAGTAGCTGGGACTACAGACTCATGCCACCATGCCTGGCTAATTTTTTTTTTTAAAGAGACAGGTTTTTGCTTTGTTGCCCAGGCTGGTCTTGAACTCCCGGCCTCAAGCAATCCTCCCACCTCAGCCTTCCAAAATACAGGATTACAGGCATGAGTGACAGCACTCAGCCTATTTGTATTTATTAATATAATTTCCATTTTGCCAGCTCCTGATGTAAGTTGTTATAACATATACCATTCTTCGTTTCAAACACAAAGCAGAAAAATAACTCACATTCATAAATTTTCAATTCATAGTAAATTATTGAATTGTTTGAAGAAAGTGTTGAAACCAAAAGAAAATGTATCTTTCACATACCCATTCTTTTTCTCAGTATTTGCTTTAATGCTAGGTAAAATTCTGCTCTAAAAGCACCACTATCAGTAAAAGTTCTGCCACTTTGTAATGGCTTAAGTGGGTCAGTATGAAAGCTATGAAGTAATTTAAATCAGTTACCTCCCATGCAGGCACGTTTTCTCTGAACTTCTCATTCACCATACAGCAAATTGACATTAAATAGGCCTTGCTGGATACCTCAGGAGAATAATTCATCCAGAGATAATTTTCAAGATACTGGCTATAAAGAGTAAAAAGCACAGAATATTTCATTAGTTACCACCACTCACTGTAATGCATAACTCACCCAGAAAAGCATAATTATTTACAACTTTCTGAAAATATTTTGGAAATCTCTATTTATAACTTGGAATCCTTGGCTGGGTGTCGTAGCTCACACCTGTAATCTCTGGGAGGCCAAGGTGGATGGATCACTTGAGGTCAGGAATTGTGATATGGTGAAACCCCATCTCTATTAAAAATACAAAAATTAGCTGGGTGTGGTGGCACACGCCTGTAATCCCAGCTACTCAGGGGGCTGAGGCAGGAGAATCGCTTGAACCCAGGAAGAAGAGGATGCAGTGAGCTGAGATTGCACCACTACACTCCAGCCTGGCCAACAGAGCTAGACCCCGTCTTCAAAAACAAAAAAAAAAAACAAAACTTGGAACCCTTCACAAATTTACCTGTTGTCTAGGTCACTGCTACCAGCTACAAATTTATGTATAGAAAACACAGCTTTGGAGAATGACGGTCTTACACATTCAAATACAAAGGTATCAAACGTTGCCAACATACATAATTATCAACACCAAACCACTGGATATTCCCTTACTTAAGGTGCTTTTTTTTTTTTTTGGAGATGGAGTTTTGCTCTTGATGCCCAGACTGGAGTACAATAGCATGATCTAGGCTCACTGCAACCTTCACCTCCCGGGTTCAAGTGATTCTCCTGGTTCTGCCTCCTGAGTAGCTGGGATTACAGGCATGCGCCACCATGCCTGGCTAATTTTTTGTATTTTTAGTAGAGACAGGGATTCTCCATGTTGGTCAGGCTGGTCTTGAACTCTCGACCTCAGGTGACCCACCCGCCTCAGTCTCCCAAAGTGCTGGAATTACAGGCATGAGCCACTGCACTTGGCCAGATCATGAGGTCAAGAGATCCAGACCATCTTGGCCAACATGGTGAACCCCCGTCTCTACTAAAAATACAAAAATTAGCTGGGCATGGTGGCGTGTGCCTGTAGTCCCAGCTACTCGGGAGGCTGAGGCAGGAGAATCACTTGAACCCAGAAGGCAGAGACTGCAGTAAGCTAAGATCACATCACTGCACTACAGCCTGGCAACAGAGCGAGACTCTGTCTCAAAAAATTAAAAAAAAGGAAAACCCAAAAATACCTGATAAATATCAGTTCTAAAACAAAATGAGGCCAGGCGTGGTGGCTGACACCTGTAATCCCAGCACTTTGGGAGGCCAAAGTGGGCGGAATGCTTGAGCCCAGGAGTTTGAGACTAGCCTGGGCAACATAGTGAGACCTTGTTTCTACAAAAAAAAAGAAAAAAAAAAAAAAAACCACTAGCCAGGTGTGACGGTGTACACCTGTGGTCCCAACTATTCAGGAGGCTGACATAGGAGGATTGCTTGAGCTTAGGGGGTTGAGGTTGCAGTGAGCCATGATTGTGCCACTGTACACCTGGGCAACAGAGTGAGTCCCCACCTCTAAAACTAAAAAAAAAAAAAAAAAATTCTGAAACTCTTACTAAGCCTTCTCATTCTAGCCTCCATGTATCTTATTTTCTTTCCTATTTTTCATTTTTACTTCTCTTTGCTATTTTCTAGTTAATTCCCTCAGATCTATTTTCTAATTCACTAATTTCTTCTTTAGCTGCACTAACATGTTATTTACTTTGCTAATTGATGTCTTCCTCTAATAATTTTCATCCACAAAAACCCTTTTCTCAGTTCACTTTCCTATATCCAGCTACCTTCTCCATGCCATCTTACTTTCCACTTTAGCAAGAAACCGTCAATTACTCTCCACAACAACCTTAGACTGGTTATGTCTGAAAGTTGGCCCAGGGAAAATGATATTGTCACATAAAATTAAATAAAAGTTCCTGAAAGGTAACAACCGACTTTTTCAGCTATTAAAAATTTTTCACTGTCAGTTTTGATGCTGCTGCTACAGGGAAGAAATCAGAGCCTCGTTAGCAAAAGAAACTAAGCCAAAGGACTTTGATGGCCATGGAGAAAAAAGGGTAACTTAGCTTTCCCTATCTTACTGTTTTTCCCTAAAAGAAGCAGCACGCCAGGCACGGTGGCTCACGCCTATAATCCCAGCACTTTGGAAAGCCGAGGTGGGCGATCACGAGGTCAAGAAATCGAGATCATCCTGGCCAACATGGTGAAACCCCATCTCTACTAAAAATACAAAAATTAGCCAGGTGTGGTGGTGCACACCTGTAATCCCAGCTACTCGGGAGGCTGAGGCAGGAGAATCGCTTCTACCCAGGAAGTGAAGGTTGCAGTGAGCCGAGATCGCACCACTGCACTCCAGCCTGGCGACAGAGCAAGACTCTGTCTTAAAAAAAGAAAAAAAGTTTCACTGTCATTGATGCTTTCAATCTGTTTTGTTGCTTTCTCCTTCAATTCCTGCAATTCTCTTGGTTTCTGGACTCTTGAGTTCTGGTTAATCCTAATTGCATATTGGTAGCCTCTTGATTTTAATCTGTCTTGTTGAAAGGAGGCACGATATGATGGAAAGAGCATATTTATCTCAGGGCCAGATGGGTCCAGTTTCTAGCCTCAGTTTCCTCCCCTATAAAATAAGGAAGATCTTACTGGTGGTGTTGTGAGGATTAAATAAGATCATTTAATAATAATGCAGTCCTTAGGATACAGGTGGCACTCAACTTACTAGTTAATTCATAATAAATTTCAGTTTCCCTCTATAAAAATGATAAGACCATCTCCTTCACGTCATTTTTTTGTGAGGATCAAATCTGTGGATGCAGGAGTAACAATTATTGACACAGAGGTCCTGACCTCTGATGTAAACCAGATGTCAAGGAAGTGCAGAGAAGTGGAAAACCATGAGCTTTGGCATCAGACATTGGTATCCCAGCTCTGCCAATTACTTAGAGCAAAGTATTTCACCTCTCTGATCTCAGCTTCTGTTTCCAGTAAATGCTGAGGATAGTACCTACTTCACAGGATTGTTGTGAGTACTCTGTATGTAAAGTAAAATGCTTAACACTGGTGAGCACAAAACAGGTGTTCTGTTTGAGAAATGGTAAATGTAGCTATCATCAACAATCCTGGCTTTTACTTTCAGCATACTGGCTAGATCTGGTTGTAACATAATCTAATCTACTTTTGCAATCTAAAAATCATACATTATCTTTTGTCTGAAATAGTTATATTACCAGTAGCTAGACTGGAACAACGCTACCTTGATGATAACATTTTAGCTTGGCAGGGAAAAAAAGCAGCTATAGAACACACTCTATTTCCACTGATCACTAGAGAAACCAAGTTTGAGTTCAGAAATTATTCACCACATGCTACCTTAACAAGTAAGAAAAAAAATCAAAATACAAGTTATTCTGACAATGGGCCATCATCTTTGAAAACAAAGGCTATTACACACATATTCCAAAATAAGCCAATCACAGAAATATATATCTTCACAGATTTAGATTTTCTTAGTCACTCACAGAAATACACAGAAAATTTAGCTAAAACTGAAATGACATTATCTTTTTCATCAACGGAATGCCTTATGACTTACCTAAATTCCAAGAGCATTATCTTTCTAATAGCAAACCTGAAAACATAAAAATAAATAAAATGTTTAAAATAGAAAATACAAACATTTCAGAATTATTAACCCAAATGCATTTAGGGATGTTGTGTTTTCATATCAACTCACCTATCAAAATTCATAATATCAGATCACAATTTCCTACATCAGTTCAACTTCTTAAGCACTGACCAACATGTTTTCATTTAATACTCAAATGGAAACATTTTGCTAAAGAGTCATGCCTTCCTAAAAGCACACAGGACACATATCTTTACTGCAAATGTGAAAATCAGATGTTTCACTTGCTTCTTAGTGTTGACAGTGAGCTTAAAATACTAAAATATTGTGGAAAAAATATCAGATATTTGTCTTTAATATACTGTCTTTTTTAAATAGAATTACTTTGTTGTATATGAATAAACAATGATATAGTCATGTTTGTCCAAAATATACCTACGTTGTCCCGAAGCAGATACAAATGGCCGCTAATTTAGTTTTATCATTTCATAATATTGGAAATAGATCAGAACACTGTCACTAAATAATAGTTTCCAGCTTTGAAAATTAAGTGTCCATGTACTATAAATTTATAATGCCCCAGGAAACCATTATCCTGTCAAAATCCTATTCCACTGATTTCTGATCTCTTACATAGTTTCACTGAGCATACAATGTCACAAAACTTTAGTGAGAATGAAATGAAGGTTTTTACTATGCAAAAGCACTATGCAAAAGCACTAAGACAGAACACTGCCTAACTACTGGCTTCTACAGCCAGCCAAGATGCTAAGTGGATAGGCCATCTTGAGTGACACACTCTAGATCTCCAACTGTAGACATTTCACTTGAATTAACTGTATGTTAGACAACAGAATTCACTCACTGCCCACTATACACAAAACTCTACATTTAATTTCTTCAGTCACAAACAGGACCTCATGATAAAAAACAGAAAATCCTGGCTCATGAGATAGAATACCAGTGTTCTAGTAATGACTCAGTGTTACTTTGACAATGTCTTTTAAACATTCTTTTTCTATTTTTTTCTTTTTTATTGAGACAGAGTCTTGCTCTATCACCCACCCTGGAGTGCAGTGGTGCAATCTCGGTACACTGCAACCTCCGCCTCCCAGGCTCAAGCAGTTCTTGTGCCTCAGACTCCCGAGTAGCTGGGATTATAGTCACGTGCCACTACACCTGGCAAATGTTTTGTATTTGTAGTAGAGATAGGGGGTTCCCCATGTTGTCCAGGCTGGTCTCGAACTCCTGAGCTCAGGTGATCCACCCACCTCAGTCTCCAAAAATGCTAGGATTACAGGCGTGAGCTACCACACCTGACGTCTTTTAAACATTCTGCAATTCAGTTTCCTCATGTATAAAAATGGTAGAGCAGCCAACTTTCCTTTATAACTACAGAGGTGAAAAATAAGTCTTTTTTTTTTTTGGAGGCAGAGCTTGCTCTATTGCCCAGGCTAGAGTACAGTGGCACAAACACAGCTCACTGTAGTCTCAATCTCCCAGGCTCAAGCGATCCTCCCACCTCAGCCTCTCAAACAGCTGGGACTACAGGCACGTGCTACCACATCCAGCTAATTTTTTTGATTTTTAGTAGAAATGAGGTCTCACTATGTTGCCCAGACTGGTTTCAAACTCCTGAGCTCAAGTAATCCTCCCACCTCGGCCTCCCGAAGTGCTGGGATTACAGGCACAAGCCACCATGCCTGGCCTTGAAAAATAAGTCTTGATGTGTCAAAATAAAGCAAAAGCAGTCTGAAAAACATTCAATTCCTCTTCTAGCAACCTCAGTGGTATTCATTAAATTTGTAGTTTTATACTTTTGCCAGTGAACTCTCTGAGACAGATAAAGTGAACAGCTTAACTGAAAGCGTACTTACATAGAAACGGGTCCAGGAACTAGACACCACATCTGAAGAATTTTAAAGATAAGTATGGAAGGTGGGCACGGTGGCTAATGCCTGCAATCCTAACACTTTGAGGCCAAGGAGGGTAGATTACCTGAGCTCAGGGGTTCCAGACCAGCATGGGCAACACGGTGAAACACCATCTCTACTAAAATACAAAAAATTAGCCAGGTGTGGCAGCATGTGCCTATAGTTCTAGCTACACAGGAGGCTGAGGCAGGAGAATTGCTTGAACCCGGGAGGCGGAGGTTGCAGTGGGCTGAGATCATGCCACTGCACTCCAGCCTGGGTGACAGAGTGAGACTCTATCTCAAAAACATAAATAAATAAATAAAAATAAGTATGAAAAGTTACAAACAATAACCACAAATATAAATAATTTGAAGGATTTCTGGACGGTTTTTTTTTAAGTTACCAGTATTTACTGAGAGCATGCATTATGCCTGACACTGTGCCAAGGACTTAACGTGCATTTCATTAAATCCTTCCAAAGCTGAATAAATTATGTATGACAAACTGGGTCTATTACTGTATCATTAAAAATGATAAGAAAAAAGAGAAGGGGCCGCACAAATGAGAGTTCTTTTCTACTACATTCCCACCTACCCCAACAACTTCCTCTTCTGGGACATGACTGTGTGAAACATGAGGTCTGCAGCTGTGGCATCCCCACCACAATCATACGGAAAAAATCAATAAAACCTTTTGACAAGACTGACACAGGCCTTGACATTATTAACTTCTGAGCTAGCTACTTCTAGATCTATTAAGTAGATGATTAAAACAGTAAATAATAACAGTGAACAAAAGAAGCCAGCCACACGAGGCACAGTGGCTCATGTCTGTAATCCCAGCACTTTGGGAGGCCGAGCATGCAGATTACCTGAGGTCAGGAGTTCGAGACTAGCCTGACCAATATGGTGAAACCCCATCTCTACTAAAAATACAAAAAATGAGCCGGGTGTGGTGGCAGGCACCTGTAATCCCAACTACTCAGGAGGCTGAGGCAGGAGAATTGTTTGAAGCCGGGAGGCGGAGGTTGCAGTGAGCAGAGATCACGCCACTGTGCTCCAGCCTGGGCGGCAAGAGCGAAACTCCATCTCAAAAAAAAAAAAGAAGCTAGCCACAAAAGAATACATAGTGTGTGATTCTATTTATTTATTTAAAGTTGAAAAAGAACCAAAATTATAGTGTTCTTGTTTGCATACTTACATATTATAATGATAAAGAAAAGGAACAAGCAGAGAGCTTCTGCAACACGACAATGTTCGTGGAGTTTTTCAGCCTAGGTGGTGGTTATGAATTATTACTGTAATTCGTAAGTCTACACATTTGTTTTACACTCTTTTCTGTGTTACATTTCATAATAAAAGAGTCCATACATTTCAAATAAAAATAAACACTTTGGCAAAAGTAGATTACTCTGTAAATCACCCTTTTTGAAAGCATAAAAACCACTTAGTTGATTCATAACAGGATTACGCATCATACCAAAGTGTACTAGTTAAGAGGTTTCTAGAAGGCAAAGGACTCTTATTTAAGAACAGAGTATTCAAGGCCAGGCATGGTGGCTCACACCTATAATCCCAGCACTTTGGGAGGCTGAGGTGGGCGGATCACCTGAGGTCAGGAGTTTGAGACTAGCCTGGCCAACATGGTGAAACCAGGTCTCTACTAAAATACAAAAAATTAGCAGGGCACAGTGGCACATGCCTGTAATCCCAGCTACTCAGGAGTCTGAGCCAGGAGAATTGCTTGAACCCAGGAGGCAGAGACTGCAGTGAGTCGAGATTGCGTCACTGTACTCCAGCCTGGGCAACAAGGGTGAAACTCCATCTCAATAAAATAAAAGAACAGAGCGGAAAAAAAAAAAAAGAACCAGGGAACCAGGATTCAATACCTGGTGTGCCTCTACTGGGAAGCATCTTGGGCAAGTTATTTAACCTATCTACTTCAGTTTCCTTATCCATAAAATGAGGATAATAATATTGTTATAGGGTTGTTGTGGGAATAAACGAGCTAGATGCTTACAGCAGAATGCAAGGTGCTTAGAGTAGAATTTGGCACATAGTAAGCACTTAACTATTATTTTAAAAATATTTTAAAAATCAAACTTGGATTAAGAATTCATTAAGATAAGCCTGCCAAATCTGATAATGGCAAGAACAGCAAAAATGAATCAATTGTGTAATGTACCATACAGTAACATGGCTGTTACATCAAGCCATTCCCCCAATACTGAAAATGCCATGAGCACACAGCGCAGCAAAATAATTTCCTCAGGACCTAGCCTAAACAATTGGTCACTTAAATTTTTTTTTTCTTTTTTGAGACAGTCTCGCTCTGTCACCCAGGCTGCAGTGCAATGGCACAATTTCCGCTCACCGCAACCTCCGCCTCCCGGGTTCAAGAAATTCTTCTGCCTCAGCCTCCCGAGTGGCTAGGATTACAGGTGCATGCCACCACACCCAGCTGATTTTTATAAATTTTTAGTAGAGACAGGGTTTTACCATGTTAAATTTTTAAATACATACTACAGTTTATGTATTACAGAAGTACACTTAGAAATAAAAAACGTGGGCCGGGTACCGGAGCTCACGCCTGGGAGGTTGAGGCAGGCGGATCACCTGAGGTCGGGAGTTCAAGACCGGCCTGACGAACGTGGAGAAACCCCATCTCTAATAAAAATATAAAATTAGCCGGGTGTGGTGGAGCATGCCTGTAATCCCTGCTACTCGAGAGGCTGAAGCAGGAGAATCACTTGAACCTAGGAGACGGAGGTTGCAGTGAGCCGAGATTGCGCCATTGCAAACCAGCCTAGGCAACAAGATCGAAACTCCGTCTCAAAAAAACATTAAAAAAAATAATAATAATAAACATGTACAAGATAAGAAAATGACTGTTAAAAGTGCCACAATAAATCTTAGCCATGCCAAAGATAGCTACTTCTTTCAGAACTAAGAATAACATAGGGGCTGGGTGTGGTGGCTAATTCCTATAATCCCAGCACTTTGGGAGGTCAAGGCGAGCAGACTGCTTGAGCTCAGGAGTGAGACCAGCCTGGGCAACATGGCGAAACCCTGTTTCTACCAAAAATACAAAAAGAATTAGCTGGGCATGGTGGTTTGCACCTGTGGTCCCAGCTACTTAGGAGGCTAAGGTTGGGGGATCGCTTGAGCCCAGGAGGCAGAGGTTGCAATGAGCTGAGATCACACCATTGCACTCAAATCTGGGTGAAAGAGAGCAACCCTGTCACACATACACACACAAAAAGTAGCCAAATGTATACGGCTTAAAAATCATTAGCAGCTTTTAGTTGTTATAAAAAATCACCTCTGAAGAAGAAATATTAATAGCGAGGGTTTAAATGAAAAAATAAACAATCACTTTCCACTGGAGTGAAAACCTATTCTGAAGATTCAAAATAATTTTCAAATTATATAACCTTAATATAGAAGAAAAAAATGATACTAGAATAAATCCACCCGCTCGTCTTTAGTTTTCTCAAGAAATTTCATTCATACTCACCTTCAGACCAACAGGCCATATGTTACAAATCTGCTCAAGTCCTACCTTCAGCAAGAATTTGACTAATTATTCTGAAATACCAGCCCTTGTCATTATCCTCTAACCACACTTTAATTCATAGCACTTACTATCTCCTGACATTACATTATATATAGATATATAGATATATATGTCTGTCTGTGTGACCCACTAGAATGTAAACTCCAGGAGAGCAGGGACTCTATCTCCCCTCTTTTCTGTTGTATTGTTAGCATTGAAATGGTGGCTAATACAAAGTAGGCTCAACTCAGTCTCTTTTTGTTGTTTGTCTTGTGACAGGGTCTCACTCTGTCACCCAGGCTAGAGTGCAGTGGTACGACTGTGGCTCACTGCACCCTTAACCTCCTGGGCTCAGGTGATCCTCCCACTTCATCCTCTTGAGTAACTGAGCTACAGCCATACGCCACCATGTCCAGTTAATTTTTTGTATTTTTTCTAGACACAGGGTTTTGCCATGTTGCTCAAACTGGTCCTGAACTACTTACTGGGCTCGAGCAATCCACCTACCTCGACCTCCCAAGGTGCTGGGATTACACGCATGAGCCACCATGCCCAGCCAACCCAATCTCTTTTGAGCTATACACCTGGATACCCAACTGCTTATTCCATATCTCCATCTTCATGGCTCTTACGTAGCTAGAATTCCAGATATTCAAAAGTGAAATAATGATCTACACCCAATCCTATCCCCAACAACGTGGCAAAAGTCAGTAATAGCATCACTAATCACTCAGCAACTTAAGCAAAAAATTTTAGGATCTTCTTAGATTTCTCCTTTTCCCACATCTGCCACATCCAAACATCAAGTCTTTCCACTTCCATCTTTCTCAAATGGACAATTCCTCTCCCAACTTTCCACGCAAGTCAAATCTATGACATCTTGAAGCTGACTACTACAATGCTCACCTAACTAATTCCCTGACTCTTGCTCCCTCCAAATCCAAATTCTTGCTGGGTGCAGTGGCTAATGCCTGTAATCCCAGCACAGCACTTTGGGAGGCTGAGGCGGGTGGATCACTTGGGGCCAGGAGTTTGACACCAGCCTGGCCAACATGGTGAAACTCTGTCTCAAAAAAAGTAAAAAAAAAAAAAAAATATATATATATATATATATATATATATATATATATCTTTTTCAAATACCACTGTACTTACAACTCTTCTTAATTCCTACTGTTTTCCAAATAAAGGACAAAATCCCGAAGATGGTCTTTGACCCATTTAGTCAAATATCCTTTTAAAATACTCACTGGGCATACATGTCTGCAGGTGCATATATAAAAAGATGCCTAAGACACATTGTTAAATTTTTTAAAAGAAGCATAATGAAAAAATGGCATGTAGAGTACAAACCCTTTTGTGTTTGAAAAAACATGAAGGGGTGGGGAATAGAACAGATGTATATGAATCATATACATGAACCAGGGATTGGGGGCAGAAAAGATGATTTATTGAAACTCACCCCTTACAGCATATTGCTCAAAAATAATTTTTATCACTTGTTTTTATTATTCTACATTTTATACATTACATATATATGCTACATTATTGTACATTTAATGTTGTCTTACTTTCATAACTTTTTAAGAATATTTTTAAAAAGTGAATCAGAAATAAGAAAATTAATACTAGTTGAACTGAAATAAAATCTTCATGTTTACTTTTTCTCAAATTCCATCTAAATCCAAATAAACGCTATGGGATTTGATACCTCTAATCTGAGCCAAAAGTTAGAAGGCAAAAAATAATTTATGACTCTTCAGCACCTAAAGTGTTTCTAGTCAATTTGATGACCAATTTGAAACAGAAAAAAAGGTTCGAGTTATGACCACATAGAAATTCAGCCAAGATCCAACTTGGTCCACCCCAATCACATTGTATAAAATTTAAACTCATTCCTACCTTGATTTGACAATCTCTTTTTCATATATATCTTCAATAACCTGTTATCAAAAATATAAAAATGTAGTATCTCAACAACTTTTTTCAACTCTAAATTGATAGTTTTTAATGAGTGAGATTATATAAAATAAGTTGGTTTAGGAAAGCCATCAAATATTACTGCTATTGAAATAACAAGAGATTTTAAAAATAATCCCATTATATTTCTCAAGATGTGAAATTAACAGAAAGCAAAGTAGAAAAAATAAATAATAAAACAGAGCCCTAGATTCATTAAAATGATGTGCTTATAAACATTTTTAGGGAAAATAAAAATTCACAAGATCAGGATATTTTTAAAGTATATAAATGTTATCAAACTCCATTTAAGAGTCATAACTGTGTGCCTTCAAAACCCACAGAGAAAATAAGTTAAAAGTGTGAAGACATAACAGACACAAATTCTAACTGTTACATCTCATTATCCAAAGGAATATGATAAAGGTTCAGAATTTCCATTCATTTGAGTGAAGATGGGCAGAATGGTGTACTACCTAAGAATTCAGACTCTGGCCAGGCACGGTGGCTCATGTCTGTAATCCCAGCACTTAGGAGGCCAAAGAGGGAGGATCAGGTCAAGAGATCAACACCATCCTGGCCAACATGGTGAAACCCTGTCTCTACTAAAAATGCAAATATTAGCTGGGCGTGGTGGCGCACGCCTGCAGTCACAACTACTTGGGAGGCTGAGGCAGAAGAATCAACTTGAACCCGGAAGGCAGAGGTTGCAGTGAACCAAGATCGCACCACTGCTCTCCAACCAGCCTGGTGACAGGGCGAAACTCCGTCTCAAAATAAAATAAAAAATAAAAAAAAAAAGAATTCAGACTCTGGAATTGCACGTCTCAAAAAAAAAAAAAAAAAAAAAAAAAAGAACTCAGATTCTGGAATTGGAAGCCTGGTTCAATGCATCTGCCTTCACTACTGACGGCTAGAACTCTTGGGCAAGTGCCTGACCTCTCTAAGGCTCAGTTTCCTTACCCACAAAACAGATCTACTAATACAAACTATCACACAGGGTTATTGCAAATAAAATAAGACAGGGTATATAAACAATTAGTACAAATACTGGCACACAGTGAGCCTTCAGTAACAGTTATCAATAGCAGCAGTAGCAGTGCTAGCATAAATAACAGTAAAAAAAATACTACCGTAAAATTATGAAGTGCTTTAACATGGTATAATATAATATTATTTTTTTTCTTTTTTTTTTTTTTAGACGGAGTCTCGCTCTGTCGCCCAGGCTGGAGTGCAGTGGCCGGATCTCAGCTCACTGCAAGCTCCGCCTCCCGGGTTCATGCCATTCTCCTGCCTCAGCCTCCCGAGTAGCTGGGACTACAGGCGCCCGCCACCTCGCCTGGCTAGTTTTTTTGTAGTTTTAGTAGAGACGGGGTTTCACCGTGTTAGCCAGGATGGTCTCGATCTCCTGACCTCGTGATCCGCCCGTCTCGGCCTCCCAAAGTGCTGGGATTACAGGCTTGAGCCACCGCGCCCGGCAATATAATATTATTGTATGGTAACTATGATGTCTTTTTTTTTTTTTTGAGATGGGGTCTCACTCTGCCACGCAGGTTGGAGTGTAGCAGTGCAATTACAGCTCATTGCAACCTCTGTCTTCCAGGCTCAAGTATCCTCCCACCTCAGCCTCCTAAGAAGTGGGACCACAGGCATACACCGCCATATCCAGCTAATTTTTTGTATTTTTGGTAGAAATAGGGTTTCACCATGTTGCCCAGGTTGGTCTTGAACTCCTGAGCTCAAGTGATCTGCCGCCTCAGCCTCCCAAAGCGCTGGGATTACAGGCATGAGCCATGGTGCCTAGACTACAACATCTTTTAACTGCTCCAAGTATATTTGTGAAATAAGTATTTGTAAGTGCTAAAGGGAAGGAGGTAATGAGGAAAACAAGTCTTGTTTAATCTAGATGAAATTCTGTTATTGTTTTCATCAAATTTCAAATTAAATAATAAAATAAAGATTACTGGTTGGCCAGGCGTGGTGGCTCAAGCCTGTAATCCCACCACTTTGGGAGGCAAAGGCGGGCGGATCACCTGAGGTCAGGAGTTTGAGACCAGCCTGGCCAACATGGCGAAAACCTATCTCTACTAAAAATACAAAAATTAGCAAGGCGCGGTGGCGTGCATCTGTAATCCCAGCCACTCAGAAGGCTGAGGCAGAAGAATCGCTTGAACCCAGGAGCCAGAGGCTGCAGTGAGCTAGGATCGTGCCACTGCACTCCAGACTGGCTGAAAAGAGCAAGACTCCGTCTCAAAAAAAAAAAAAAAAAGATTACTGGCAAAACATATATTCATAAGAATTTAAGTTCAAATAAAGAAATTTTGGGTAAAAATTTCAGTTTTACCAACAGTGCCTAAAGCATCACCATTAAATTTATAATGGCAGAGCTTAAGAGTCTTCATTACTTGTTGAATGGTATACAATATGTCAACATCTGTTTCATTTAAAGACCTCACTCTCTTTAAGAGACAGGGTCTCATTCTGTTTTCCAGGCTGGAGTGCAGTGGCCTGATTACGGTTCACTGCAGCCTCAAACTCCTGGGCTCAGTGAGTCATCCTTCCACTTCAGCTTCCAACAACTGAGACTAAATGTATGAGTCACCTCACCAAGTCAATTTTTTTTTTTTTGAGACGGAGTCTTGCTTTGTCGCCCAGGCTGGAGTGCAGTGGCCAGATCTCAGCTCACTGCAAGCTCCGCCTCCCGGGTTTACGCCATTCTCCTGCCTCAGCCTCCCGAGTAGCTGGGACTACAGGCGCCCGCCACCTCGCCCGGCTAGTTTTTTGTATTTTTTGGTAGAGACGGGGTTTCACCGAGTTAGCTAGGATGGTCTCGATCTCCTGACCTCGTGATCCGCCCGTCTCGGCCTCCCAAAGTGCTGGGATTACAGGCTTGAGCCACCGCGCCCGGCTAATTTTTAAAATTTTTTTGTAGAGGCAAGATCTCACTACTGTCCAGTCTAGTCTCAAACTCCTGGCTTCAGGTGATCTTCCCTCGTTAGCCTGCCAAAGCACTAGGATTACAGGCATAAGCCACCACACCTGGTCTTAGACCTCTCTTTAAGAACCTATTTGAATGAGAATTAACCCTATATTTGGGAATTTGTCGTATTATTTGTTCTAAATTGCTTCAGCTGGACTTATTCAATTGCATAAGTTCAATTCCCTTATTGAATATTACTGGACTTTAGTTATTACACTATACAACTCCTGCTTCTTCCATCTTTATTATAGACCTTTACCTCATTCACCACTCTAAAAACAAGATAACACAACAGATTTAATCCTAAATGAACTATCAAAAACTTGTACCAAAATTTCTGTATGTTTACAAAGATATTACATGATCATTTATAATAATGATAAATTAAAAACAATCTAAGAATCTATAAACAGAAAAACAGTTAAGTAAATTATACACATACACTTTTTTTTTTAAGGTTTAAAGAAAATACAACAAAATGGTAAGAGAGGTTATCTCTGGGTAGTGATTATTTTCTTATGTGTAGTTTCTATGTCTTCCAAATTTCCTAATATAAATAATTGCTAAGTTTGATAAGCAAAAAATTGCATTTTTTGTAGATTCTTAGGTTGTTTTTAATTTTTAAAAAATTATGGAAAGCTTTTGTTGAAATAACCCTTTAAAAGGAGTGTAACTTAAGAATTATGTTGCAAACCCAAAATACTTACCTTTATATCAAAAGGTGATTTCTTCTTGATGTGGGGAGCCCAGTATTTACATGCTAACTGCAAAAGTAAATAGTATAAACAGTAAGTCACAAACTCATGCCATTGTAGAGCTGGAAGACAGATCATTTAGTGATAAGCTGTTTCTTAACAAGGCCCTACTGGGCACTGGGGGACAGAGTAAATCTGAAGGGACTATACAGGCATGCAGGCCAGCTGGCATCCTTGACCCCAAACCACTGAATGCCAGCAGTGCTTTGCACTACAACATGCCATTGTGATTTAAACAAACAAAAAAAATCCTCTCCAACCACCCCTAGGGAAACAATACAGCTCAGTTAATAACCACAGAGCCAAACATCTTCAGCCTACCAATAAGGAAACCCTGGTCTAGAAAAAATAAGTGACCTGCCCAAGATTACAGTTCGTTAATAGTTGAGCAAATATTACAAATGATATTCAAAATCTTCATGAATACTTTCTAAAATAATGAGCCTTTCACACCCATAACAAAATCTTAAAAAAAAAAATTGTAGTCTATCAGCTGGTTATTACAGAGAATATAAGAGTTGGCATATTAGCCGCGCGCAATGGCTCACGCCTGTAATCCCAACACTTTGGGAGGTTGAGGCAGGTGGATCACGAGGTCTGGAGTTCAAGACCAGCCTGTCCAACATAGTGAAACCCTGTCTCTACTAAAAATTCAAAAATTAGCTGGGCCTGGTGGCACACACCTGTAATCCCAGCTACTCAGGAGGCTGAGGCAGAAGAATCACTTGAAAGCAAGAGGTGGAGGTTGCAGTGAGCCAAGATTGCACCATTGCACTCCAGCCTGGGCAGGCGAGAGAGCGAGATTCTGTCTCAAAAAAAAAAAACTTAAATTTAAAAAAAAAAAAGAGTTGGCAGGCCGGGCGCAGTGGCTCAAGCCTGTAATCCCAGCACTTTGGGAAGCCGAGACGGGCGGATCACGAGGTCAGGAGATCGAGACCATCCTGGCTAACGCGGTGAAACCCCGTCTCTACTAAAAAATACAAAAAACTAGCCGGGCGAGGCGGCGGCACCTGTAGTCCCAGCTACTCAGGAGGCTGAGGCAGGAGAATGGCGTAAACCCGGGAGGCGGAGCTTGCAGTGAGCGGCAGAGAATGCGAAACCCGGGGGCGGAGCGCCAGGAAGAGCTGAGATCGTGCTACTGCACTCCAGCCTGGTGATAGAGCGAGACTCCGTCTCAAAAAAAAAAAAAAAAAAAAAAAAAAGAGTTGGCATATTTCAGCAGATTAGGCTTTACCTGTAAACCGTGAAATTTAAACAAATATATAACTCTCTCTACATATTTAAAGATACAGCACAGTCTTACTCATAGGGTTTTATTTTAAAACCCAATTATAATCTCTTTAAAAATAGAAAACTGGCAAGCACAAAGACTCAATATATTTATAAAAAGGTGACTGCAGTATCTGGCATATCAGAGGCACTCACAAAGTCTGATGGATAAATGGATGGACAAATGAAGCAAAATCTGAAATGTTACTTCTGTGAGGCTGTCCTCAACACTACCTGATGGCGACAATTGCTTTTTCATCTTCATTTTGTATGTAACTCTTTATAATCTTACCTTTCTACATTATAAATATTTGATTGCTTATCCAACTTTCCTTCTCACTTAATTGGAATACTTAAGAGATGGGACCTGTTTTCTTTGCTTTCATAGCTCAGCGATAAACTGCACAGACAACACACTTAAAGAGCCTCCCAAGCAGTTAGGACACTGGCCCTGAGGAATAGCCTCTAAAAATATTACAGTAACTTCCTACTTAAATGACACCTTCCGGCCAGGTGTGGTGGCTCACGCCTGTAATCTCAGCACTCTGGGAGGCCGAGGAGGGTGGATCACCTGAGGTCAGGAGTTCAAGACCAGCCTTGCCAATATGGTAAAACCCCCATCTCTACTAAAAATACAAAAATTAGCCGGGCGTAGTGGTTGTGTACCTATAATCTCAGCTACTCGGGAGGCTGAGGCAGGAGAACCGCTTGAACCTGGGAGGCGGAGATTGCAGTGAGCCAACACCAAGCCACTGCACTCCAGCCTGGGCAACAGAGCAAGACTCCATCTCAAAAATAAATAAATAACACCTTCCCAAATTACCAATCACTCTCCAACTCAATAGAAAATCTTCACCTCACCCCCAGTTATTCTGGGGAGGATCTTGGTTCATTGCAACCTCCGCCTTCCAGGTTCAAGCAATTCTCCAGCCTCAGTCTCCTGAGAAGCTGGGATTACAGGCATGCGTCACCACGCCTGGATAATTCTGTATTTTTAGCAGAGACAGGGTTTCTCCATGTTGGTCAGGCTGGTCTCAAACTCTGACCGCAGGTGATCCACCTGCCTCGGCCTCCCAAAGTGCTGGTATTACAGGCATGAGCCACCGTGCCCGGTTGAAGATTTTAAGGACAGTCAGCCTTAGTGTAGTTCCCTGTAGTCCCAGCTACAAGGGAGGCTGAGGTGGAAGGATCACTTGAGCCTGGGCAACATAGTGAGACCCTATCTTGAAAGAAGAAAAGGAAGGAAAGGAAGGGAGAGATTTTAAGAAGGCAAGTGATATGATGAGATCTGCATTTGTATAAAATCACTCGGAAAGCAACATGAAGAATGGGCTAGAGGAGAGCAAGAAGAAGAACAATATAACAGATAAGGATACCTTGGTCCAGGCAAAAAACAATGGCAACCAGGCTTAGGGTGACAGAGATGTAGAACACCAGATAGATTCCAAAGATACTCAGAATGTAGAAATGTAGGGATTAAGGGAGGATTCAAAATTTCTCCCTAGGCTTCTGCCCTGACAAATCTGTTGAGACAAGGAATAAAGAATAAAGAAGCAGGTGGGCATGATAACTTCTACACTGAACTACTTACACTCTTACGCAATTCGCAGATAAAGAGTAAGCATGAGGAATGATGCTGACAACCACAGGACTGTGTTTCCCTATCCAAAGCCAACTGTGGCTCACAATGCAAGATAGTAAACAGATTCTAAATGAACGCTCTCCAACTACAGAATCACTCTCTTCTTAAATGGGTCTATTTGGAGGTGTCTTGTCAGTTTCCCATAGCTGCTCAAGAACTCAGGACACTCTACGGACCAGGAAAAAGCCTACTCCTACTTGAAGAGGCAGTCCAGCATCACTGCTGCGAAGGCTGCTTGACAGTCTCAGATAGATTGGGGTGTTCCCTCCTCTCTGAATCAACTGCTCCTGAGACAAACTCCAATACAGCAAAACTCATAGAGTAGTTTTCTTTGTATGTGTGTTTGTGGGTTTTTTTGTTTGTTTGTTTGTTTGTTTTGAGACGGAGTCTCGCTCTGTCGCCCAGGCTGGAGTGCAGTGGCCGGATCTCAGCTCACTGCAAGCTCTGCCTTCCGGGTTCACGCCATTCTCCTGCCTCAGCCTCCCGAGTAGCTGGGACTACAGGCGCCGCCACCTCGCCCGGCTAAGTTTTTTGTATTTTTTAGTAGAAACGTGGTTTCACCGCGTTAGCCAGGATGGTCTCCATCTCCTGACCTCGTGATCCGCCCGTCTCGGCCTCCCAAAGTGCCGGGATTACAGGCTTGAGCCACCGCGCCCGGCCTATGTGTCTTTCTTAGGCCATGAACCCCTCAGGCCAGGGCAACCCATCCACCACGGTATGCCCAGCACCTAGCGTAGCTGCCGGCACGGAGCTGATACTCAGCAAGAAAGACTTGTGTGAATGAAATAACAAACGAATGCCTCCTCCGTGCTCCTAGTCCTGGAAAAAAAAAAAAACACCCACCACCAGGCCTCGGGGCCACGACGTCCTTACCCACTTACACATACACCAGACTCGCCCGAGCTCACCTGGGTCACGAACTCCGCGTTAATCTGGGACACCGTAGGGGCCACGATCTTCTTGGGCTGTGCAGGGGCTGCCATGGCAGCACTCTCCCCTCCACTCCGGTGGAAACGAAAGGACCGCCCTGGGCAGCGGCAAGCCTGGTCCACTTCCCCTAAGTTACGGCCGGGGCGCTTAACTCCGCGCTGAACAAACGTTGCGCGCCGGATATCCTCAGGCTTCAGAGTCCCATAGGGAACCCGTACTACAGCCCAAGCGTTCCCCGGGAAGCGGAATGGCGTGTAGCCGGAAGTTCATGCAGGCGTTGGGGCTGAGCTAGCGAGCCAAAAGCTTTGACCTCCTCTGTACGCGCCCTCTAGCGGGCGGCAGAGAGAAGACACCCCGCTGGCGGGATTAGGAGGGCAAGGCAGGGACCCGGTGGATGGTGTTGGATGGGGTTTCTCGTGGTTAGTGAGGAGTGGCGTGTGCGGTGAATGAGAATTTAGTTTTTTTTTCAACCGCGAAGAAAAAACAAAACAAAACAAACAAACAAACAAAAACAGCCTGGGAATATGGGCTGGTTTTTAACTGCCCTTAACAGTGTTGTAGTTTAGTTTTGTTTTTCTTGAGACGGCGTTTCGCTCTTGTTGCCCGGGCTGGAGTGCAGTGGCGCAATCTCGGCTCACCGCAATCTCCGCCTCCTGGGTTCAAGCGATCCTCCTGCCTCAGCCTCCCGAGTTGCTGGGATTACAGGGATTACAGGCATGCGCCACCACACCCGGCTAATTTTTGTATTTTTAGTAGAGACGGGGTTTCACCATGTTGGTCAGTCTGGTCTCGAACTCCCCGACCTCAGGTGATCCACCTGCCTCGGCCTCCCAAAGTGCTGGGATTACAGGCATGAACCACTGGGGGCTGCCAGCCCCTAATTTTAGTCATTTTAATAGGTGTGTGATATATAAAATCATTGTGACTTTCATTTGCATTTCCCTAATGACTAATTGAGCATCTCTTCATGTGCTTATTTGCTATTCATATATCTTCTTTGGAGAAGCCTCTATTCATATTTTTTGCCCTTTTTTAAATTGAATAACTTGGTTTCTTATTACTGAGTTTGAATGCACACCCCTACCATTCCCAAATCCATACATAAATTAAACATGTGTCTCTAGTTAAACTCTCCCTGGATGAACACATGCAAGAAACTGATAACACTATTGTTTCCAAGAAGGAGGAACTGGGGGGAGGGGACAACAGGAAGGAGAGAAAAGTTATTTTATATTTTATACCCTTTTGTAACGTTAGAATTTTGTAATATATATGACATGTTCAAAAATAAACAGTGTAGGCCGGGTGCAGTGGCTCACGCCTGTAATCCCAGCACTTTGGGAGGCCGAGACTGGCGGATCAGAAGGTCAGGAGATTGAGACCATCCTGGCTAACACAGTGAAACCCTGTCTCTACTAAAAATACAAAAAATTAGCTAGGCATGGTGGCACGTGCCTGTAGTCCCATCTGCTCCGGAGTCTGAGGCAGGAGAATCAGTTGAACTGGGGAGGCGGAGGTTGCGGTGAGCCGAGATCCGGCCACTGCACTCCAGCCTGGGCAACAGAGCAAGACTCTGTCTCAAAAAATAAAAAATAAAAATAAAAACCGTAAAAAAATAAACAGCGTGGGCCACGTGCAGTGGCTCATGCCTGTAATCCCAGCATTTTGGGAGGCTGAGGTAGGTGGATCATCTGAGGTCAGGAGTTCGAGACCAGCCTGGCCAACATGGTGAAACTCCATCTCTACTAAAAATACAAAAACTTGCTGGGCATGGTGGTGTACACCTGTAATCCCAGCTACTCAGGAGGCTGAGGCAGGGCATCACTTGAACCCAGAAGGCAGAGGTTGCAGTGAGCAGTGATTTCGCCGTTGCACTCCAGCCTGGGCAACAAGAGTGAAACTCCATCTCAAAACAACAACAACAAAAAATAATAAAAACAAAAATAAGACAGTGTGAAAGTAAAAGCAAAGGCCTGTAGGAGTGGAGATTAAATATGAAGTCCTTTTTACCCCTATATGTTATTGTGTAAAGTTTGTTTAGAGTGCTAGTGATTAAAATTTGCATAATCACAATTTTAAATGTAACAGAGTTTGAATGTATAATATCTATTGACATTTTATTTATAAACACAGTGTCTATAAAACAGGAAAAATAAGATTCTGATAGCTTTTATGATGAATCTTGACATGTAACATTTTGACCAGCAAAAACCACCGGGACTGTATTTCTATACTATGCTGTAGTTACAGCACAGATAAAGCCACAGAAACAGGTCATGCAGAGCTGTCAGAAGTCAGCAATAAGGCTTGACGTGTTGAAAGCCTTGAAACCTAGGGAGAGGAAGCTCTCTTCCACAATAACCATTGTGGAAGACAATGGGAAACCACTGATTGTAAATCTGTTTTTGGAAGATGACTTCTGAGTGGTATGTCAAATGGGTTGGTGCAGGTACTGTGGGGATGGGAATATCAGCTAGGAGACTACTGCAAATCTAAAGCTAAAATAAAAAGGACTAAATGTGGGTTCTGACAGTCAAAATGAAAAGGAAGGAATAAATACAGAAGACACTGGAAAGACAGAAAAAAAGACATTATCTTTAGTAGTTGAAAGAATAATGGAACCATAAAGCACAATAGAGAAGACAGAGGGTAGAGTAGGTTTTAAAAGGAAAAATTATTCCTTTATATAGAGAGACAGTCTGAGGTAGCAGGGAGACAGGTGAAAATAAAGTTTATTTTCCAATTTATATGTTTATTAAATTCATAATGTATCTCATGATTTTATGGCCAAGAAAATATTAGGGGCCGGGTGTGGTGGCTCACACCTGTAAACCCAGCAGATGGCGCACCTGAGGTCAGAAGTTCAAGACCAGCCTGGCCAACGTGGTGAAACCCTGTCTCTACTAAAAATACAAAAATTAGCTGGGCGTGGTGGCGCACACCTGTAATCCCAGCTACTCGGGAGGCCGAGGCACGAGAATTGCTTGAACCTGGGAGACAGAGATTGCAGTGAGCCAATATCGCACCACTGCCCCCTAGACTGGGTGACACAGCGAGACTTAATCTCCAAAAAAAAAAAATTAAACCAATAAGCTACAGATTACATGTAGCTTTCTACTGATCTAACACATAAATGGTTCTAATTTATAATACCTAACAGATTTATGACAAAATGTAGTATCATAATACCTCCCCTCCCCCTTGCTGTCATCTCTATCTATTTTTCTTACCAACTTAGCTAAGTTTCTGACTGATGGTTTTGGACATTCTAAAATTATGTATATTTTATGGTTTTCTCTTTACAACCTTTCTACAATGTGTTTTATAGACAGAAAGCAAAGGAACCAGGGAGTCTACAAAGAAGGGTTTCAAATGACAAGACTGTCACTAGTGTCAAATGCTTCAAAGAAATCTGAAAGAACAGGAATTTCAAAAAGACCATGAGCTTGGCAATTAGGAGACCATTGGTGACCATTATTAATTGGGATATGTTGTAAGAAAATCTACTTCTAAATTGGCTTAACAATAAGTAAAATCTATAGGGGTAATAAAATCTATAGGGGTGAGATAAGTTAGGCTTCAGGCAGTTGAATCAGGTTTCCAGCTCCAGATTCTTTTCTTTGTCCCCCTACCCCATTCCCTCTGTGTTTTGACTTCATCACCAGATGAGTGTCCCTCATGGTACCAAAATGGAGGGAACTTCTTCTGTACACCCACTAGTCCTTCCTGAATCACTAAAGTAAGTACATGGTTTTGCTCTGATAGAATTAACTTAGGTCAGTGCTCATCCCCAAGGCAATTACTCTGGCTTAGACCTGGGTTACCTATTTCTGAACAGTCATCATGGCAAGGGAGATGTGAGTATTCTGACAGCCTTAGACTGATCACGACCCATGGCTGAGCTGCAACTAGGTCGGTCTAACCCTGACTACTTGGCTGATATGCAGTGAAGGGAGAAGGAGATGTGGTTACAACCAACAATGACCACTACAATAGCCACTGAGAGAGCAACTCCCAAAGGATGGTGAAGAAAACATGTATTCAATAATAAAGGGCTAAGAAGTTAGTGAGTGAAAAGGCCATGAAGGAAGTAGACGGAAGATAAATTTGCAATAGTTCTCACCATAAAAGAAAAAAAGTTAATTGTGACAGTATCTAGAATAATAAAACTGAAGTTGTTTGTCCCCACAAACACACCTTTTTAAGCTAGGTGCAGGGAACAACACAGATTGCTTAACCATTCATTTCTCTTTCTAAACACAACTTCAAATTTGACCAGTATCCATATCACTCCCTGGAAACCATGTGCTTAAAAGAAAGGTGAATTCCAGCCCCAGTTCCAGGTTATCCTTGTCAGTGATTGGTTCAGAAATGTGGGCCGGGCATGGTGGCTCACACCTGTAATCCCAGCACTTTAGAAGGTTGAGGCTGGTGGATCACTTGAGGTCAGGAGTTTGAGACCAGCTTGGCCAACATGATGAAACCCCATCTCTACTAAAAATACAAAAATTAGCTGGGTGTGCTGGCACGCAACTGTAATCCCAGCTACTCAGGGAGGCTGAGGCAGGAGAACAGCTTGAACCTGGGAGGCAGAGGTTGCAGTGAGCAGAGATCGCACCACTGCACTCCAGCCTGCAAAATAAAGTGAGATTCCATCTCAAAAACAAAAAACAAAACAACAAACAAACAAAACTGTGTTTTGTGAAGCAATTCTGGCAGATGAGAGAGGAAAGTTTTGCTGTAGGCTTTTGGGAAAGTTGTCCCTTGGTCTTGTGAGAGTTTCTAGCTCTCTCACTCACTATCTGCCATGCCCTACCCCTTGTGAAAGGAGCTTGAGGTATTGATTACAAAGCATCCTAAAACCACAGGAAAATAGCCATGCCATTGTGAAAGGCAGAGCAGACAGAAGGAAGCACAATCAATTCAACAATGTGATTCAACAACTCTTAAGCTTATTTATTCACTAGACTTTCAAGTCATGTAAGCCAATTAAGATCCTTATTGCTAAGCAGTTTGAGTCAGGTATTCTGTCACTTGCAGCCAAAAGCACCATTACTGAATAGGGAACCCATGAAATTGTTTTCAGACAGAGGGGAAATAACAATTGGAGACAGAAAAACTAGATACCAGAAAAAGGAACTATTAAGTTCCCGGAAGTGGGCAAGAAAAAAATCTAGCTTCAGAAAGGTGAAGGAACATTATTAATAGAGACAGACGACGAAAAACAGAGGATAAAGTTTTGAGTGAAGACAAGTTTAGAGACGGCATGTTGGACAGGCTTTGACCACAACACAGTAGAAGGCAAACTCATCCTCTGGAAGGATCTAAGTGAAATTGTGGATTTAAGGAAAACATAAAACGTTGGTAATAATTGCTCCATTCATTAATTTCTTCCTTCGTACATTCAACATATATTTGAGAACCTAATGTTTGCGACAGTATTAAGCCTTCTCCATAAGTGATATAGACTCATTCTGTTGCTTTCCATAAGCATGTACTTCAAGTAGATCTGAGTATAGTCTCACAACAGCTAACCTTAGTCACTAAATGCAAATTTCGGGGTCCTAAAAGACCTGAATCAGGAACTCTGAGGATGCAGCCCAGCAATCTATGCTTTTAACAACCCCAATTCACACTAAAGTTTGAAAACCACTAGTTTCTAGTGGAAGATCAACAGAGTTATAAACAAAAATTAAGGGGGAATACAAGGGATGGAGAACTTGGGTAAATCAGAGAGGCTCCCGGAGGTAGTATTTAAGCTCAAACTTCAAAGAACAAATAGATTGCCAATTTAGATGCAAAATATTACATGTTCTATATTTCATGTAATACCATTATACTACTTTTCAGTTACATTTCCTTTTTTCTCTTACTGCTAATAGAATTCCCTTAATAGAATTAGCCCTTAAATTTTAAGCCCTTCTAACTGGCAATAAGGAGAAATCTGAACAAGCTAGGGATTAAATGTTCCCTCCTTGTAGCTCCAAAAAAGCAGACACCATTCTGCATCATAAAACAGTACTTGGCAAATGTTATTTCTAACAAAGATTCTTGTAAAAGATTTCAAAGACTGTTGCTGCATCCTAAAAATATAATTCTAATTGGTTGTCTTATATAACATTTACATTGAAATCTGTGTTCTCTGCAAGTCAGTTTTAAGCACTTTTGTTTTCCCCCATAATCATGAAAAAAAGGAAAAGGAATGAAACTTGACTCAGCTAAATTTCTTCTTTGAACAGATTGTGAGTCTGTTTCTAATTTAAGTTGACATAAGACAGACACGATGGAAAGCAAAAAGAATAACAGTACTAGTATGTATTGGAGAAACTAATTCTATATATATGTTTTTTTGTTTGTTGCTTTTTTTTTTTTTTTTTTTTTTTTGAAGAGATGATCTTGCTCTGTCACCCAGGTTTGGAAGGCTGGAGTGCAGGGACATGATGATAGCTCACTTTAAATAACTTCCAATTCTTGGGCTCAAGCAATCCTCCCGCCTCTGTGTCCTGAGGGCAGCTGAGACCACAGCTGTGTGCCACCACCTCACCTGGCTTTAAAAACATTTTTTTTGAGAGACAGGAGTCTTGCTTTGTTGACTATCTCAAACTCCTGGCTTCAAGCAATCCTCCCACCTCGGCCTCCCAAAGTGCCGTGATTACAGGCTTGAGCCACTGTGCCCAGCCCCTGATTCTGTATTTCCTTAGTACAAATCTGAAGAGAAAGGCCAAAAAGGAGGATAAACAGATAAACAGGTAGATCGTACAACATATAATGGAGTTAACATATTCTTTTGCAGGTGATAGGGAGCTGTCAAAGGGATTTTTTTTTCCACAGAAGGGAACGGCATGGAAATGTAACGTGAACAAGAGGGTAAATGATTAAATATCCATGCAAATCTGGTGTAGAAAGTAGATTGGAGTGGACCCACAAAAGTATCTGACAATCAATCAGTACCTTGGCTCCAATATTATGTAATTCCCCCCCCCCCCCCCGAAAAAAAAACCAAAACCACCAAACTGTGTAACTTGAAACTTTATTTTTAAAGTATTCTGAAAATTTTTCAAGAATTTTAACCACCACCTACTTCCCTTAAACACACACATTTTTATCTTATAATTATAACCCCTACTGCAGTACAAAACAAGAAACAATAATTCTACTAAGTTAGCCAGCCAATCAAACTACTTCAGTAAATAATCATACTACAGCCTGGAATCACTCAAACAAAAAATTCTTCTAGTTCTCTTTAAAGATATTTATCGTTTATTTTTTCATGAAACCAAAGTAATTGATTCAACAATACTAACAGTTCTAGCATGCAACAAACCATCTACTATCTAATGTTTAATCTTAACATGTATATTTTCATTCCTATAGTTTCCATAAGAAGCTTGCAATGATCATAAAGGTAAATAAGTACAGTTGTCCCTTGGTATCCACGGGGTATTGGTTCCCGGACCGCCCCCTCAACCCATAGATACCAAAAATCCAAGTATACTCAAGTCCCTTACATAAAATGACATATTTGTATATAACCAACGCACATCCTCCTGTATACTTTATCTCTAGACTAATACCTAATGCAGTGTAAATGCTATTTAAATAACTGTTATACTGTATTTTTATTTGTGTTATTTTTATATTTTTTCTAATATTTTTGATCTGCAATTGGTTTAATCCACAGATGCAGAGTACATGGATACAGAGGGCCAGCTGTGTTTTGTTACAGGTACTTCAAATAGCACTACAGTACATCTTTGACAAAATTTTTACAATATTCCAACTTTCAATATGAAACAGCTTAAAAAGGCATGGGTCAAAAATAAAGTATAGTAGTATCACTTACGCAAATAAAGTCTCATAATCATACAAGCACAACACTGTTAGGACTCTCCCTGTTTAGGTTGGGAAAAACATTATATAAAACATTTCCTTCAAATAAAATTACATAAATTGCTTACAAAAATGCCAAAATCAATAATTTCAAACATATTAAGGAGAAAACCTTGAACATTATTGGAAAATATAAACTAGCTATTCCTTGCTTTTGCGTAACAGATGAGTTCTTGTAAAGTTTTGTGTAAAGCAAATTCTGTAAACCATTATCTTGCTTGCACTGGAGGAACATATCTCAAGGAAACCTAAGAGAAAGTGTTCTTTAAAGCATGTGATTCTCCTCTGTTTTTTCTGGATGTCTGTATCTACATAATAAACAGGCACACTTCTACATCATTGGGCATTTTACTCAGACTGTCATGTTTCATCTCTGTAAATTAAACCAAAGTTACTTAAAAATTACCTGTGGTAAAAGAAGCAGGCAGATCACCCCCACCTATTATCCCTCCCGCCTCCCCCTGTCAAAAGAAAGTTCTCAGATTATGATGCAAAATTTACAATTGCTCATTTATCCACATTCTCAATAGAGGATTTTCCACTATATTTAAGTATGGTAGGATAATTACCCACCTGTTCCTTTTTTCAGCTTAGAAACATAACGGTTCATTCCTTTTATTGCTAGAGAATGTCATTCCTGAAGATTTTATAAACAAAGGCAAATGTGAAGGACAATCTGTCATTATGAAATAAGTCCTTTGTACTAAAGAATATTTCCCAAATCATAACAGTTCTATTTGGAATGATACCCACAACTCTACAAGCATCTTATCCCTCTACAGGAATGACCACCTTACTAATTAAAATAAAAATTTAACAAGGATCAAAATAAAATTCTTTAGCAATAGACTCTTGCAAAAATAAAAACTAAAACTAGACCTAGTCATTGCCATTTGATCAAACTTATAACAGGCTTAAATAATAGAACCACTCCATTAAAGAGGCATAAAAAGAAAAGTCTACTAAAATAAATGTAAAAGTCTTATGGAGATGAAGATCTCTAGAATAGTCTTAAGTCTATGACTACTGCTATCATTAATGAGCAAATAAATGATTTGAAATTATTCCTCTGAAAAGATAAAACTCATACGTATTATGAAAAAGACTATGGCACTTAGAAAATATTCCTGGTAAGTAAACATGGTAAATGTATATAGATGCATTCTAGCCTCTTGCCTACTTTTAAATTATTTTGAGAAAGATGGCACTAGCTGGGAGGAAAAAAAAAAAGTCCTTATGACCTGAAGGTGAAATTACCACATAGTCCTAAAAATAGCTTTGAAAAGACCAATGAAAATAATACTATAATTTTTTCATCCATTTTCACCTTTAGTGCCTCTGTAATTTTTTAAATTTACCAAAAAAAAAAAAAAAAAAAATTCCAACGCAATTTGAGCCACAAGTGGACAAAATTATGCTTTCATATGAAATGTAAAACAAATCAAATATAACAGGGCTATGTGCTGCAGCTAAAAGCCAAGTTTTGCCTCTCAGTGAGATGGCATGTCTTAAGGAATAATTCCTTTAAAAAATGAATGAGGCTACATTATTTGTACAGCATCATGGATTTATATTTTTCAATACAGCCAAAGCCTATGTTTACAATATTAAAATGACTACTTTATAGCATCAAATCATGTTCTTGCCTCTAAAAATTAATTTGGCTGTTTCTAAAACATTGTATTAATTTTCTACGTATTTTACCCCCTTACTATGCAAGACAAGCAAATGCCTTGAAACCATTCAGTTTAATGCAGGCCTTTCAATAAAAATGCATTTTAAATAATACAGGCTTTAAAAATAAGATCACCAGAGACCACAATTGTTAGTGGTTGCAACAGTTTACATAACCGAATCTAAGGCAACCACTTTCCCTTGCGGTCGTTCTTTAAAGTGAGTAAGTTGATGTCTCTTCCAGTGAGGAGCCTGTCTGAATGTTTTGCCACAAACTGAGCATTCAAATGGTTTCTGCCCTGCATGAATCAGGTAGTGTCTTTCCAGTTTAGATGGAGACCGGAAACTTTTAGCACAAACACTGCATCGGTACAGGAAGACATCATTTTTCTCCTGATTCTCTGAATAACTGCTAAAAGGATTGCTTCGCTCTGATTCTAAAAGTACATTAGGAAGACAGGCTTGCCCGGTGCTACCAGGAATAAAATCCTGTGACTCTGCCTTAACTCCTGACATTTGACCTGACTCTGAGACCTCATATTTTTGAACACCAGGAGCCTGACATTGTTGGGAAGCATTATAGTTAACATTATTACCTGGATTCGAAAGATTGTTGAAGTTTCCAAAATCTACTTGGCAAAGGGATGCGTAAGGACTCTTTTCATTATGAGTCTGTTCATGTCTTTTTAAGTGAGCCGACTGTCTAAAAGATTTCCCACAAATATTACAGCCAAAGGGCCTCTGTCCAGTATGAATTAAATAGTGTCTTTTTAGTTTGGATATAGAAGGAAATACCTTCTCACATTTGTCACAAGGACATATCTTATGTCTAGTACGTATGTTCTCCCTTGGAACTGAAAAACCACACTGAAGTACCTCACAGTTATTAAAGAATTCCTCACCTGATGAACCACAGATTGACAAGTCTTTCTTGTTCACTGAATTATCAATGCTTAATATGTTTTCTAAATTTTTTCCCATACTTTGCCAAGAAAACGGCAAAGTCAATGTTTTCTTCTTTCTATTGCCAATTGTTTTATATGTTCCATGTTTGCCAAGAGAACCCACAAATGTTCTCTGGGTTTGTTCAGAGCTCTGCTCGCCAGAAATAAGATCACAATTTCTCAAGAAACTCTTTTTAAATACTTTTTTCTCAGATTGAAAGTTAACTAATTTTTTACTCCTAGCACGTTTAAGCTTGGCCAAGATTTTTTTAACAATGGTTTTATAGTTGTAGCTTCTTTTGAACCTGCTTGGAATTTTGCCACCTCTAGCAGGAAAACAGCTGTGTTCATTGAGAATCTGCTCTGATTCAAAACACTTTTCACACTTTGGACATTGAAAAGGGACAATATAAATTGAGTGGACATCAAGTGGATTATTCTCCTCAGATTCACCAATCTCACCATTTTCAAAACCACCCTGATTTGCATTTAACTTATTAGGCAGGGGGCGAGATTCTGTACGCCTCTTCTTTAAGAAAAGAGCCCGAAAAACCTTATTCCTAGTATGGATTTGTTTATGCTTCAGAAGTTTGCTTTGAATCTTAAATCCTTTTTGACAAAAACAACATTGAAAAGGTCTTTCTTCTGAATGTGTAAGTTGGTGGATTTTTAAGTGAGTTGACTGTCGAAAAGATTTAGTGCATAAGACACATTTAAAAGGCCTCTGACCAGTATGAATAAGTACATGCCTATCAAGTTTTGACTGTGATGGAAACATCTTGCCACAGATTGTACATGCATGAATATTCTTTCTTCTTTTCATGCTATACATGGGATCGGACTTAGAGCACGGGTGTAAGGCCCATCTTTCCTCTGTGGTAAAAGTATTATACACTCCATACATTGACTTTTCTTGCTTGGCCTCCAACAATCTTCTGACCTGTTTAACATTATTCTGATAGGTTTCATTGTGAAGTTGTTGGTGCTTCACAAATGTCTTCAGATTTTTAAAGTGGCGCTGACAAATACTACATTTAAAAGGCAGACTATGAGTTAGTTGATGCCTCTCCAGATGAACTAGTTGTCTAAAGGTTTTATGACACACATCACATTCAAATGGCTTTTGACCAGTATGAATGAGATAGTGCCTAGCTAATTTTGATGGTGTTTCAAAGTGCTTAAAGCAAATATTGCAAACATATGGCCTGTTTCTAGGTAGTTTGTTGGCTACCACACACTGTTTAATCTTTAGCATTTTTAAATTGTTTTCAGCCATCATATTCTTCAGTGATATACTCTGATGAGCTCCATAGTGTTCTTAAATTCCACAGATGTCTAAAAATTAAAGAAAAAAATGTATTAATTTTAAAATTATTTATCCATATGAAAAGTAACTTAAGTTGTTCTTTGGCTGAAGATATTAAAGGCAAAGGAGAATCTGGACTTAGTGTTTACAAGTTAATAATCATTTTAAATAATACTTTAAAATAATAAAACTAATTTTACACATACACAGATATGAGTCTTTAAAAGAAATATCTAAAAATCAATACAATTTTAAGCTATTTTTCTAATTGAGATGCTACATTAAATGGGGACTAGGGTGAATTTATTAACATTAAATAGATATTTTAATTCCAATTTTCCTATTTCATTATTTGGTAGATTTGCCAGTATTTAGTTGCTATCATTTTAAAAAATGGGCTAGAAAGGTAACAAATTAAAACATAATACTAAAAATAAGAACTTGCATTCAATTATAGTACATTGTAAATATGCTCTTAGAACAGAACATTTGACTTATCATAGTTGGATTTCTTAGCCACAGATTTAACATGACTTATTCTCAATTACTTCTTTAGACCAACAAGGACAGTGTGGACTAGGAGTAAATTCACAGAAGACCTGGGTTCTAGTCCTGGATTTGCCACTATATGATCTTGGTGGTAGGAAGAAGGAAATACAGAGTTCTCATCTGTAAAATGGGGAAAAGGTCTCCTGGACTGTCTACCACCACAAGCTGTTGTCAAAAATCAATGGAGATAATGCATATGAATGTGCTAAAAAACTGTGAAGCAATACATAAATCTAAGGAACTATTTAGCTCAACGCTAATCAAATTTTAAAATGTGATCCTTATCTTCTTAGTAATATTTTAAAGAGTTTCTCACTAAGAGATAAACCCACTGACTAAATTTACAGATTTTAAAAATTTCTCACCTGGCACAGTGGCTCACGCCTGTAATCCTGCACTTTGGGAGGCTGAGGCTGGTGGATCACCTGAGGTCAGGAATTTGAGACCAGCCTGGCCAACATGGTGAAACCCCATCTCTAGTAATAAAACAAAAATTAGCCGGGTGTGGTAGTGCACACCTGTAATCCCAGCAACTCGGGAGGCTGAGGCAGGAGAATCGCTTGAACCCAGGAGGCGGAGGTTACAGTGAGCCGAGATCGTGCCATTGCAATCCAGCCTGGGTGAGAATCCATCTCAAAGAAAAAAAAAAATTCTCCTTTTCACTTTGTTGTGAAATTCCCAAAAGACAAGCATAGAGATAACAAGATCAACAAATTGGTTACTTATATAGCTATCTATGACTAAGTAATTGAAAGTTGAGTGTGCTTTACCCATCAGGCAATATAGTAAAAGGGTCATTTTGGTCTTAAGCGTTAATATAAAGATTTTAAAAATTGGCCCAGTGCAGTGGCTCACAACTGTAATACTAGCACTTCGGGAGGCCAAGGCAGGGAGATCACATGAGGTCAGGAGTTTACGACCAGCCTAAACAACGTGGTGAAACCCTGTCTCGACTAAAAATACAAAAATTAGCCAGGCGTCGTAGTACACATCTGTAACTCCAGCTACTTGGGAGGCTGTAGCACAACAATCGCTTGAACCGGGGAGGCAGAGGTTGCAGTGAGCCAAGATTGCACCACTGCACTCCAGCTTGGGCAACAGCGTGAGACTCTGTCTCAAAAAAAAAAAAAAGAAAAAAAAATTTAGCAAGCACTTTCAAAACTATCTTATGCACTGTCCTCTATCAGAGAAGCTAATTTTCTTCTCGTTATTACTCTACTATGGCATTGCCCTTAAATAAAGGAATCAGAGATTAAAAAAAAAAAAAAAAGTAAAAAGCTGTGCTAGCACTTTCAATATAATGTATCTTCTGGATCAGAGAGTTCTAAGTCTGGAGTTCTTTTGTAAGCTGATCTGGCAAACATCCAACAAGTATGGTGCTACTATCTTCTCCTAGAAGATACCTTCAATCCCAAATCACAAACATACCCACTGTGGTTCTTTAGCAATATGAATCAGAAACAGGAAAAAAAAAAAAAAAATTACTGAACAAATATCTTTAATACAGTGTTTTTCAAACTGCAGGATATTACTCATTAATGGATTGTGAATTCAACTTAGCAGATCATGATCAGCACTTTGTTATTTAAAATAAGAGCGGAGGCTCATGCCTGTAATCCCAGCACTTTGGGAGGCTGAGGCGGGGGATCACCTGAGATCAGGAGTTCGAAGCCAGCCTGGCCAACGTGGTGAAACCCTGTCTCTAATAAAAATACAAAAATTAGCCGAGTGTGGTGGTACATGCCGGTAATCCCAGCTACTTGGGAGGCTGAGTCAGAAGAATTGCTTGAACCCAGGAGACGGAGGTTGCAGTGAGTCGCCAAGATCGTACCACTGCACTCCATCCTGGGCGACAGAGTGGGACTCCATCTCAAAAAAAATTTTTAAATCAATAAATACAAATAGGGGATAAATAAAAGTGGAAAGTATCAGACTGCATACTATATAGCAAGGATAAATATTGTTTCGTGAAACTTCTGTAGGAAGAAGTAAAAAAGTTTATGAAAGCTGTTCTTAACATGCCTCTTCATACTAAGACAGAGGAACCTACAACAAATCAACTACTTTATTCAAAGTGGCCAAGTAATCTATTAAGGTGAGAAAGATAGGGGCCCATAGGATGAGACAAGATTACTAAAGAAAGCAAGGTCTGGTTTTCTTCACTTAACCCTATTATTCCAAAATATTTATCTTAAATAAAAATCATCTAATTACAAGCCAAATGGAAAATGCCACACAAATCCACGCAAAATAAAATAATCTGACTGTAAGCCAGTATAGTAGCAAAATATACCATATAACCCAGATATCAATGTTAACCAACAATCAACTGTTGGTGCTATGAACATGCATTTTCAGTAGCTTGAATTAGAGAAATTACAGGTGAACAAGCTCCAAAATCTCTAAACATGCCGATACAGAGCAACAGTCATGATAATTAAAATTAAGTCATGAATCCAGTGAACTGCAAAGAACTTGGCAGCAATTAGGTGCCAAGGTAGTCAATCAGGACAATGAGCCAAACCAAAAGTAATCAAGCCTTTATTCACTTACTGTGACAGTGCAAGCAAGTGGTAAAAGGAGGCACTGGCTCCCCAGTGGTCCATTAAATACAAGGACACTGGGTGAGGGTCAGTTGATGCAGCGCATATGAGGTAATCCTCTCACTGAAGAGGAGCTCCTAACAAAAATCTCCTGCCTCTTATGGAACGTTAGAATAGGAAACGGGTGGAAGGTCTAAGAGTGAAAGAAGCTGGGTCAAAAACGGAGAAAAGTGTCTTAGCCATGGTCCTTCCTAGGAGGGCCACCAAATGGAGGTACCCAGGCCAGGAAAGAAGTTACGGGATTTGCATATCTAGCAGGAGGGGCAGGGCGAGTCCTTGACTGCAACCCCCTCCAGAAAGCTGCAATGCACTGGCCCATATCGGGCCTGGTGTGGGAGGGCAGCTTGGCCCTTGAGGCCAGTCAGGCAAAGCCTGGTAATTGTCCAATGTCAGGACTGAATGATCACACAGAGGATTTTGGTCTGGAGCCAGATTCAATTCCTTTTGTATGTTTCTTCTTTTCTTTAATAAATGCTTTCGTGGAACACGCCTAAAAGAAAAAAAAAATCACACACCACAACCACCTCTGATTAAAACAGGGATTGGCTACCTACAGCTCCTGTACCAAAAAGGATCATCCATTGTTAGCAGTAAGATTGGATAACTGTTGTCACTTGCCTCCCACCACGTGGAAAAGCACTTACTGGGAGCCCTAGATTGTTAGAACCATTAGTGGCAAGTGGTGATCGTATCTCCTATTTATGAGAGTCAGGTTAGGGATCCTCACCTCACGCACTCAGGGAGCTCCAAATCCCATTTCAACCGATTTGTTGTTGTTGTTGGTAACATAAAAATAAAAAAGGCTGTAATTTTGCTTATGTTAAACTGAAATTAAAGAATAATAGATCTGCTCAGCGGTTCAATTCAGAACTTATCCTGACAAGAACAAGATATTCTACGTGAAGACTGTAAAAACTGTAAAAACTGACCTCAGTAATATCCAATGCTGCCTCAAGGCTGAAAGCCTGTTGATTTTCTTGTCTTGACTAGTACCATTAAAACGATGTGAGGATTTCACGAAAGTAAGCGAACAAGAAATGAAAGACCTAAGAGAAACACACACAACTTTCAGTGGGGGAATAATCTCCGGCGGCTGCTTCTGCCCCACTCGCCCCGGGCCCATTCTCTTGGCCTTGAACCCTCACCTCTCCCTCCCAGTGGACTACACCGGACAAAGGACACTGACACACACATCCCTCGTTCTTATAAGGGCCCACAACCAATAATAAGCACTTAATGGTCGAGTCGAGTCCAGAAACCACAAAATCCCACGCCAGGAAAGGAAGGGTAAGGGTAAAAACGGGTTTGGCTGCAGCCAGGATGAAAACGCCACATGTGATACAACCCACAGCAAAAAGAAAAAAAAAATTCCTCTGCGCCTTCCTCTCAGATTTCTCCTCCGCGTGAGACGCACTCAATAGGTGGGGAAGTGAGAAAGCAAAAGGAGCTCAGCAACTGAGGTTGTGGAGCCCCCGTTCTGGGTCCCCAGGCACCTTGGCGGAATTGAGGCAGGTCCGACCCTCCCTGGGGGTCGCTCCACTTCTCAGTCGGGTTTCTGAAGTCCTCCCCAGGCATCTGGAGCTGGCGAGGGCCCGGGAGGCACGCACCTCAGGCCCAGGTGCCGCGAAGGCAGCGCGCGCACGTCCGCAGGGCCGGCGCGGCAACGGGCTGAGCGCGCAGGCGCGGCGCTCCGGCGCGCCCAGGGACAAGGTTCGGCTGGAAACAAACTCCCCCAAATTTCAGGGCCTTTGTCGCCTCCGCGCGGCCCGCCGGTCCCGAGGGGACTGGGACTCCAGAGACGCACCCCCAACCCCACCGCCATTCACCCTGTCATTGCGGGGGAGAGAACAGAAGAATAAAGACGGGTACATTTTCCATCTCACCTCTAAACCTCGGTTAGGAAAACGCTGTAGCCCGGACTAGTGGGCTCAAGGGCCGACTGGAAAAGGGCGAGTCAGCGTTCAGAGCCGAGTCGGGGCAGCCCTCTGTAACGCAGCGGCCGGGGATAAGAAGACGACAATGTATTAGGGGCCCTCTGGGCTAGGACTGTCCTCAGCACTTTGTACATTGCCAAAGTAAATATAACGTAGAGGTCAAGCGCAGGCGCTTTGTGGGCAGACGTGACTGAGCTCCATTCGCGACTCCTCTAATGGCGTGCCCGCTGCGGACCTCATTAGCCCCGCCTCAATCATTCAGTATGTTTTGGTTGTCCACAGTGTACGAAGCCCTGTTCTCACAATTAGATAAAATGAGTGTGAAGTGCTCAACTGAATTCCTAGTGTAGTAGGCCTTCAAAGAACTATAATCATTATTAATTACTCATATTGAATACAACTTTATGAAATGATAGGATCATGAGGCTATCAGAGACATTAAGGAACTTAATGTCACACAGTTAATAAACGATAGAGGTGCGATTTGAACACAGGTAGCCTAATACCAGACCTACATTTATAACTCTCTGCTGCTTCCCAAGTTATAGATATTTCAGCATTTTATGTAGTCACAATTGAAGACCAAATATACAGTTACAGACAGGTAGCACGTTATTACTGAATAAGATGCTAAGGTATCTACCAAAGATTTTAAGTGCAAAAGGCATTAGAGAAGAATTTATTGTGGATGTTTTGCAGGTTCTGATTGTAATTGTCTCACTTGAGAAAGGAGGAAATGAAAGTAGATTATCGGGCCTACTTTTTAAACTCTGAACAACTTTTTGCATTACTTTCTGAGGACCATCAGCAACAAAAATCAATGGTTTCTAATGTTGGTATATTTTCCTCTACCAAAAAAATAAAAGCAGTTGAGCCAACAAAAAGTCTCTGTTTTGGATGTGTTAGCATGAGGAAATGGCGAATAGGAAATGAGCTTTTGCTTCTCCTGTAGGAACCCTGAAGGAGTCAGATTTGGAAGGGGTTGAAGTCTGCTTCCAACAGAAGCCGGGGTGGAGAAGGGAAAGGAAAGACTTCTGGTGTCCTAAATGCTAATCCCAAAGTGGAGATGCTGTTTGTCCAGATAACCCTTGTAAATCTGCTCCATTCTGCAGCTACTCCTGGGAAACTTAGTCAAATAATGCAAACAATTGCATCCATCATCAGCCACATCAGCCTTAGAAGGTATATCCATATCATGAGAGAACACTACCTGAAATTGGGGACCACTGGAGGGTGAGATTCCTTCTTTATCCATTACCTGCAAAACAAATTGGCCTTTGCACGGAGAGTCTGAACGTGGAGTGTGAATGCAGTTAGGACTTGAATAGGCTATTCTCCAACGCCACATGCCCCATGTCATAGCCTCCTCCATTTACCCTGAGAGCTATCTCAGGAGCCTTCTGGAAAAAAAGAAATTAACATGAATAAGAGTAATCAAGGAAGATTTCATTGAATATGTGAAATTTGAACTAGCAGTAATGGGTAGACCATGGATAAATAAAAAATGTGGGGGCAGGACAGAACATGGTCGGGCAGAGGTGGCAGGGTGAAAAAAAGTATGAGAAAGAAAAATAAAGGGGTTGCATGACATACGTTTGAGCTAGTATCTTAACTCTGCAGCTTACTAGTTGTGTCCTTAGAAGTTATGTAACCTAGGCCGGGCGCGGTGGCTGACACCTGTAATCCCAGCACTTTGACAGGCCGAGGTGGGTAGACCATGAGGTCTGGAGTTTGAGACCAGCCTGGCCAACATTGTGAAACCCCGTTTCTACTAAAAATACAAAAATTAGCCTGGCGTGGTGGCATGCGCCTGTAGTCCCAGTTAATCAGGAGGCTGAGGCTGGAGAATCACTTGAACCGGGGAGGCAGAGGTTGCAGTGAGCCGAGACCATGCCATTGCACTCCCAGCCTAGGTGACAGAGTGAGACTCTGTCTGAAAAAATAAATAAATAAATAAGTTGTTTAACTTGCCGGCTGCAGTGGCTCACGCCTGTAATCCTAGCACTTTGGGAGGCCGAGGGAGGTGGATCACGAGGTCAAGAGATTGAAACCATCCTGGCCAACATGGTGAAACCCCATCTCTACTAAAAATTCAAAAATTAGCTGGGCATGGTGGCGTGCGCCTGTAGTCCCAGCTACTCTGGAGGCTGAGGCAAGAGAATCACTTGAATACAGGAGGCAGAGGTTGCAGGGAGTAAAGATTATGCCACTGCACTCCAGCCTGGGTGACAGAGTGAGACTCTGTCTCAAAAACAAACAAATAAACAAAAAAGTTATCTAACCTTCCTGAACCTGTTTCCTCATCTGTAAACTGAGGTCCTAATCATTCATTTATTTGATGGCGTGTACCAGCTGGGCACTGTGGCTCATGTCTATAATCCCAGAACTTTGGGAGGCTGAGTCAGGAGAATCACTTGAGCCCAGGAGTTCAAGGCCAACTTGGGCAACATAGTGAGACCCCATATCTACAAAAAAATACAAAAACTAGCCAGGCATGGTGGCACGTGTCTGTTGTCCCAGCTACTCAGGAGGCTGAGGTGGGAGGATTGCTCTACCACAGAAGGTCAAGGCTGCAGTGAGCCGTGTTCATGCCACTGCACTCTAGCCTGGATGACAGAGAAAGACTCTGTCTTAAATAAATAAATAATAATAAAAATAGAAAAGATATCATGCCACTGCACTCCCACCTGGGCAACAGAGCGAGACTCCATCTCAAAAAAAAAGAAGAAAAGAAAAGACATATCATGTACCAAGCTCTAAAGATTCACTTCTAATTATATAAAGATGAAGCAGTTAGGCCCTGAACCTTAAATTAGTTTCTAGCTCAGAGGAGAAAATAACATAAAAACAAGTCTTAATAGAATATAATAAAAGCAGATATACATAGGAGGAAAGAACATCTAAATCTGCCTGGGGGTTCCAGGTGCAGATGGTCCCTGAGATGCAGCTTCAATCAGTCATCTATCCATCCATCCATTCTGCGTATATTAAGCACTTGCTGTGTATCAAGTCCTGTTCTAGGCAAGAGGGATAGAGTAGCAGACAAAAAGTCAAAAATCCATGCTTCGTAGATCTTATATTCTACTGAGGGAGACAGACAACGAATCAAATAAGTTAAAATATATAATATGTTAAACATTAGTAAGAACTGAGGAGAAAAAGCACAGAAGAGGGCTGTGAAGATTTGGGGTGGAGGTGGGGATGCTGACATTTTAGTAGATGGCCAGAGATGACCTTAATGAGAAGTTCTGTGATTCTTTTTTTTTTTTTTTTTTTTCAATACAGAGTCTTGCTCTGTTGCTCAGTCTAGAGTGCACTGGCGCAATCTCAGCTCACTGCAACTTCTGCCTCCCAGGTTCAAGTGATGCTCCTGCCTCAGCCTCCCGAATAGCTGGGACTATAGGCGCCTGCCACCATGCCCGGCTAATTTTTGCATTTTTAGTATTTCACATTTTTAGCACCATGTTGGCCAGGCGAGTCTTGAACTCCTGACCTCAGATGATCCGCCCACCTCGGCCTCCCAAAGTGCTGGGATTACAGGCGTGAGCCACTGCGCTCAGCCTAGTTCTGTGATTTTTGAGTTGAAACCTGGTGGAAATGAGAGAGACTGCCTTGCCCATGGGAGATGGTAGGAGGCAGGGAGAAAAATGAGTAGCAGCTTGCTTAGTGGACAGGAGAGTGTGCTTTTGGAGGAGGGTGGGGAAGGGAAAGACAGGCAGAGAATCTTCCAAACACAAAAGACACACAGTGAGAAAAGGCATGGCAAACAGGAAATACAAGTAGTTGCTGGAGTGTGAAGTACAGGTTGGGAAAGTGGGGAGTGGCAGGAGAGTCATTCATGCAGCAAATAATTTGGAGCACCTACTGCTCACCAGGTTCTTAACAAGAAGCTCCGAAAGTTGTTATATGCAAATGTTTCCTTTTAAAATGTTTTCTTTTTCTTTTTCTGTCTTTTATCCAAATAATTGTACTTGATTCTCCTGTTTCTCTTCAGATCCCATAAATCTTTCATCTTTTACCAAAATAATTGTACTTGAAAGGAGTCTATACTTTTAGGATATTTTGTATGTTTTTTGGAATATTTTAAAAACAGACATTTTTGAAATTACCTTTTAATGGTGTTAAAGCTGCCTCCTGGCCTAAGTGACAGGCTGGCAAGGAGTTCACATCTCTGGTTCCATCCCATCTCTTATCTTTCCTTTCTCCTCTTCCCATTCCCTCTGAGGAGAAACCTACAAAGCCATCTGTTTGCCTTCTGCAGATAGTCCACCCAAATCTGTACCCCTCAAGTGTCAGTTTCTACCCCCAAGCAACTGTCAAATAATTTTTTCAACAAAAAAATTCTTCTTTCTTTCTTTCTTTTTTTTTTGGAGATGGAGTTTCGCTCTTGTTAGCCAGGCTGTAGTACAATGGTGCAATCTTGGCTCACCACAACCTCCTCCTCCCGGGTTCAAGCGATTCTCCTGCCTTAGCCTCCTGAGTAGCTGGGATTACAGGCATGTGCCACCTTGCCCAGTTAATTCTGTATTTTTAGTAGAGACGGGGTTTCACCATGTTGGTCAGGCTGGTCTCGAACTCCCGACCTCAGGTTATCTGCCCACCTCGGCCTCCCAAAGTAGAAATCCTTATTTCTTAAGATGATTTTTGGTGAATAGAACCCTCTCCTTCCCATCATATACTGTACTTCCTTGAGAATAATACTTGCAACTTCTTGTACATTGGGCTACACAACTCCTGAGAGCACTGTGGTGTAGGAGTGAGCGGGTTGGGAGCAGGGAGAGGGTGGGGGATAAGTTGAGATCAGAAGATGAAGCACAATACAGCTGTACTGTATTTTACTTAGGGCAGTTGGACCGTCTACAGCTCATAGGCTAGCGCCAGTCTCCTAAAGGATTGCTGGAAATCTCTAAAGCTCCATTCGTGATAATACCTATTGGATTTCTGGGTCTAGTTAGGTATTGCATTGTTCCACACCCCGACTCCTGCCCCACTTCCTCACTTCCCACGTGTTGGTTCAAATTCAGTGACACTGAGGTTCCAGAGTTACCTGGAAGCAGGCAGAAATCCCCCACAGGGTTTTGACCATACTTGTTCATTCTTAGAGTCAGAACCAACCTCTCAACCCCACTGAATGCACCCCTTGTAACCACCCAAAGGGTCCACCTTGCCCACTGCCTAGACAGAGCTAA